GGATGGTTATTTGCCGTCTCTTCGGTATGCCTATGTCACAGGGGTGCAGAGTTCTGTTGGTGCTTCACCATATAAACTTCTATATGGTCATGATCCAATATTACCAACAGAGCTGGGTTTACCTTCGCGATTGCCATGAGCTCCTGATGCTAGGTCATGGGATCAATATTTGACAAGCATTCTTCCACTTGTTCGAGCAGAGTCTGCTGAACACTTAGGCCGCGTAACAACGGCGCTACAATTCCCATCATAGTCCACTTGCGGAGTACAAAGTGGATGATTTGGTGTTAGTCCGTTTTCCCCATCTTATGGTACGTGGTTTATCTAAGGGGCTCCTTGTGCAGTAGAAAGGACCGTATCGGATGTTGTGGCAAGTTGGACCACAAGTTTATGAGGTTTGGCATGACGTTCAGCAGGCCGATCCTCCGGAGATTGTGCATGTGCAGCGGTTAAAACGCTTCATACAAAGGGATCAGGAGCAATTAATACCGTCTATAGATCCGCCGATGCCTCCTCCTGACTTTCCTCCAGATCCTGGCCCATCTACAAGAGAACCCTGATGGCCTTCCATTATTCCGAGAGGAGGGGATGATGTGAGGGCCAAGTGTACGGCTACGATGCCGTATACTAATATTAGCGTAGTGGGATTTTGGTAGCCGTCGGATTGGTTTCAATCCGGACCACTCGCTCCTGTATATAAGCTAGGGTTTTTAGGCTAATTGATATGCACATTTCTGTATTCCCTTTCCATATTCCATGCACTCACATCTCCAAATGAGTTTAATATAAAAGACATTGCTATTTTCATTTTCTTCAACCGCATAAAAAATACTAAATCTTCCTAAAATATACTTTAAAATTTCGTAAGGTAGTATCTCAATATCATTTTAATAAACCTTTTTGAATTGATGTAAACGATGGTCGTAATGCCACTCTCATATCTTAATCAAGAACTGCATTACAAAGTAATTGGTAACGTTCTAGATGTCAATGATTTAAAGAAGTTAAAACAATTATAAATCCATTATTAATATATGTAATTGTAATTACAACATAGGGTCTTAGTACTAATTATATAAATTTTAGATTGTATTGATTCTATAGTTAAATCTCTTACTTGTGGTGAAAGATTTCTAGGATTATCTCTTGCTATTTATACAGCTAGGACTTTACTAGAGAAAAGAAATCATAGAAGTGATAATAAATTATAATATTTAAGCATTTCTAATAACTTTAAATATATTTTTTTATAAAAATAATTTTTTAATTTTTTTTTACTTTATTAGAATGGAACATCCAAAGCTGATTACCTTTATAATGTTTAAATTATCTTTATATAAAAAGCAAGATTATGTAGTATAAGGTTAATCTTGCTCTCAAATTCATCATTTAATAGAGTGGTCTTAGGGCCATCCAGTGGATTGTGATGTTACCACATACCTCCAGCTGCAAAAGCCCAAAATACATATTACTATTATTATTACTACAGATAATACCTAAATAAGCTTATAATGTCATCAGTTGCTAAAACAAATTCTATTTTGGTATAGTTAACCTTTTTGCATGTTCTATAGATGTCAGAATTATTTCTATTTTTAATAACAAAATGTGCATATGATTATATTTTGCAAACTTATGTTTTGTTGAAATTCCCCTTAACGAAAGGCATCGACACATTCTATGACAGAATGGTTTAGCTCACTATACCAACTTTATTTCGTGGTGGATGACATCCATGGGGATGCCTGGAAGTTGAGAGTAATCCCACGGAAAGACATCATGATAACTAAGACGAAGAGAGAGAAACCTGTCCGAGAAATATAGATTGAATCAATGCTACTGCGGAGGGATCCACCATGACTTCCATATCCTTCATAGTCATTGCAGACATCTGAGCTTGTGCCTTCCTCATTGAAGTGATTGCTTCATAAGATAAGTTGTCTGCCCAAAAATTCTGTTTCCGGGAGACACTAATAAATCTGACCTGATCAAAGTGCCAACAAAGCTCAATAACCTGCTGCTGGAGATCATGCCTGGTACCCCCCAGAGAGTTGGCAAACAACAAGCTGTGAATCCCTGACACACTTTACATGGTAGAATCCTTGGTATTTCGCAAGCTGAAGGCTGATGTGATGGCCAAGTATTCTGAATCATTAGCTGGGCAAGGCAAGCTTTGGATCTACTCATGGCAAGATGAGTAACATTTTTCTCCTGAGGATCAAGAATCCAAACACCAATCCCAGCTTGCTAAAGGCACAGACACCAAGCTCCATCAAAGAAGGCTATATAGAAAGGAGAAGTGGCATCCTTGAATAGTGGTGCTAAGCTTGGACTTCATCTAAAGGCTCCTCAAGCTTTGTTTTTGTCTCTGGAGGCCTTATCCAACAATAGAAGCTCCACTGGACTATCACCAAACTCTTGGGCTATTGAAGTGGATAAAAAGGTGATGGATGAGGTACTAGGGGTAAAAGTTAGTGATTTTGGACTTTTGGTTCCAACCCCAAAATATTTTGGAATGGTGTACATAGTGCTAATATATGAAGTTGGACCTTTGCCTTTGCTAGAAGATGGAATTACCTCGAGACTCTTTTGCTGTAAAAGTTGTGGTAGCTAGTTTGAGTCTTAACCATAGCATTGTTAGCTAGAGGCACTTAGGATGAGAATCCAACATCTCTCCCTTTTATGTCTGTGGACTTTACAATGAGTGCAAAATGGGGATGGCTCAGCATCTCTGATGTGTTAGGCCTTCACCTCCTTGAGGATCTTGTCTTGCATCTGCTGCTACTGTTGAACAAACTCTCGATACGGGTCCGTAAAAGCTTTGTCTTGTGCTGGAGGCAACTTATCCTCCATCTTTAAAGCTTTCACTCAATTCACTGAGACAATCTGAGTTGGTTGAGCGATGCTGAGTTGAAGGATCTTGAACTGGAGGCAGGTTAAGCTCTGTTAACATGCTCACTCAACCTACTCAGCATACTGAAAAAGATGTTGATAAAGAACATACTTCCACTTTTGCCATCTTGTGTTGAAAAATTGGCTTCAAACCCTGGATGACCAAAATTGAAGAATTTCCTTTACATGGTGGAGAAAATGGATAGGAGCAACCATTAGGGAGGTTGGCTCAGAGGAAATTAAAGTAGAGGGACTTGGATTGGAAGAACTTGAGGTGGATGAGTTGTGCAAGTGTAATTCACAAAATGAATCTTGCAATCCTTCATGCAATTGCATATATGGATATGTATAGGAAAATGGCCTTTGGTTTGTGGTCATGTCTGAATAGGCATGAAGAAAAAGTCGCAACTCTAGATTGTACTCACAAAAGAGTTTAATTACATACTACAAGATTCAGACTTGAATACCAATAAATACATCTAGATCTAGCATCCATGCTTTGATGCAATCACAAAAATAAAGCTTTGGTTTTTGCTAATGAAACGAAAGAAAACTTAACTAGAATTTGTCATAGATCTTCTGATCTGTCCATATATGTCACAAATTACTTGAAAAGTGGTGACCATCTATTGTGACAATCCAATTAAAATGTGTAGTAATTTTTGATAATTCTATATTAAGGAAAACTAAAGATTGGCAATAAAACAACACATTTTCACTTGAAACCTTGACGAGTTCTTTCGACCAAATGGGGATTGGACTGCCGTCGCACATCGATCAGGGCCTCCTGTTTGGCTCGCTGGGCCTGTGGCATCTCTCCAACACGCTGGTAAGCTTCGCCAAATCCCCCAATGCCTTCAAGCGCCGGACGTGGTTCCCCCTCCCAATCCCATCGCTCCCAGCCGCGCTGCGATGCCTGGAGCTCTGGATCCTCCTCCTCGCCGTGCTCATCTTCCTCGCCACGCAAATCTCCCACATCACCGCCGACCTCCGCCGCGGCCACATCCCATCCGCGCACCTCCAGCGCCTCCAGCACATCACATTTGGGATGTTCTTCCTGGCCTACACGATCACCGGCCTGGCGAGCGAGATCTCTGGCCGCCTCCCGCTGCCCGATGGCGCGCTCCATGGCATCTTCGCGCTAGGGTTCCTGATGGAGCTCTTCGTCTTCCACTTGGGCCATCACCCGGGCGACACACTGGAGAGCTTTGTCCACATGCTCATGCAAGTCGTACTGGCCGGGCTGGTTTTGGCCATGGTGCTGGAGATCGCGCATCCGTACAGCTTCCTCGCCTCCACCGTCCGATGCATGCTCCTGGCGCTCAAGGGCTCGTGGTTCTTCCACATTGGCTTGCTCCTCAATTACCCCAGATTCCTGCCGCTCGGCTGTGGCGCGCATCCGGGCGGGGGATTCCCGGTGTGCGCGAGCGCCGACCTCCTGCGGGCCAAATCGATCCAGGTGTTGGTGTTTGGATGGCACGCGTTGGGGATTCTCGTGGCGACCATCGCTGGGTATGCGTTTCTTGTGGGATTCCACGGCGGAGGCGTGGCGATGGAGCGCTACCAGCGCCTTGGGTCGCGGCCTGGGGTGTTACACACCATCGAGGAGCTGGAGATCCAGAGCGAGGAGGTTGCTACTCCTGCTCCGCGGAGCTTGTCGCGGAGGAGGAGCTACAAAGGTATGGCTACTCCATGAGCGAGAGAACTAGGCGCTAGAATCGTTTCAGGGAGGAAAATTTGTTCATTCCCAGTACTGAAAATAGTGGAGGTGGCGATGATAATGTTGGCTATCGCTCCTTACATATACTGATGCCCTGATGCCCTGATGCAGAAGGCCCTGATGCAAAACGAAAAAAAGAATCTTCTCATCCTTCGGGGTCACCTGTTTGGGCATCTACAGACGTCATGCAAACGTACGTGTAGGGCGACCGAGAGAGCGCGATGGAACCCCAAGCCTGAGAAAAACCATCAGCAGGAGATCTTGTTAGACCACGGAGACACATTTATATCACTCTTATTGAAAATGATTAATTTTTCTGGTTTTAAGGATTCTATTTATATGTAAAATGAGCAGAAGTCGTGACCGTTGCTTTTAGATGTTTTTAGGGTTACTTCCTAGCCATGTCCCAGCATTTGTACGAACCTCCACTTTCCTGGGCCTTCTTCACTGATTTGCTGAGTCGAGCAGCGTTAGCGTATAGCTCTTCGTTGCCAAACAGCTCGCGCAACGCTACTTTGACGGCCTCCCTGAGCAACTTCTTATCCTTGTCCTCTGGAATGTCCAAGGCGATCTTCCAGCGATCCACTGCAAACCGCCGGATTCCAAGTTGGTCTCCCATGATTGGTTTCCCGATCATTAGAACTCCAGCTGAGATGCTTTCCAAGGCGGAGTTCCAGCCAAAGTGAGTGAAAAACCCGCCAACTAGAAGGATCTCTTCGAGCTCGGACGATGGGAGCTGCAGGAGGGAGCCGAAGGACGCAAAGAGGACAGATCGGGGTAACTTGATCCTGTCCAGCCACTCCAAGCACTCGGACGTAGCGCCGGAGTCCTGCCACTGCAATGGAGACAAAGCGACCAGTGGTGGATTGGGAGCTTGTGGATTTCGAGCGCCGCACCGTAGGCCTCTTCTTCGAGCTCGTGGCACGAGTTGACGAGGATGAGCTCGTTCTCCCTGGCTCGCGACATGCATCGCAGGAGCGCGTTCCAGTAGCACTGGAGAGCGTCTGGAAACTGCGGGAACCGGGGGATTTCCGAAGTCTTGAAAGCTGGGTACTCAGGCAGCTGGATCAACTTGACATCGAGATCATTGGCGTTGGTTTCTGTTCAACTCACAAGATCGAGCAGGGAAGAAGAAACTTACTAGTGAAAGGACTGTATATCTTCTGGGAGATGAGCCGTGGCATTTGGAGAATGATCCCAAACTCCAGGAACACGGTGATGAAGAGAACCACTCTGGGAACTCCCAGTCCAATATCCGACAGAAGAAACGAAATTGGACCGCTGCTCGACTCGAGAGCTCTGGTGGCGACTTCCTCGGCAAGCTTTGCGGTGTCACGGCCTAACCGCCGGATCGGAGGCCAGGAGAAAGGAATCGATTCCACAGTGAAGGCTACCTCGGCGCTGAGATCTCCCCCGGCCACGAGCTCCTCGTAGATCTTGACCACTGTCTCGACCGCGTCTTGGTTGATGAGGAGCGTGATCCGTGCGAGCTTGCAGCAGAGGTTTAGCATGGGAGTGATATGGCCGGCAAGCAGGAATGGAAGAATGAGAATGTGCTTCATTTCTGCTGTGTCTGGGAGCCAGCTGAGAGCACTCTTATATCCTCTCATAAATTGCAGGGCGACCACCGCCATGTCAAGTGGAGCAGCGGGCTTCCTAGTCAGCTTCGTTTGAATCGTTTCTGTTCAATTTTGTAACCTCAAACACAAGGACCCCATAAAAAACTCACAGGAATGGATTCTTTGTAGCTGCAAAGTTGGAGGTGCGATGGAGTGGGCTTCCTACTTACCTGTGTTTGAATCAATTTTGTAACCTTAGTATTTCTCTTCAATTTTGTAACACAAGGACCTCATAACAAAACTCACATGAATGGATTCTTTATAGTTGATATTGGAAAACTGACTATCATCCATCGAAAATACATGCAATATGAAATTTTTATTGTGAGTTCTGAAAATATTAGATTCATTGTAAACCTTAATTTTTTGAAATTTATAATGTTTGTATTTTATTACAATTAAAAATTGAGCTCAAGAATGGTTTGCACTTCTAGTACATATTGTTTTTACCCTATACCTTATATGAAGCAAAACTTAATCCTTGGACATATGTGTTAAAAGCAATGGAATGGAATTTAGGTTTTAAAACCTTAAGCCACTGAATGAAGAGATGAAGATAAACATTTAATATACAACTAAAAAGTAAAGGAACAAAAGCATAAGTAATATAGGAATGGACTTAGGGCATTTAACATCCTAATTGGCAAAACAAAGTTAAATAAAGCTAAATAAATTTTAGTGCTATTTTAGCATATTAATGGCATATTAATACTTAAGGAGCTAAATTGTATCTTAAATTAGTCAACCATGTTTAACCTTCCACTATACATCTAGAACCCCGTCTAAACTATTTTTTTCAAGACAATATTTATATTCCATAGATATGCTTAATTAAAAGATCTAAATATTTTTCATAAATAGCTAATAGAACTAAACATGGGGCATAATAACAAGAGTGTCTTGGTGGATATGATAAGTTATCATCTAACAACTATTGAAGGACCAAACTCAATATTGCAAAGGTTTTTATCAAACCAATGTAATATAAAGGAAAAAAGAATTGAGTATAAGCTCATAAATTTGAACTTTTCAAGAAGTCACCAAATTTAGTATTACCCAAACCCAAAGATGCTTAACCCTTAATATCCCAAAATTTTTAATCAATTGAAAAAAAGAGTGCATTTTTTTTTATAAGCATTTTCCGTTATATATTTAAACTTTAACAAATCATCTTGCTTACACTATAAAATCAAATTATAAACCACTTGGGGACATAAAATAGTCTATATAAAGGATATTTGATGAGTTTGATATCACTCCTTTTAGCTCTCATTTATCTAAATTTTGCCTATCATTTTATTCTATGACACCAGAGTAGAATTTAGGAACATGGAGTGGAAGAGGTGCCATTTATTACATAAGTAGATTTAGTGCTAAAGGTTAAAATGATTATTGCTTGTAAGGCAATTTCTTATGTCAATTAGGTAATTTAAAGAATTAGTGCCAAGAGTAATATGCATTGCTCTAGAATGATTGAGAGTTGAGGTAAATATTTTATATTTGTATGCTTAGACTTGAGTTCTTTAGCAATGCCATGCTTCTAGAGCTATTGAGATTTAAAGGTAAATGGCCACCAATTAAATTGGATTTACTGTTATGGGATAAATGTTACTCATACAAACTAAACCTTCATCTCAATTATCTCAAAGATAAATTCCATGCTAAAGAAGTGGGTAATTAAGTGAAGTTGCAATCTTTTGAAAAAAAAGATTGGAAGTCTAGAGAGAGTAGGTTTCAAGTTGAAAGCTTTCTTAAATGTTATTGTTAATATTCCTATACCATTGATATCAACATTAAATTGGCATACATGACCAATTAGAAATGAGAAGGTTGTATAATATAAGTTTTCCATTTAGAAGGATGCAGAAGAGAAGATCAAGTTGGCAAAGGAGTTGAAGTGCACAATCACAAAAATAAATTACATTAATGCTACAGTTAAGAAGTTCATTATTGTGATTGAGTTGTCAAAAGTGCTAGCTACATTGTCCAAATCTGCAAAAATCCATCTTATACCTATCCAGATTTTATATAGAGGGAGAACAGGGGAAAGGTATATTTAATCTACAAACATATCTATTATATTTTTATATAAGAATTGAACCAAAATTCTAAGATTGACCATCATATTCAATAGGAAATCCTTATAATTGTGGAGCTTTAGAAGTGTTTTTAGAATTTTTTTTTGTGTTTGGATCTATATTTATATTTATATTTTATTAGTAAAATTTATTTGAAAATATAGATTAAATCAGAATGAATAAATGTTGATTTGCTCAAAACCTGACTTTTGACCAAGGCTACTCTACAAAAGAACTTTTGAGATAAAGTTTATATGAATTTCATAGAGAAGATCTAAAAGAAACTTGAGCATACTACTATATAATTCACTCTTTGCCCATTATCTCTTTTCGAGGGTTAGAAGATAATGAATATAATTGTAACATATATGATTATGGGATGAGATTTATATATATTCATTATAAATATTTGGAACTTTAAGGGATAAATGGAGATAAAATACTTATTAAAGGCTCTCTCATTAAACAATTACCTTTTTTTCAATTGGCTTAAAGGGAGAAAAATAAAATACATTACAATAATATAAGTGCAACTAGTAGAGATGAAATCTTTTATGAAACACAAACTTATATAGTTTTGAATCTAAATTCTTTTAACTCAAAATTTTTTCTAAAGGCAAGAGGGCAACTCAATTTGCAAAATCTTGCTAGAGCAAATACAAAATTGCAAAATTGTGTAGATGCATCAAAAACAAAGATGCCTTAGTTTGAAAGAGTGAGTGGAATTAGGAGGAGCAAGGCCCAAAATGTTGCATACTAATCAAGCGTCTAACTTTAAAGGATCAATTACTTCTTTATTGAGTTTCAAAATAGATTAGCAGCCAGTCCAGTGCCTATAACCTCAAAAGGGCTTTACATCAGGTCATACATCAAGTATTTGGCTGCAAACCACTTGAAATTTTCTTCATTTGAACAAAACTATTGAGTTGCCATCTATAGGAGCTTATATCTGATTGACTAATTCCATATCTGTATCATGGGTTTAGACACCACGTGGAGCCAGATAATCACATCCTTAGTCCTTTCGATTTGCAAGCATAGCCAACACAAGTTTCCACTACTGACAAAGAAGGGTGTCATTTTGTTTTGTCCTCTATGTAGTTTTAAGCTTGCCAGACATATCCATAGTTGGTATGCATCTGTCAACTCATACCATTGGCTCTCAATATCAAAATCTTTATTTCTTATGAAAGAGGTCCCAAACTTGCTAACTTTGTTGTATCTCACTGTCCTTTGGCTGTTGCTTAGGTTCTGCCAAACCACAAGTTAAAACTTCAAAGTGAACCTTGAAGATTACATTAACTCCTTTGCTCTGTTCTGCCTGAATAAGTGGTGAAGATGTGTTGAAATTTTAACTATCTGAACAATTGCCTTCCCTTTCTCATGATGAAGTCTAGAGTGCCCCATGATTTGAAGACAAGGTTCAATGCATGGCACTGACAGGGTACACTCTAAATTCCTCGAGCATTGGAAGCATTATCCATCACCATGATGAAAGGTTGGATCCAGAGCGAACTGAGAAGCTTGTTCTTATCTACTAGAACTCTCGTTTGTGGAGTATGAAGCAACAGTCCATTGACAAATGGGCGGCATCGCGAGCTCAGTGTGCAGATTCACCACTGCTGGAGTGGAGAGGAGATGGAGCTGTGCCATGGATTGGAGGAGACAGATCTATCCTTTCTTATTGCATGAGTTCTTTTTCCGTGTCAATTTGGATTGCTCTAGGGCTTCTTCCTCGATTCTTCCAGCACCATTGCTCTACTGGCCGGCGTCCTCTACAGCTTCCTCGCCTCCACCGTCCGATCCTGGCTTCCACATTGCAATCCAAACACCAGCGGCCCGGCAGGAATCTAGGGCAATTGAGAAGCAAGCCACGCGCTGGGGATTCTCATCGCGACTATCGCTGGGTAATTCCATGGGGGCGATGGAGCGCTACCAGGCCTGGGCGATTGAACACCATCGAGAAGAGCGAGGAGGTTGCTACTCTCGGTCCGCAGAGCGAGGAGCTACAAAGGTAGACTAGATTTTACGCGACCTGTATTGAGTGATTTTTACAAGAAACTTTGCTACATTTCTTTGTTTCAGCAGGAACAGACTTCCAATCTGCCAGAAAGAATCGAGAGATCAGAGATGGGTTTGACAGAAAAAAGAAAGAAACTTACAGTGATTCGAAAGTAGTCATGGATGCTGCGGATTCTTCCATCTTCTGTAGAACGTCTCGCCAGGACGGGAGAGACAGCGACGAGCTCAATGGCGTGTTCTTCCTGACCAGGATGATCTTCCGGGAAACATTCTCCTTGGGAACTTCCACATTTCTTTCTTTCTTCGCAGCCATCTCTGGCGATACCAAGAAAACCAATTAGCAATCTGGAGAGAGAGAGAGAGAGAGAGTGAGCGAGCGAGCTTACCATCACCAGCTTGCTTGGCTCGGGGCCGATCAAGCACACCATCCCAAAACTTTCCCATAAGCCCAACCATTGTCCGCTACTTTGCTTGTGAGCAACGCGATTCTTCTTCGCCGGATGCTTTGCTTTGATCCTGGAATTCGAATGGAAACTATATGGCGCTCAAGAGAGAAGAAAGTCCATTAAATACATACGTGTAAGTGGCGGCTGCGGCCGTGAGTAAACTCGCGGCTTTCATGGCGGCTGGAAAAGTGGGGCCGCAACTACAAGGATAAGAAGAAGAATGCGGTTAGCCACCACAGAGTTATATTATCATTCTCTAAGAAAACTCTCGGATAATCTGGAAAGGTTATAGAATCGCTTGACCGCATACCATGGACGTACCTTTAGTGCTTACCAAGGCTCCACTTTGGGTCTCAAGGCGATCATAACTTCTCTCCTCCTCCGGCGCTCCTCGAGGAACTCCCTCGTCTCGGGCGACATATCCTCGTCGTCGGACCAGCTGCCATCGTCGTCTTCGCTGCCGCTCTCGCTCTCGTCGAGCACTTTCATCGCGCTCTTGTCGATCTTAACAAGCGCTGCCAGCTTCTCCTTTGCGAGCACCAGCGGATCCTTCTCCAGGAGCTGGGAGTTCTCGTTGTACGCTTCCCTCAAGAACACCGAGTCGCGCTGGCCCTTGAAGGAGACGTAGAAGATCTCGGGGTGCCGGATGAGCATCCCTCGCAGCCTCTGCGAGAACTTGAAGTCGGACCGGAAGTGCGTGAGGTGGTCCACCAGCGTCTTCTTCTCGAGAGTGAGGTGCAGGAGCTCTTGCACCAGCGCCACGGCGCGCTTCTCGGCCTGCTTGGACGCTGGATTCAAGTCCCTCGAATCGTCGTACGGGGATAGGAGAGGCACCTGCTGGAACTTGAGGAGCTTCTCCTTCTCCTTCCGGGGAAGCTTGTAGCCTCTAGGAAGTGTCAGCCTGGGAAACTTTGGAACTCTTCCGCTCACTGTGATCTCCTCGTAGTCTTCCTGCGGTGTCGCCTCCAGCTTCTTCTGCTCGAACGTCACGGCCAGCTCGGGATCCCACTTGTTAACTTCCAGCGCTGGTCCCATGGCGGTATCAACCAGCTTAAAGTACTCGGGATACTTGGCCGGGAACTGCGTGTGGAAACCATCGGACAAGCCCAAGTCGTGCCGGAGATGGATGATCTTCGACACCAGGATCCTTCTATCCACGGACATCATCAAGAACTTCCGGAGCCTGAAGACCGCGGAATCCTCTAGCTGTTTTCTAAGTTCCATCTCTTCCTTGTACTGAGCCTCGGCGCTGGCGGTAAGCCTACAGTACATACACCCAGCTCCCTCCTCGAAGATGATAAACACCCCCGGAAACTTGCGAAGCAGTGATACGAACCTCCTCTTGGCTTGCAAGCCAATGTAGTGCCTGTATCGCCCAAGATCTCGCAGGGACATCACCTTCCCGGGCTGCTTTACCAGGATGTTCTTCACCTTGTTCACCACTTTCACCTTTTTTTCTCGCTCCACTACCTTGTCCAGGACGTAGTCTTTGGTCCGCTTCACCGTGGCGGTCACAACGGGGAGCCGCTGGACGTGGCGATGAGTGGAAGGAATCGCGATGAAATTCCTGCGGTTCCCGCCAGCGCCGGAGAAGAATGTGGAGCTGGAGCTTGCTCGGAGCTGCTGCTTCTTGCTGTTGAGAAACAGCGTGGATTCTAGCGGCAGCGCCACAGCCAGCATTCTTTCTTTCTTGTTCTTGAGTCTTTCTTGTGTCGATGATGGGAAATCTCCCGAAATCTCCCAGGAAGAAACGATTACCTCGCTATGGAGCTAGCTCCCACGACGCTGGAATCCTGGATTGCGGTCGAGGACGCGTGGGTTCTTTCGCGATGGAGCGCGCGCCTTCGACCATGACGGAAGAACCCTAAGCCCTGGAAGAAAATATTATGCGAGAATATGGAATCGTGTGTCTCATAAGAAGCTGTGTTAGTGCCGCGGATTTGCCCAAGCTCCGATCGCTCCACGCGAAGATCCTCCACAGCGATGCGCTCCGCGGCGATCGATTCGTCGCCAACGCGCTCATCCACGCCTACGCCAAATGCGGCCGCGTCGACGAGTGCCAGTGTGTGTTCGACGCGATCCAGGAGCCGAATTCCTTCTCCTGGAACGCGATCGTCACGGCCTATGCGCACAATGGATTCGTGGATGCCGCGAGAGTACTCCTCCCGCGAGCTCCTCGCCAGAGCCTCGTCGCGTGGAATGTGGTGATCTGCGCCTACGCCAGGGCCGGGAGGATCGATCTGGCGAGGGAAGTCTTCGAGAAGATGGAACATCGCGACGGCGTGACTTGGAACACGATGCTGGCCGCGCACGCCCGGATTGGAGACCTCGCGAGCTCCGAGGCCATCTTCGCGAGAATCCCTGCCAAGGACGCCTCGTCGTGGAGCAGCCTGATCAACGCATACATCGGCGCTGGCGATCTGGCCCGCGCGATCGAGGCGTTTGAGCGAATGTCGGCGTTGGATCTCATCTCCTCCACCGCGATGCTGCGAGCGCTGTCCAATTCCAGCGATCTGGCCGGATCCAAGGGACTGTTCGATCGAATGGAGCAGCGAGACGTCGTCTCCTTCAACACGATGATCAACGCCTTTGCCGAGAGAGGGCATCTGGAAGATTCGATTGGCGTGTTTGAGATGATGCCTTCCTGGAACGTAGTCTCTTGGAATTGCCTCTTGCTAGGGCTTTCGCAGGGAGGATTTTACCAAGATGCGTGGAATCGTTTCGAATTTTTACCGCAGCGAACGGAAGTTACTTGGAATACCATGGTCTCGGCAATTGCCCAGGCTGGAGAATTCTTAAGGTGTAAATTGGCCTTTACAAGAATGCCTTACTGGGATTCTATAACTTTTACCACGATGATCAGGGCCCATGGCCAGCTGGCGTCCGTGCAAGAATCTAGAAAGCTCTTTGACCAGATGGAGATACGAGATGCCTTTGCCTGGCATATGCTTTTGCATGTGTATGCCCAGTCTGGGCATCTTGAAGATGCCAAAAGCATATACGTCCAGATGCCAGAGCACGGGCTGATGCCTAGAATCTTTATGCTGCAGGCGTTTGGAGATTCCGGGAATGTTCGGGACGCCGAGGAGATATTCCATGCCATCCCCGAGCACAACCAGGTGACATGGAACATTCTTCTCAACGCATATGCCCAGAGCGGGGACATTCCTAGTGCAAAGGCGATGTTTGAGAGAATGCCAGAGAAAGATCCCGTGTCGAGCAATAGCCTTGTAGCAGCCTACTGCCAATTAGGGCTGCTGGAAGATGCGAAAGAGCTCTTTGATAAAACCCCCGAGAGGAGCGAGCTCCCTTGGTCCTCGCTGATCAGCGGATATTCCAAGGCAGGAAGAGTAAAAGATGCGAATATTCTCTTCCAGTTGATTCCATTCCGGAATCTCGTCACCTGGAACTCAATGTTGGCCGTGTATAGCCAGAATAATCTCATGAGCGATGCTAGATTCGTGTTTGATACCATGCCCCAGAGGGACTGCGTGACATGGACCTCTATGATTGTGGGATATGCCCAAGCCGGGCATATCAAGTACGCGAAGGAATCTTTTGAGCTCATGCCCGTTCACGATAGAATATCGTGGGTATCGATGATCCAGGGATATGCCCGGTTTGGGCATATGGCCGAGAGCCGGGAACTCTTTCGCGCGCTTCCACTCTGCGATGTTTCGCTGTGGAATCTTATAATCACCGCGCATGCCCACTCCGGGCATCACGAGAGCGCGATCGAGCTGTTTGGGCGGATGCTGCTCGAGGGCCTGGCATCGAATTCGATAAGTTTTTTGGGAATTCTCACGGGATTCAGCCACTCGGGTTTGATGGCAATCGCCAGGGATTTCTTCTTGTCGATGAGATTGGATCACGGGATCGAGCCGGCCGGGGATCACTACTGCTGTTTTGTAGATCTTTTGGGGCGATTGAAACTCCTGGACGAGGCCGAGGAGCTCGTCAATTCCATCCCCACGCCGGTGGATCGCGTGGTGGCGTGGAATTCCTTGCTGGGCGCTTGCAAGGCTCACGGCGATACCGAGCGCGCGACACGCATTGGGCAGGACGTCCTGGGATCGAATCCCACCTCGCCCGGTTCGTACGTCCTAGTATCGGATATTTACAGGGGAATGGGACCCGTCCGTACGCCTGGCGCCGACGGCTGCGATTGGGGAATCTAGGGAAGGTTCCTAATCCGGATTTGAAAATGGACGGTGGATCCTGCCACCACGCCGCCACCGCGCGCGGTGTTTGCGCGCCACCACGGTGGACAAAGATGACATGCTGGCATCATTTTCTTTCTTCTAGAGGCTTCCAACAGCTGCGCGATGCATCATCGGGAAGAGATGGGCGCCAAAAACCCTGGCGGGATAGGGTTGGAGGTTCTCGACGAGGTCGATCGGCTGTTCCAGCTAGCCGGCGCGACAAGGGCGTGTGGATTGGCACGGCTGGAGCATTTGCGCTGGCGCGGCGCCTGGCAGCGTGATTTCTAAGTTGCTTTCTCGGATTTTCGGTGGATCTAGAGTCTCGATTCTAGAGTTTCGGTGTAAGATACTAGGAACTAGCGGACATAGATAGGTAGATTATGGAGAAGAGGAAAGAGGATCCCTACACTGTTCTTGGTGTCCAAAAGTCGAGTTCTAGCTCGGAAATTCGCTCCGCTTATCGGAAGCTCGCCATGGTATATGGATTTTTTGTGTACCATCTTACTGATTTTGCTCTTTTTCTTTGGATGAATCGCAGAAATGGCATCCAGATAAGCAACACTCTTTAGAGGATCAAGCGAAGGCGAAGTTCCAGGGCATTCAAGAAGCTTATTCAGGTATGGGCTCTAGAAGATTGGCTTGCTCAATGGACGATATGATCGCAGTGCTATCCGACGACAAAAAAAGAGTTCTTTACGATTCCGGACTTTATGACGAGGGAGATGACGAGGTGAATTATCGTTGTTTGTTTGTACACGGCTCAATGCGGTCCCTTTTTTTTAAAACAGGGAATGCAAGGCTTTATGAGCGAGATGGTTGCGATGATGTCTACTAGCTCCAAGGTACACACGAACGAGCTGTGAGTTTTTGGTCCAGTTTTACAACGAAGTTGACACTTGTTTGTGCTTTTGTGCTGAATCAGAGTAGCATGAATGAGCTCAAGGATATGTTCGATCAAATGGTCGACAGTTACACACCGCAAGGCTCAAGCTCGGGTTCCAATCCATGTAGCATGTTTGGTGCGCAAGCGTACTCTTCGTCAAGCTGCTCCAATGCGACTTCATTCTACTGCGAGCCTGTTGAGCCGTTCTTCAAGAGTTTTAGCAGCAGCCAAAACTTTTGCATCGGAGTAAGTGTTGCAGCAAATGTTCAAATTTGACGCTTTCCTAACTTGAATGTTTGTTTTTCACTTTTGCGCAGCATCAGGAAGGCGAGTCCGCGAGGCAGAAGCTGCACAAGAAGGGTCACCGGCGACGAAAATGTCCATATGATCAGGTATTCTTGCTCGTGAAGAAAGTCAAACGTGTATTTCACTTTGCTTCCAATCAAACTCACGAGTGAGTTGTTCGTGTGACTTATGCAGGGTACTCGCGCCTAGTTGACTTATCAGGGTTGATAATTTGTATGAACGCGACGTGGCTGAATCCCAAACGCCGGATGGCTGGGCAATCCGGCTAGAGCACGTCGCTGCCACATGTTCTAACGGCAGGGCCGCCGTCGCACATTCTTTGAAGAAAACTTTCTTTTCTCACATCCCGGTTTGCTTTCTATATCATTTTTTCTCGATTTGATGAGCTAGTTGGTTCTTGCAGACGAACAAAGCAAAAGAAAAAAAAAACTTTCGTCTCTCGCCCAGAGGCTCACTTTGCTCCGCTACCGCTACACAGAAGCGCTGGAGAGAATGGCTCCGGGAGGGAACCAACGGGAAGAAGAAGGCGTTGCCAGGGATGAAACGGAGGCCGGCACGAAAGGAGGTGAGAATGGAGGTGAGCATTTGGATTTAGAGGCGGAGCCGCTCAACGTGAGGATTCGACATTCTCTCGAGGACACCTTCAACCAGTCGGTGCAAGCCGTGAAGGACGCAGTGATCGGTGCCGAGGTGGACGACTCTGGTGACAACGAGAAGCAGCAGACCCAGCAGGATTTACCAAAGGAACCCGCCTCCAAATCGCTGCTCCAGTCGGTGGAAGACTCCTTCAACCAGTCGGTGCAAGCGGTGAAGGACGCAGTGATCGGTGCCGAGGTGGACGACTTTGAGAAGCAGCAGCCACAGCAGGATCTACCAAAGGAGCCCGACTCCAAAACGATGCTCCAGTCGGTGGAAGACACCATCGCCCACTCGGTCCAATCGGTGGAAGAAACGATCGTTCAGTCGGTCCAGACGGTGAAAGAGGCTGTGAATGCCGCTGCCGAGGCCGCCGCTGCTCCAGCTTCCTCGGATGATCTCAGGAGGAAAAACGCCGTGACAGGTTCGTGTGAGTTCTTCGTTTCGTTTGTTCTTGGTCGAGATCTTTGGTGGTTTTGATCGTTCCAGTGGAAGACGAGGCGGCCATTTTGGTCCATTCTGTAGTCCAGGACTAGGATAAAAACGAAGAACCAATGCTTTGATATGATAGTTCCTTGTTTGTAAATAGGATGGCATTTCTCGTTCCATATTTTAGGGCTAATGGCGCGGCCGCTAGAATCGTCGGCGCCCTCACGGCGATCATCTGGCGATCCATGCAAGGCCGCGCGTAGCGCCTACGATCGATGCTTCAATCGGTGGTATCTGGAGACGTACGTGAAGAAGATGGAGCCGTGGAAGAAGGAGGATTGCGGCGCCGAGTGGGAGGAGTATCAGGCGTGCTTCACCAAGCGGCTGGAGGGGACGAAGATCGAGCAGCTCGTGAAGAAGGAGCGCGATGCGTTGATGCGGCAAAGCGAGTGAGTGATCGATCCATCCAGCATTTCTTTTGGTTCTTGAGCGATCCAGGGTTTAAGTTTCGCATTGCAAGGGCGAGAGTTTTCTTTTGGTTCTTTGTTTTGAGACTTACAAAGCGAGGGTTCAGGGTTTTTCTTGCATGAGAGAAGTGATAGATGAGCATTCGACACGATTTTTTTAATTTTCTTGGTCTTCGCATTCGTTTTTTTTTTTTCCTTCGAGCTCGATCTAAGTTTTTCTTATGTCAGTGCGTGAGAGAGCATTCAACACTTTTTCCGGTCGGTTTCCATCCCTTTTTTTTCTCTTTGAGCTCGGATTCTAGTTTTTCGTATTTCACACAAAGGTGTTAGAAGCAGTCAAAGCTAGGATCTTTAGCAGCGTCTTGGGGATTTTGTTCTTGAGCTTGGTTTAGTGTAGTGCTCTTGATGAAAGGCTTTGGTACGAGGGGAGGCTGTGACCAGCGGATGAGAGGCCAGTTGATGTCCTCGAAGAAGTTATGCGTTTTGATATCCGCAGCTCCTCTCGCGAAACCAAGCCTCCTTTTGGGGTCCTTGGCGAGCAGGCTCTTGATAAGATCCTTTGCAAAGAGGCTGACTTCCACGTCCGATGGGAACAGCAAGCTTTTGGAGAAAGCGTTCATGAGCGTCGCATCGTTGTTGGTGCCTTTGAAGGGGGTGTGGCCGTAGAGAAGCTCGTAGATGAAGATTCCCAAGGTCCACCAGTCTACAGCGCTGCCGTGACCACCGCCAGCGATGATCTCCGGTGCCAAGTACTCGTGAGTTCCAACGAAAGACATGGAGCGGAGGTGGGCTGGCTCGACGTTGAGCTGCGGCAGTGATGAGGTACTTCTCTTCAAGTTGCTGCTTTCTGGTTGTTTTCTTGGAGCTGGAAGTGATCCGTGTCTTTTCAGGAACTTTGGTGATGCGAGAGAGGCAGGGACGCAGGAAGGTGTCGCTCGATTCGGAGAAGGATTAGCACAGGATAGAAACGGTGACATGCTCGGGGATCTCAAGCCGTAAAGGCGATGAGGCTTGAGCATGCTTGGAGCGGCATCGAATTCGAGAGACAAGTCGAAGTCTGTGAGCATGATGTGGCCGTCATCTCTTACCAGCACGTTTTCGGGCTTGAGATCTCGGTACACAACTCCCATCATGTGCAAGTACTCGAGCGCCAGGAGCACCTCTGCCGCGTAGAACCTGTGACAGGAAAATCATCAAGCTCAGGGAAAGAGTGTGGAGAAACTTTCGAAGCAGACCAACCTGACAGTCTCCTCGTCGAAACGCTTGTTCGGCTGCCGCTGCCTGAGCTTGTGGAGGTCTCCACCGGGACAAAAATCCATGACGAAGCAGGCGTGCTCGGAGGTCTCGAACGAGCCGTAGAGAGTCGGGAGGAAAGGATGGTCCAGCATTTCCAGGATCCGCCTCTCGGTGGCGATCCTGGACAGCTTGTTCCGCTTCACCAGGTGCTCCTTGTCCATGATCTTCACGGCGAAGCGGTAGCTGCTGCTGCTGTTGACGAGCTCCGCCAGGAAAACGATGCCGATGTCTCCGCCCCCGACTCGCTGCATCAGCTTGAAGTGGCTTATGTCGAGGTTGCCGTCCGGGGACTTCAGAGCCTGGACATAATCCCACGCGGTGTCGTTGGACTTGTGCGGCTTGGTGATCGGGCTTCCGCAAGGGGAGCCGATTGACGGAGAGGGAGATGGGGATGGAGATGGGATCCTGTCGCTGCTGCTACGCTCCGCGTCCGAGGAGGGATACACCGCCGAGGAGCATCCCTTCTGCAAGTTGATGTGGAGCAAGTTCAAGGCGCTGGAAACGCTGTGAGTGTCCGAGGCAGCGGCAGCGGCAGCAGCATAGTCGAGAGGAGACGAGAAGCTGACACTCTTCTTGAGCCTGCGCCGCGGAAGAACTATCATGATGTTTTGGAGAAGAGAGAGACTACAACTTAGCGCCAACACCGAGAGCAAGCTGCCGCTCTTATACCAGTCGGAGATATGGACTTGAAAATCTGGAGATCTGGGATCTATGTCCTTGGAGCTCTGTTCTGGGACGCAAGAGCGTGTCGCAGCGAGATCCGGCACTCGAGGTACGCACGCAACCACAAAAAGTTCCGTTTTTACCTGTTTGCTTGTGAATTATGAAGGCGAGTGAGGTACTAGCTTAAGTACACCTGTGGACGGAATTTTCGCGCTCCTGCTGCTGTGTGCTTGCTTGAAGTCAGACGTGTCCTCCATCGCTCGCAATCGAATCGGATAGAGATCCAGAAAGAGGAGCCCAGGAATGAGAGAGGCAGGGGGATGAACAGTGGCTTTTTAGCTCGCTATGATCTAATGCATCGTGATCTCAGCCAAAATGGTAAGCTTCTCGCTCTTTTTTATTCGTTTCTTCTTTCACAGTTTTGAGAGTTCTTCCAAACGCTTTTGTCTCTTACAGGGAGCAAGGGAATCGGTGGCGTTATGTAGTCTTCTTCCTCCATTCCGGGGAGTGTGTATTTACGGACGAGATAGTGAATCCCGCAGTACAGCATCACGGGGCGTAGGATTGGAACGCGCTTTTGACGAACTTGGATTCTTCCACCGGTAAAAATGCAGAGGATTGCGCGAAAGGCTTGATTTTCTTCTTTCTTTTCCCCAAGCAAGCACGATTTTCGCCCCTCACGCAAGAAGTGAGTTTTAAAAACAAAGGATCTCCTTTGGCAAGTTGCTGGTGTCAAAAGAATCCATAGAGTTTGTAAACTTGTAGTGCGGAAAATCCAAACGTGGCGACAAAGGCCGGGTCAAGCAAAAAGAAAAGTAAGAGGTGTTTATTAGGAAGAGGCTGGCTAGCTACAAGAACCTGTTCAACAAAACTGTGCTTTCAATGCATTATGATGTGGCATTTTAGTATGATCAAACAACAAAAACAATATATAGTAGTTATTTCTTTTAAAAGCTTTGCTTTCTAACCTTTAAAAAGCACTACCTCACTAGGAGTGCTTCCAAATGTTGTGATCCTCGGGGACTTTCCAACTCACCTTCTTGATTGGACGAATTTAACTCCTATCGTGAAAGTCCTTGACCTAGGTAGCCTTCTTCTTGGCTAGCCAAATGAAGCATTCTGAAAATCGGTGATGTATATGCAAAACGTCTGGTTGCTAAACTCCTGCATGTACTCAGATCTTAATGGATTTGGTCTATGAGTTTACACAAGACCTTAGATCTTAGCTAAGAAGATAGGAGCACAAATATGTCTCCTGGTAGATATCCATACGTACCTACAGCTATAGTGATCCTGATGATAATTGGTCTCCAGATCCATAATAGCAACATCAGAACAATAGCAAGGGATACAGAAGAGAAAGATGAACCAAAGAACGTAAAATCATTGTTCATGGATGGGTTTTTGCTCAAGCTAAAACATTTTAGGCATCAGTAATAGTACGCAAAGAACCTTTGTTATTTTATAGGTGAGATGATATAAAAATTTAACCTCCCTAGTGAACGCATTTTTGTTTGCATTTTCAATAGGAGTAGCCAGGAAACGCTCTTAATGTATAAATTTCTATTTATTTGAATGAAAATTTCACTCAATTCCAACATTTACTTTTATTTAAAAATATATAAGAGTAAGCGTTTCCTCACTTGTCTTTAAACTAGCATATAAAGATAGAAACAAAGATAATATAACAAAGAATTCATTAATTTTCTTACTAAATTTGATTCTTAAATGTAAATTAAATTATTAAGCTTTAGATTTAAAGCTTTACAATAATAAAACTAATATAATGTTTATTTATAATTTAGGATATTTCAAATTGAGCATCTCACATCTTGCCAAGAAAGCCTTTTACTTATTCCTTTAGAATTAGAAAATTTTAAAGTTCTTAAATTACATAATTTATAATCATAGATAATAATAAATAAAAAAGGATGGGATAATCTTATAAATGGAATTGCACAACCTGAATTTACACTCAAAAACACTTATAAAAATAAATTAATATATATAAGTACTTAATATTTAATTTGCTCTGAACCAATATTGCGAGACAACACCTTGATATTTTTTTAAGTTTTCCTTTTACTAAAACTACATCAATACTATCAATTTTCATAAATGGTTGAAAGTATAATTAATTTGGTTTATTTGTCAGTATGTTAAATTATATTATTCTCTATATGTAATAATATTTAAACTTATAGTATATATTTTATATTTTCTCAAAAAAACTATTACTAACTGAAATAAAAGTCTTTTAGTAATAATTTTATGTCATAATGTATAAATCTCTAATATATTAGATTTGTTCTTTAACAATCATATGGATATTACTGTACTACAACAATGAAAACCAGAATGAAAAAATAAAGAAAGCTATACAGCATAGTTGTCTATACACTCAAGCTTTGACACTTGTTATGTTGTCTCCAATTACCATCCTGACCTGTAATATGGTTTTTATAAGCCAAGAATGCATGCACAACACTGCCAGCAATTTGACACTTCTGAACAGCTTCAGGAACACATAGTCTGGATGGATCCTTGATTCCAACGATAGCTATACAAGTGAGGTCCAATAGTCAAATGCTTCTTAGGAGGCCGTGCAAGAAACTCATTCTGAGGAAGCTCCTTACAAGCCAGACACAGTGTTTGCAAGTTGGCATTTGCAAAGGTCTCAATAATTTCTTGTAGCTCTTGCACCTGGGGAAAATAAGATCAGCATAGCGGCATCACCATTACAAACATTTTCAGGGGTCAAAGGGCTGACATCCCCTTGTTCATCCATAAAGTTTGAACATTGAGCCAATACAACTTCTGAAGCACCTTTCCAATGAATCCATGCTTTTCCATCTTCTGTCTGCAAAGCAACTACTGAGACTGCAATATTTATCTACTTTGCAATCACTGCCATGCGCTTTTTGGTTAAATTGAATGCATCAACTTCTGTTACTGTTGCACTTTTCTTTACTTGAAATTCGCACTGAGCTGCTAACAAAGCACTTAAGAAAGGTAAGTCGGAGACTAGATTACCATCCAACAACAACCACTTCCATAGGGGTCCCAGTTATTTCTGGAGGGGCGCCCTACAAAAGAAAATCAGTAACTAAGTGAGAGCAGGAATATTGACAATAAACATACCTCATGCATTTCAACACTTGCAAGCAAATAGCTTTGAACAAAAACTGCTAGAGTTTGTAAACTTGTAGCATAACAAATCCAAACATGGCAACAAAGGCCGGGTCAAGCAAAAACAAAAAAGTAAGAAATGTTTATTAGGAAGAGGCTGGCTAGCTACAAGAACTTGTTCAATAAAAGTGTGCTTTCAATGCATTATGATGTGGCATTTTAATATGATCACACTCTAAACTTTGCATTTAAAAAGCACCTCCTCACTAGTACTTCAGGGGACTTTCCAACTCACCTTCTTTTAAGGTGTATTTAACAAATTTTAACTCCTATTGTGAAAGTCCTTGACTTAGGTAGCTTTCCTTTTGGCTAGCTAAATGAAAATTGGTGATGTATAGGCAAAAACGAATAGCCAGATACCTCTGTTTAGACACGCTGCAGCATTTCAAGTTCTTTCTCCAGCCACTGCAGGTATATATTTGGCATAGTCATCTTGTTTAATGGATAATAATTAATGCAATAGTGAATACTCACATTTGACTTTATCATAAAATAAGGTTTACATGCCCAAGGATTCCAAGACTTTCAAATAATACTATTCTCTAACATTTCTTTGATATTAGTGTAAAAAAATTTAATATCCTTTAGTAACTAATGTTGAACAAAAACCTTAATTGGATAAACATCCTTAGTTGGAATAAGATGATGTATTTTAATTTTGGTCCTAGATGATAAAATCAAAGTTGAAGAGATTAACATATTCTTTCTTAAGTGAGTCTATTGTTATGACACAAAAACTATCAAAGGGATCTGAATAAATATTACTATTAAGCAAGCACAATAATTTATTATAAATTCTAAATATATTTATATTAAATAATATGCTAGAATATCTAAGCATAATTACACATAGGTTTGCTCAAAAGTAACATTCAGCATTGCTTACATATCGTTACTTAATAATTATAACCATTTTAACTATTAATATAAAAGATAAAAAATAGTAATTTAATCTTTTAAAATCCTTTTTAAGTCAAACATTACCTTGCATTCTATAAGATATAAGTAATATATTTAGGATTTACAGAGCAATTTTTTTATTTTCTTAAAAAGTCAAACATTAGCTTGCATTATATAAGATTTACATGGTCCTTTATATAAGTGCAACATTATTTTTTATAAATATTTCTTTATCCACTCATGGTTGAGGACCTTTTCCAAAGTAAACCTCCTTCCGGGATCCAATTCCGTCATGCCTTGGATAAGCTGCCTTGCAGAATGGGATGGAATGCTATCCCAATCCATGGAATTGTGATGGAAATTGCTTGTACTTCGATCTCTCTTATGTGCATTCTTAAATACCACCTTCAAATCCAGATTTGGGAATGGACAATTTGCTGTGAGACAAGTGTAAAGCAACATCCCTAAACCCCACACATCGCTAACTGTGATATAACGCCCATTAAGCATCGCTTCGGGGGACATATAATCCCAAGTCCCAACCCCACGCTTGTTCCACGAATCCTCCATCCAGCAAGCCATCCCAAAGTTGGACAGCTTTGGGACATAAAACTTCCCAGGTCGCGGGTACTTCAGCAAAACATTCGTGGGCTTCAGATCGCAGTGGATGATCTCATTGTCATGAACCCTCTTTAGCATCTTGGTGAGAGCGATGACAATCTTTGCAGATTCTTGCTCATCAAGCTGCCCCTTGTACTTGATCCGGTCCTGAAGGCTGCAATTGCACAGCTCAAGAACAAGGTGGTACACCTCCCGTACTGATTGGGCTCTTCTCGTATGATGTGCCCCTGCTCATCCAAACCCTTGAGTGACACCTCTAGCATAGCCATCACTCAAGCTTCAAACAGCCCATCAGGCCCATGGACTGTCTTGATCGCAAAAAGCTTCCCATCACTCCTTTGGAATGCCTTGTACACTGTCACTTGCCCTTCACCCCCAATTGACTTCTCTAGTCTATATTTCTCTACCAGCGTTGGGTATTCCTCACAGAGTTTTTCATCCAAGATTGAGTATTGATTAAAGTACTCCACTCCTTATTTAGGCTTTTTGTGCACATCATTCTCCAAGTTATGCTCACACTCTCACTTAACCATCTCGAATGACCTTTTAAGGCTTGTTTGTAAAGGTGGAATCTTCATTTAAACATCTTTTATTTTTTAAGGTTGATAACATTTAGGTGTTGTTCCTCCACCATCTTCTGTCGCCTGGAAACGATCAAGAGCGAAATCAAACTAGAAAACTACTCGCTGCCAGCGGCGCTCAAGGTATGCGCTAGAACAAAGGATCTAGCACGGGGCAGGGAGATCCATCGTGCGCCCTCCAAGAATTTTGGAGAGGAAAAAAACATCTACATCACCAGTGCTCTCGTGGCCATGTACGCGAAATGTGGCTACCTGGAAGAAGCCGCAAGGATTTTCCAGGGGATGGAGCAGCGAGACGTGGTTTGCTGGACTGCACTCATTGTGGGCTACGTCCAGAATGGAGCTCCAGAGATGGCACTGGATTTGTTCTCGCAGATGGAAAGCGGCCCCACTCTCCTGGCCATGTACAACGTGTTGCCACCAGAGGAAGATGCAAGCGCTGGAGAATCACCGAGAGCAGCTCCACCAACAATGGGAGGATGAAGTTGCTCGAGAGAACCATGGCGATCCACGCTCGAGATGCCAAGATCTCGGATAGCATGCTCTCGGGGTACGCTTGTTTGGCAAATTGTCTCGTGGATGCCTACACCAAGCATGAGAGACTCTCGTCGAGTTTGATTCGATGGAGCAGCATGACATCGTTTCCTGGACATTGCTGGAAGACAGTTCTTCCACTTGATCAAGAGCCATCGGACACGCTCCATGCCCTCCCCACGAACTGCAATTACAAGGACAAAGATGGTGATCTCGATGACAAGGCCCTCGCGGAGTCAGAGACTCAAGAACCGACTCCACAAACTTCCGAAACTCGTGACGATGAGAGGAAAGATGGTAGCATTTTTACGTCTGACAAGCCACTCCCGAACAAGTGGAAGAACTGTCTTCCAGCAAGGTGTTTGATTCGATGGAGCAGCACGACATCGTTTCCTAGACATCGATCATCACAGGCTATGCTCACGAGAGCCAAGATGGAGACGAAGCTTTCCTTCTCTTCTCTTTCATACAAGAACAAGGATTTCAACCCGATCGTTTAGTTTGTCTGGCCGCTATCAAGGCTTGTAGCGTAATCGCCAAGAAGAAACAAAGCAAGAGATGGAATTTAGACGTAGAATCTCTCAAGAAAGCAATGGAAGTCCACTAGAGAGATCCAACGCTTGCTAGCAGTCTGGATATGTATGCCAAGTGTGGAAGCTTGATCCTGGACGCTCGCCGGGTATTTGATAAGATCTTAGATTGCGACATAGTCTTGTGGAACTCTTTCCTTTTTGGATGTGTTTACATTGGTGAGGACGAGCTTGCGTTGGAATGCTATGTGGCCATGGAAGTTGCTCCAAACTCTCAAACCTTTCTTGCGTTGTTGCAAGCTTGCGAGAACTTGGGAGATTTGAAGCTTAGGAAGGTCTTCCACAGACAGATTCTCCAGCAGGGACTGGAAGGGAGTCCTATGGCGATTTCCCTGCTCGACTTCTACTGTAAATGCGGGAGCGTCGAGGTTGCCGAGCATGTGTTTGAGAGCTCCATTGTGTCTCCCAACAGTGTGGCATGGAATACTTTGATTGCAGGACATGGCACTCGAGGAGACGCCATCATTGTGTTCCAAGTGTTTTGGAATTTGGACCATGTGAGTGCAAGGCGTGGATCCGGACAGCATCACCTTTGTGGAGATTTTCTCGGCGTCCAGTCACGCTGGGATTCTGGATCGAGGACGGGAGTTCTTGGATGGAATGTGGTCCAAGTTTGGGGTGGCTGCTCACATCAAGCACTTCCACTGCATGATCGATGTTCTTGGCCGTGCCAGTAATGTCGAGGATGCCATTGCTCTATCGAGGAGAATGCCATTCCAGCCAAATAACGTGACATGGACCACATGCATGGAGGGAAAGATACACTTGAAAAAAAAACTTTGGAGTCGCGCAAAACAATCTGTGATGGGTGATCCCTGTTGGAACTTGGTTTAGCGGTTACCAGCGAGATTACACAGTTGCTGAGCTTGAGAGCGAGGTTGGTGTTGTCAACAAGCTCTCGCCAAGCTCTCACATTGGATGTTTGCCACAAAGGTTTCGCAAAGCCACCACAGATTGCTGTCATTGTATCTCGGGCACCCGTGACTTCAGTAAGCACGAGAGCTTTGCAACTGAAAAGAAACCATACTTTTGGAAAACCGGCATAGTCTCCTGGCTCGGTAAAGTTTAAGGTAACTCCACTTTTCGCTGTGATTGGGACCTGGAGAAAAGAAAGTGATGGAAAGATTGACAACGTCAGGAAGCAGGGCCTTTTTTAAGCGATTTCTATGTGGGGCGCAACATCTGCTTGGCCACCCAGGACTACAATATTACCTAGTCTGCAGCGAAGAAAAAAGAGAAAAGATCTCAAGAACAACAAGGTTGTTCTTACTTACGTGCAAGATCTAGCAATTCCCTACTTGCCCACAAATCATACAGTTGCATCCTATGACAACATTGTATCTAATCTACATGCAAAGAAGCCAAGCTTAAGAAAAGAAAAAGTTTCACTTCGTGTTATCCCCAATGACTGTGTCACACTAGCTCATGATCCATCTAGGGCACAAGAGACTGAAGAAGAAGAACAAGCCACTTTTGTTACCGATGGACAAGACATTCACATTGCTTCCAATCTTTATACACAATTCAAAATTGCTGTGCTTGGTTTGCTTGTTATTATTTATATTATTGTAAATCAGTGCTTATCTAACTCTAGAACTCAGCTTGTATAGCTCCACACTAAAAGGTGAATAAGCAATAATGAGTAATTTTATTTTTCCTATACTTACATGTATGAGTTTATAATTTAAACTTTAGACAAATATATTTAAAATTTATAAATAAAAATATTAATTTAAATGAATAGCAACTTAGCTGGTAGAATATCATAGAATATCTAAAAATAATTTTGCAAACAAAAAATTAAATAAATATATGAACTTATTTTATAATTTTTTTAAAACACTTCCTAGTATATTCTAGTTTATTCTAACATCTTGTGTTTCTAAATTATAAACATTATAAACTCTCATTTGGTTAATTAAACAGAAGTGAGAAGAATGGAAAAAATATAAGAAAGTATAAAACAAAAGGGAGAAGCCTCAAAATCACATTTAGCATGATTGTGTTACAATTAATTTATACCAAGGATGAGGTCAAAAGTTTAACTTAATATCACCTCCAATGATTGAAGTTCAAGATCAAGATCTCTCACATGCACAATTAGGTCTATTTCATCCCATGAATATGTATATGTACAATTGTTACCATAAAGAATGAAAATTACCTCTATTACATGACATAATTATAGACAACAACATATGGCAATAGGCCGAGCAATAGAAAATAAATTCAAACCTATATCAATCAATATGGAGAGAATAATAAGAGATCTTTTGTTATAAAAATAAGTGTAAAAAGTAAATATTAGATGAAATGGTACCAAATAAACCCTTTGATGGTATTCTCGAAAGGATGGAAGGGTTACTAACTTATTCGCACAAGTAGCATTTATAACTTGTGTAACACTTTGTTTTTCGAAAGAATCTCTATGTTAAGACTTTCTACTACAGTAGCATCAATAGAATATTGTTGACACTAATGCCTCCACTCAGAAAATGGAAGATGTCAATCTAAAAAATGCCGACATGTGAGACACAAAATCCCTAGGCCCCAAAGGGGAGCCGAAAGGGTGCCACGTGGTAGTGGCGAAGGCAAAAGTCAAATGAGTATAACACATTTAGATTAAAATCTCCGACTCGAAAAGTCAAAAGTGGGAGTGGAACTCCCAATGAAGTGCTCGAGGAATGAGCACGAAGTGAACAATAAGTGAGTCTTTAGAAAAGGGACACAAAAAAACTAACACATGACACGTGGAAGAGTCCGAGATGGAATCTAAGATGGAGTTTGAGATGGAGTCCAAGATGGACCCAAGATGGACCCGAAATGGAGTCCAAGATAGAGTTTGAAATGGACTCTAGATGGAGTTTGAGATGGATCCAAGATAAAGTCTAAGATGGAATCCAAGATGAAGTCCAAGATGGACCCAAGATGGAGCCTAAGATGGACCTAAGATGGGCCCAAGATGGAGTCCAAGATGGAATTCGAGATGGACCTGAGATGGAGTCCGAGATGGAACCGGGACCGAGACCGAAACCGATACTGAGACCGAGACCGAGACCGAGACCGAGATGGAGACCGAGACCAAGATCGAGTCTGAGTCTGAGACTGAGACCGAGACCGAGACCAAGACCGAGTCTGAGTCTAAGTCTGAGTCCGAGTTCGAGCCCGAGTCCGAATACTAATATAGGCAATTGGGTGAAAGCCCAAAGCAATCGTCCCCCGAGGGGAGGGGGCTGCAAGGGGTTCCAAAAGTATAGTAGGGAGAGTGTGGGGGTTGGAACTTAGTGGAGCCAGTTGGGCCAAGAAAGGTTAATTTGGCTTAGGAAGGCTGTACCCAGGTGTTGGGTGATGAGCTAACCACTAGGAAGTCCAGGACTAGAGTGAATATAAATTGACAAATGGGGTAGCTTAGTGAAGTGTTCATGAGCCGGCTTTAGTTCCCTTGGGAGATCGAATGATCGATGCTCCTAGTCTAAGTGTGGGTGGCACTACCTACTTGGATACCTAGCATGGCTCAATGGAACCTCGTTCTAAGCCTATGGCTAGAGCACCCAAAGGCGGAAGGCAAGGAGAGTACCTAGGAAACTCGCATATGGCCACGGTGTTCCAAAATGTTGTCCCAAAGTTTTAGATTGTGGAAAGGAAGAGGAGTAATCCTCTAGAGTGGTGACCAAGGATACGGTCACACAGTAAGGAAATCCCAATGGACAGTGGGACTTGGTGGTTAAACTTGCAAGCCTTGATTCAGTGGCAGTGTTGGCAAACATGGTTATGAACAGAAAGGGACTTGGTGGGGACTGGAAAAAAGATATTTGGGAAGGCTATTCCCCTCTTTGCGGGCATCCTAAAGATGCTAAGGAGTGGAACTGAAATAATCACTCATGGATGGATGGCCTAGTCTTTGAAAGATGGGACTGTGATGCAAATGGTGTTAAACCACCGGTATGACCAAGGTGAATGGGCATGGCCTTAGCGTAACGGGCTAATATGTCGGTGGTACCTTGGGGTGTTGGTCATGGGATCAGACACATGGAGCACTTGGACCAAATGCAATGGTTGAGCGGCATGGATGTTATTCTTGAGGCTAACAAGTCCCTAAGGCTAGAATAGAACTTACGAAGGTTGTGAGTGAAATTACTCCAAGTGGTCGGAGGTGTGGTTAAGTGACTAAAGTAGAATGGAAAAATTAATCCCTTACATAACAATGCTGATATATATGGCTAACTTTATCATATGCCTAATAATAGATATCATGGCTATGACCATATCCTCACTCTTGTCTCTGAACACAAGCAGTAACAGTACTTCCATTGCAATAGAACCACCTCCCACATGAAGTGGAGTTGAATGATATGTAGCAAAAAGTGGAAGAAGTGATATTTTCTAGCATTAAGTCAATTGAAGAGCATCATAAAAGGTGACTAGAGTAAGTGTATGCACAAGTCATACAAGATCTTGACAAAATACTAGCCATAACATTTCTAATTTGATTCACTCTAATATAATATATTTAGCTTTACATGAAGTAAAAAGCTCCAGAAGTAAATGCCAAATTGCATCACTAACTTAGATAGCCCTTGACAAAGATGACACAATTGTTAGAATGCATCATCATAATTGTCACCATATCCAAATGCATATTTGGAGATATTTGAGAGAATGCTCTAATTCACACGAGTGGTTGTAACTACTATAATGGTCGTCCTTTGGAGACACATAAGAATACCAAACATTATCCCAAAAATAATAAATAACAATCACCATAAAGCGATCAAATTAATAATACACATCATCCCTAAGATTCTAATAGAAAAACTCCAACTGAACGCAAGGATTGGTAATAAGAGCAAGAGTTGTACCATGCATAATGAATGTTACTATCAACTGAGTTTAGTTGTTTAATTGCAATTGCATAGCATTTAGCAACTGCACTAACTGTTGCTTTAAATTCAAAGTGTTGCTTTGCCATGAAGATAAACGAAATGTAAAAAAATATAAGGGAAGAAATTAAAAAAGTTACAAATGAGATCTAAACAATGCAAAAGTTAGATTTAAATCAAAATCTTAAATTCAAATACTTTTCAAGGATAATTAAAACTTGCCCCTCACCTTCATCAATGTGAATTCATGAAATATAGAATTAGAATATATATATATATATATATATATATATATATATATATATATATATATATATATATATATATATATATATATATATAAAAATGAGTGGTCCGGATTGAAATCAATTCAACAGCTATCAAAATCCCACTGTACTAATATTAATATATGATATTGTAGTTAAGTTAATAAATATTTAGAAGTAACATACTTATTTAATAACTATAAATATAAAATTAAAAAATTAAGTTTAAATATTGTCATCCAGTCCCTGAGCAAATCCATTGTGCCACTCCTTGGCCAGCACTGGCTGTGATTTGGCATAGGACACGATTGCAATGCCCTTGATCAGAGCTCCCCACGCCACACTGTGCCTCAGCATCTGCCTAGCCACCCCCATCACTGCTGGCGATGGATGGATGGATTGATCTAATCTCAGTGGCACTGTCACTGCCCAGGAGCAACGCCGCCTTAGCTAAACATAACGAAATTTTGGGATACAAAAAGGTAGAGTAAAGTTTTAAGGCTTACACAAAACTGAGAATATTCTTAAAGCATTTTATTTTAAATTTTAATAGTCAATACTACTCCTGGTCTGTGGTACTTAACTGAAAAGCATAAAACTTTGTTGCTATAGGTTACCTAACTTCCCTCAAATTATGATCACAGCCATGGCAGCTTTGGAGCCTTGGCTGGAACAACTTCAAATGCAATCAGATAGTAATTCTTGATTGCAGGCCCAGTAGCCTTAGTGGTGATGTTGTAAGCCGTGCCTTTGACTGGCTTGAACGAACTATACTCATCATAATAAACCCTCATGTTGGTGCTGAACTTGTCAAAATTGGTGCTCCAAGCACTTCCCTCTGTGTTGGAATAGTACATCTTCACCCACGGGAAGGACACAATGGGGGATTCCCGCCTGCTGAGGTTGAACTGAAGTTCCTGCAAACCTCCAGGTTACCAACTTTTAGTTGATGAATCAAAGTTTACATACCCGAGGATTGGAAAGGCTGCTTAGGGTCACCAACACCTGCCAAGAGTCAAGGTTGTCGTGATCAACCATGTAGTACGCCCGGAATTTCATCTCCACGTTGTCCTCCTCGAACGCAAAGCGCGCTACACGAATCTCATGCTCAGGCTTGGCGTAGATGTGGAGTGCCGGACGACCACTGACGAACACCTGCGGCATCGCATAGTAGTTCCTCCCGTCACCGACCCTGCGCCGGAAGTTCAGCTGATAGTGCGCCTTGGTATCCACAAAATCGCAATTCGGATACTCCTTGTGGGTGGTCGCGATCAGGCAAGCTACACCGTTGTGCCATTCCGTGTGGAAGTTCATCACGCCTGCAGAGATCTTGAAGAGGCTCATGGCGACGTTGGCCATCCTGGGGTACTTCCATTCGCCCCCTTCCCTCACCAGCTTGGAGAGAGCGTCGAACATGACTTGGTTGAGCGAGGATCTGATCCAATCATTGATGTCTCTCTGGAAATCGGCCACTTCCAGGGTGGTGTAGCCGCAATCCTTGGCGCTTTGGATCATCTCGCGGAGCAGCGTTGTGTACAATGCTAGTGTGGATCCGTAAGAGAGGAGTGTGTGCTTCATGTTGCTGGGATGCGAGAAGAGATTGAGCATTTGGAGGAGTTGGGCCTTGCACTGCTCGAATCGCACCACGATATTGTGCGTGCCGACCGAGTTATTGGCCTGGAAGGCCGCGACGGAGACGTAGTAGTCCTGGCCCAGCTGGGAGATGGTGGCATTCGCAGCTCTTGCTTGATCCGCAATGTTTTCAGCCAGAGCTTGCTCGATCTTCTTACCCACCGCCTCGAACAGCGAATCCATGGCGGCTTGTTTCTGCTGCGCGGTGCGGGGTGCAAGCGCTATGCTCCACAACTGCCCGAACATGGCCTGCGCGAAGGAGCCCACAACTGGGACCATCTTCGGGCCTAGCGAAATGCCCTTCTCGAACCCATCCAGGAGTGCCTGCTCAACAATAGAACCTGCCATCTTTCCTTGAAAGAATGAAAGGATTCCAAGCTCTGGAGCAAGATGAAGGCAAGAGAAGCTGGATAAACTGAAAAAAAGGTGGAGCACTCCCTTATATTTGTGCAGCTCCGCGGCTTGGCTTTTAAAGCATACAAGGAGGATATGCTTTCCACAACTTTGTTGATCGATGTTTTATCAGATACTTGCGTGGTCCACAGCGACCAAAACAAGTTTGCGAACAATAACACAACTTGGGAGGACATCACATCCAGTTGAGAGGCACGGCTGACACAAGTTACAAGTTGTGTTTGCACATATGCACGTTTCACTGTGTGACTGATTTCTCGGTATGGATCTGATTCGGAATTTTTAAGATCAGCTATCCTGCACACAGCTTCATTTGCGTCTACGTCCTTGACCAGTCCCAGTACAAGGTGGTAAGCGTGGAACTGGCACTGGCGGCGGCGAAATCGAGCTGTGCAACGAGGATATGGAAAGGACAGCAGAAGCAACTACACCACAAGTTCTTGCTCTTCTAAGCAAGAACAAGATCAAACAACAGCTAGAGGCTTCTTCAATGTGGATGCAGAGAGCAGCAGTCAGTAAATCAGATCTCTCAAAGTAAACTCCCAAGTACGTTTTTTCCTTTGAAGATCTTTGATTAATTTGGCAGGAACCACCTCCATTTTTTAGCATGACACCTTCAAAAAGACACAAGGTCGGCCAGGATTTTTTTGACTTTCAAACTAGATCATGGTTATGTCTCAGATTATACAAAACCGAATCTATGTACAGACTCAGCCTCTCCACTTGCATGGAGGCCAAAAACTGGAGCAAAACCAGACAAGATTCCACTCTGAAAACAAGAAGAAAAAGAAAAAGAAAAGCACACAACCACCTCCCAGTATCTGCAAGAACATATACTTAAGAAACGAGAAACGCTAAAATCCTGCAACATACCTTCTTTATCCGCATTCGATGGTGTCTCGAGCAAAGCAGCAGCACCGAGCTGTCTGGCTCCAAGGAGCACGGATTCACGCAGTGAGTGGATCAAATGTGATAGGCGCTTTTGTAAAGACGGACAGCACGAACGGTGCTTCCTGGTGTGGAGCGAACGTTGTTGGAACAACTGTGTAACCCCTTGGATCAGGTTCCAGCACCATCTCTCTCTTGAGTTGACGAAATCTGTGCCCCCAACAGGCTTTAATAGTCTTTTCTATGACCCAAAAGTAAAACTTACCTTCTGTAGGTCGTCCGCTTTTCACCGGTGATTGTCACCATGCCGTGAGGCTCCACGCAGCTTACGTGATCTCTGGAGATGCTTGACGTGTCTCCATTCGCGGACGGATCGGCCTAATGCCGCCCCACGCGGACATAACATCAGAGCGGCGGACCTGAGAGGAAAGAAAAAGTTAGAACAGACCAAAAGAAAGAAAGATCAACTTGTTGTTCCTTTACCTTGACACAAACGTAGTCACTGATGGCGTCCAAGATGAACTGGATCTCCTCTTCCTTCAGCTCCGGAAGCATGGTGATAGGGGAAATAGAATCAGTGGTCCCAGCCACCGTTCTTCCCAGTCATGGCAGCATAAACACCACCCGGCCATCTTTCGTCTTGGGAACAATGAGCCCCATAGACTCGGGCGAGTAGTAGTCGGGAAGAACGACGTGAACGCCACTGCTGGGAGCGATCATCGGCTTGGACTCCTTGTCCGCAAATCTTCTCAGCTCGTCCACAAAAGGTCCCCCGGCATTCATCACGACCTTTGCATGGACGTCAAATTCCATGCCGCTAAGATTGTCCCGGACTCGAGCACCCACGACTTGGCCAGTGGATCCATCCTTGATGATCGCGGTTGCCTCGGCGTGGTTGAGCACTGCTGCTCCCGCCAGCGCCGCCGTGCAAGCCAGAGAAACGTTGACGCGAGCATCGTCCATTTGGCCATCGTAGCAGACCACCGTGCCTTTGAGCGTCTTTCCATCGCCCGCTGTCTTTGCAACCGAAGACACCGGGAAGAACTCGAAGGACTCGACGGAGGTGTGCAGCATTCTGGATGAGCTGCGCTCGCTCGTCCAGTGCGTCCAGTGCGTACTGCCTTCTCGAGATATCTCACACCTGGAGCAAGTTGGTACAACGAGAGAAATGTAAGAACTATTGTCTGGTCGATCCATCGAAAGAAAGCCCATGATCCAGACATTCCAGAGACAAACTATCCAAAAAAAAATGTTTGATCGATCCAGGAAAGCCCGAGATACCCAAACAAAGATCTTGACCACTTACTACTTTAAAGAAAGAGAGAGAAACTAGAACTCACCTCCATGGATGAGCTTGGTCGACACGCGAAATCGTCCCTGTAACACGGAGGCTACGAGCAGCGGCGTCCAATGCGACTCCACAGCCGGTGGCGCCATCCCAGACTACCAGGAGATCAAGAGGGCTTGCCGGGCTGGTGCTGCGCAGCCAATCGTGGCGGCACTGTCCAATGCACAGCTGCCATCCTCATTCCCCCGCTCCTTGGCCAGCACTGGCTGCGCTTTGGAGTAGGACACGAGAGCCCTGTCGTTCAAGCCCTTCGTAAGTCTGAGAATGTTCTTAAGGCAATTTTATTTTAGTAGATTCTTAATCTTCATATCACAGCCATGGCAGCTTTGGAGCCTTCGCGGGCACAACTTCAAATGCGATCAAGTAGTAATTCTTGGTTGCGGGCCCAGCAGCCTTAGTGGTGATGTGGTAAGACCTGCTTTTTAATGGCTTAAACGAACTGTACTCGTCATAATAGACTCTCATGTTGGTCCTAAACTTGTCAAACTGGGTGGTCGGAGGATTTCCGGGGTAGTACATCTTCACCCACGGGAAGGATACAATAGGGGATTGACGCTTATTGAGGTTGAACTGAAGCTCCTGCAAGCAAGAAACCAACTTCAGTGTTACCATCTGTGTCCAGAATCTTGAAACATTGAGCAAGTTGATGAATCAAAGTTTACGTACCACAGGTTTGAAACCGCTGCCCACGGTCACCAACACTTGCCAAGAGTCGAAGTCGTCATGATCAACCATGTAGTACGCCCGGAATTTCATTTCCACGTTGTCCTCCTCGAACGCGAAGCGCGCTACATGAATCTCCTGCTCAGGCTTGGTGTAGATATGGAGTGCCGGACGACCACTGACGAACACCTGCGGCATCTCGTAGTAGTTCCACCCGTCACCGGGCCTGCGCCGGAAGTTCAGCTGGTAGTGCGCCTTGGTATCCACAAAGTCGCAATCCGGATACTCCTGGTGGTTGTTCGCGATCAGGCAAGCTGCACCGTTGTGCCATTCAGTGTGGAAGTTCATTAAGCCTGCAGAGATCTCGAAGAGGCCCTTGGCGACGTTGGCCATACCGGGGTACTTAAATTCGCCCCCTTCCCTCACCAGCTTGGAGAGAGCGTCGAACATGACTTGGTTGAGCGAGAATCTGATCCGATCATTGATGTCTCTCTGGAAAGCGGCCACTTCCGAGGCGGTGTAGCCGCAAACCTTGGCGCTTTGGATCATCTCGCGGAGCAGCGTTGTGTACAATGTGAGCGCGGATCCGTAAGAGAGGAGTGTATGCTTCATGTAGCTGGGCTGCGAGAAGAGATTGAGCATTTGGAGGAGTTGGGCCTTGCACTGCTCGAATCGCACCACGATGTTGCGCGTGCCGACCGAGTTATTGGCCTGGAAGGCCGCGACGGAGACGTAGTAGTCCTGGCCCAGCTGGGAGATGGTGGCATTCGCAGCTCTTGCTTGATCCGCAATGTTTTTAGCCAGAGCTTGCTCGATCATCTTCTCCACCGCCTCGAACAGCGAATCCATGGCGGCTTGTTTCTGCTGCGCGGTGCGGGGTGCAAGCGCTATGCTCCACAACTGCCCGAATATGGCCTGCGCGAAGGAGCCCACCTTTGGGATCATCTTCAGGCCCAGCGAAATGCCCTTCTCGAACCCATCCAGGAGTGCCTGCTCAACATCCATCTTTCCTTGAAAGAATGAAAGGACTCGAAGCTCTGGAGCAAGATGAAGGCAAGAGAAGCTGGATGAACTGAAAGCAAGGTGGAACACTCTGTTATATTAGTGGAGCTCAGCGGATGGCTTTTAAAGCATGAAGATCTGTCAATACACACACCTAAGTGATCAACAAACCTGGCATCTAATCTAGCATTAGACCAAATGAATGTATATTAAAACCTTATCACTCTTTTGGTCATTTAGTTTTCAATAGCAAAAAACAACATGGGAGGACATCACATCTTATCCTTTTGCAGAGCACAGGTGACACAAGTTACACGTTTTATTTGCTGCGCAGGATAGCTGGCTGGACAGAGAAATTTTGCCACATAGCATCAGTACACAGCGTCTATTCCTTTACCAGCAGGGCATAAATTTGAAATGCACCTTCAATTGAAAGAATAAAAAAAAATTGCCTGGTAAATTTTTTTTTAAGGCTAACCTGCAAAACAAAGATTTTGACAATTCTTCTTGTGGCTTTTGCTGGGCGGAATGTACCCTAACAATGTCATTTGAAGAGCATTTCAATTTAGATTCTTTTATTCTGGAGAAAAAAGTTGAGTTAGTTAAATTAGTTTAGGTCTTCTTTAAGATTGTCTCTCTCTCTAAGTGAATTTTATGTTCTTGCAATGAATAGTTCTCTTGTTCTAGAACCATTTTCTATCTGCCATTTGGTTGAGTGTTTGTCTTAGCACTTCAATGTCACTGAGAGAGCTGGATCCCACTTATGAATGCTTACTATAAGTAAGTTCTATTTGTTTTGACTACATGAAAAAGAAAAGGTGGGACAATCAGCGCTTGCTATGCATTGGATTTGATATAAGAATGAGTATAATTTGCAAAGGGTAAAGGATATGCACAAGAGAGAATCTTTTATATGATTATTAAGTAAGATGTGGTTAAGAAAATAACCCTTTCACAATTACCTCCCTATCGGATGGCTGCCATTGGCTAGATCTAATGGTGTTAACAGTTGAGTGTTGTAACATCTGTGCATGCAATATAGAACAAATTAGCAATGCTTGGTTTGCTTAATAGTAGTGTTATTTTTACTAATTAATCCAAAATAAAATATATTTATAATTTATAAACACAAGATTAATCTTATTGCATATCAACTATTAGATGGTAAAATAAAAAGAATATACTAGAAAGTGTTTAAAAAAGTTTATAAATTATAAATATAAAATTAATCTAAATGAATAACAACCGTTAAATAGTAAACTAAAATATCCAAACATATTTTAGGTATATCCACTATTATACAGGTTTACTTCAGCAAACCAAAAATGTAATTAAACATAGGGACAATTCTAATGTGTAATATGTCATATCCAATGTATGTATATTCTATCATAAATTATTAGGCTTATCTTCGTGAATCATTATTGCATGATGTCAATCACTCTGGATGGAATTCTTGCAGCTCCTGCCATGGAGAGAAGGATGCTGAGCGTTGCTACCTTGTTCTTCCATCGGTAGTGTGAGTATATCACAGCTTCTAAGTTTTGTCCGTGAGCTAAGTTCTTTGGTCTTTCAGTTCTTCTCGAATTTACATTGTGAACACTCTGAAAGATCCGAAAGCTCCAGTGCTTCACAAAGTGATCGAGGCGGAGGATATGTACGAAAAAACTGGGCTCGCGTTTCCTCACACCGTGCCTGCCTTGCTTCTGGCGAGATTATGATCTCGTGCCTTGGAGACAAAGAAGGACGAGCACAAGGAGCTGGATTTTTGCTCTTGAATGAAGAATTCAACATCAAAGGAAGGTAAGTTCTTGTGAGTTCTTGTCGTTCACGTAGATCACATTTTTTTTTTGGTCACTGTTGAGCTTTGGAACTTACGACTTAGATGGGAAAAACAAGGACATAGTCCCTCTTTTGGCTACGACTTTTGGTATCAACCTCGTCACAAAATGATGATCAGTGGGCGCCCTCTGCGTTTACCAAAGGTTTTGATTTGGGAGATCTTTCCAAGGTCTGTACGGGAGAGAACTCTTTGTGTACGACTGGCCGGGCGGAACTTTGAAGCAAACCATCGATCTCGGCGACACTGGATTGATCCCACTTGAGGTAGCGCTTTTTTCATTTTCTCTCTTTTTCCCTGGAGTTTTGTTGGTGTAGATTCGATTTCTACACAATCCAGAAAAGGATACTGGCTACGTAACCTGTGCTCTAAGCAGTACTTTGGTCCGGTTCTTCAAGAAAGATGATAGCACTTGGGATCACGAAGTAAGCTTGAATAGATCGTGGAGTTCTAACTCTCTCTCTCTCGTTGTTTGATCTTAAGGTGGTGGCAGACTGTTTTGCCGCTCGCTCAAGGTGAAGAACTGGATCTTACCCGAGATGCCTGGCTTGATCACGGACCTTCTCATCTCCCTGGATGATCGCTTCCTCTACTTTGTGAATTGACTTCACGGCGATTTGAGGCAGTACAACATCGATGATCCATCCAGGTCGGAAGTATTGATTGGGTTGCGTGTTGCTAACCGGGCAGCTCTGGCTGGGAGGCTTGGTTTCCAAAGGCAGCAAAGTGGTGGCGGTCGAGAGCTCTACCGGAGAAGACTGGCAATCCAGCGTTCCTCCAGTCCAGGTAAGTGAAGTTCTCTCTATCCGATCGAGTTCGAACGAGAAAACTTTGGTGTTTCCAGGGGAAGAAACTGAGAGGAGGCCCAAATGCTGCAGCTCAGCCTCGATGGCAAGCGTCTCTACGTGACAAACTCGCTGTTTAGCTCCTGGGACAATCAGTTCTATCCGAGCCTCGCGAGCGAAGGCTCTCACATTCTCCAGGTGGAATGCAACACCGAGAAAGGAGGCCTAGCTCTCAATCACGATTTCTTTGTCGATTTCGGCGAGGAGCCAAACAGTGGCGCACGAGATGCGCTACCCTGCACTTCCGATATCTGGGTCTAAAAATTTGGTCTTTAAATTTTAGGGTTCTTCCCATGTGCGACGCGTGGCAGACGCCAAGTGTCATACTCGACAAGGAAATAATTTTCTAGGGCTGGATAAGTGTATAGCAATCGCTGTCGAAATTTCGCTCATTCCGATCGGAATGCCAAAGAATCCCTGGCATCTCCCCGATCTAGAAACGAGAATGGAAAGAAGAGGATCGAGAAGAAGAGGAACGCGAAGAAAGATCGAGCGATCTAGAAATCTAGACCAGATGGAGAGAAACTGAGAGATTATATAGGCGGTGGAGAGAAACGATCCCATCGATCGTATGTAGACAACGCATCGCCACCCAAGAGGACAGGAAATCGATCGTAGGCACACACGGCCGCTGTGCGCCGCGGCCAGCATGCAGCGGCAGCGAGCACGAAGCAATGGCCAGCTCCCTCTTCTTGGCGGAGATGGTGAACGATTTCATGGAGGAGTGCCGCTTGAGCGGTTGCTGTAACGGCGATTCCCTCTCCAGTTAATGCCAGTACCAAATCGCAAGATCTCACCGACGAGCTGCGAGATTTCCTTCTGCATCGGGTAAGCAAGCACAGATCGATCGATCGCTGTTGCAGTGCTCTCATCTCGGAAATTTCCAGAGATTTTCTTGCAGTGGCGATCGACGTCGAGCGAAGATCGTGACGCCCGGTTTGCAAATAGCGCTGGAGCCAATCCAAAGGAATCTCCAAAGGTCGGTTACAAACTATTTCTATGTCATTCTCACAGCGTGATTTTCTCCTCTCTTCCAGGAGAGTACGCCTCCTCGACGCCGGCTCCAAACGAGTGATCATCGACACAGATTTTAGCTCCCAGTTCGTGATCGCGCGCCCCAGCGACGAATACCAGGCGATCCTCGCCGAGATCCCGCCAGTGTTCGTGGGCACAAAGGACGAGCTCCACAAATTCCTCCACCTCATCTCCCTCGCGATGAAACGCTCGCTCAAGGCGTCTCACGCTCCCTCCCTGGCAGAGACCCGACTACCTCACCGCGAAGTGGTTCTCGCCATACCGGAGAACAACCAATCCAACCGACAATGCTCCGTTCGTCATGCTGCGTAGATGGTGGCATTTAGAAAATCAATTCGCTCTTACAAGTTGTGATGACATACCCGTTTCCTGACAACCCTCCATTCCACAAGTCTACCATCCCAATACCTCTTCAATAACATATACAAGAATAGAAATGATACCTTCAGCAGTCTATGGCACGATATTGACATCTTCAATAATTCCCACTGTAAAGACCGTTTCTGCATCTCGTCTACCTTGTTGCAAGCTGTATACCTGTAAATTTATCATACAGGGTCTAAAGCTAGAAACAAAAAGATTTTGGAATTCACCTGTCCTTTTTCGTCGTAAGCTGACGAAGCAATGTTTCGGGCCTTCTTTTCCAAGACAGTCAGCTGCCCCCCTACAAGTTCAGCTTTTCACAGGCCAAGTGGAATGGGAAGGAGTGGCTCGTATGGCCAGTGACGAAGTGGAAGCTTTGCGTAATACGAGAATGCTGACTGAAAAAGCTTACGCTTTCCTGTCCAAAAATCGTATATTGATGTTGTTAACTACTGCCTCAGCAAATTGTTAAGAATACCGTCTGGCATTGTCTCCAGGTCTGTCACCTGTGTACTGTCACTAGAACCACCTCACTAGAACCACCTGCGGAAAGTAGCCTTTATCTCGGTACCATCCATTCAAAATGTCGAGAACCATGTTAAGCCTTTGAATGTTCACAACTTTTCCTACAAAACTTAAAGAGCAATGCAACACATTCTTAATGCTGCTCGCCCACTCGGAAAGAAGATGAAAAGAGAAACAAATGGCATACCATACTCGTTTCGAAAGGCATCCTTCGTGGGAAGAACGTTTGCGCCAGAGAGAATCCGCGCGGGCTGGAGCGCCAACGGTGGCGCCTCCGCCCTGGCAGACGACATCCGTGGCGTGGCCAACAGAGCAATCACGTCCGTCCATTCGTGATGCCATCTGGACCGTTTATTTTGCCATGCCAACTTTCCTTCGTGACCAAACCTCTTAGAAAATCTAAGAAATTTTTCGTATCTGCCAAGAATGCTTGAGTATAAAACCGGAGTTTATCTTTGCAAAGAACTCAACAATGGATGCCGAAGTTCTTCCACTGCACTTGGGTGTGAAGAATCTGGTCGATTCGGGCCTGGACAAGCTGCCCGGCATTTACATCCGATCCATAGAGGAGCACCCAAATGCCGTTCATCGCGAGGAAAGCTTCCCAGTCTTGGATGTTGGCGCCGCCTTGAATTCGAGCGAGGCTCGAATTCAGCGCTTGTCCCGCAAATCCGTGAAGCTTGCGTGAAATGGGGCTTCTTCCAGGTGTGCTATTGTTCTTGCTCCCAAAATCTCTTTGATCCATCACTGGGTCTATGAATTGATCGAGAATTTTGTGATCTTCTCCATACAGGTGATCAATCACGGTGTTCTCCATTTTTTGGTGGATGAAATGCAATCGGTGGCTCGCGAATTCCACGCTCTCCCAAACGAGGAGAAAATGCGCTACTTCTCCACAGACACCGAATCCCGAATGAGGTATGAAACCAGCTTCAATGTTACACAAGACAAGGTTTTTAGCTGGAGAGATTACCTCCACCATAGCTGCCTCCCACTGGCCGAGATGCAAGATCTCTGGCCTGACAAGCCAGCATCTTACAGGTATAAATACCTTCTCGCCATCCTTCCTTAACATCTCTGGTATATGATCTTCTTATAGGAAAGTTTACTCCACTCGCGTTCGCAACCTTGCAAAGTTCCTCCTGGAGCTCATCTCTGAGAGCTTGGATCTTCCAAAGGATTACATCAACAAGGCATTCAATGGCTGCTCGCGAGTCATGGTTCTCAACTTCTATCCCGCTTGCCCCGAGCCCGATCTGGTACTGGGAATCGCCCCACACTCGGACCCCGGATCGATCACGCTGCTTCTCCAAGATCACGTCGAGGGTCTCCAGGTGATGCACGATGACGAGTGGTACTCCGTGAAGCCCATACCTTACTCGTTCGTGGTCAATCTGGGCGACCAGACCCAGGTCAGCGTCTCGCTTACTAATGTTGTCTGACTAGTCAAAGTTAATGTTTTCTTACAGATTTTGAGCAATGACAAGTATAAGAGTCCCGAGCACAGGGCTGTGGTTAATAGCAGTGAAGATCAAATGTCCATTCCTGGCAATGGGGAGAGCTTAGTGTGCCCAGCGAGCAAATTGGTAGAGGGCTCTCCAAGCTTATGTTTTATAAGGATTATATGACGGCTTTGCAAGGTGGGGCTTGGACACTGAGGAATTAACTTGATTTTGAGAACGTGTTAATTATCATGGAGATAATGGGAGCTCCACATGAGGAACTGGGAGGCAAAGGCACTTTTGTGAGTGATGAAAATCATCTCTTCAAAATATGGGCACTGCTCTTTTAAATATATCATTAACAATTGATGTGATGAAAATCGTTTAGCGCTATGGGGATCTTCCGCCATGAAAGCCCCTCCGGGTGATCTTCGAGGCCTACGTGCATTTGGAGGACACCAGGCGGATGTTATTGTCTCTCTGTCGAGCAAAGTCGTCGTGGTGGATCAGATGATGGCAGCCTACGCCTGCTATGGCAAGGTGGCGGGAGTGAGAAACTGGATGCTGCACAAAAAGGCCTTGGGGTGGAGCCTGCTGCTCATTGCATACGCGAGAAGCGGGCCAGAGCGTCCCAGCGGATTCCATCGCTGCCAGCGTCTTCTTGCCGAGTGTATCAAGGCCGCCAACTTTGAGTAGGGCGTACGGAGACCACGGTGGCGTAGGCCGTACAGCGTTAGACAATTTGATGACTGTTGAAGCATGCAACACCCTGATCCTGGTGTACAGGTACCTGGTTCAGGCAAGGAGCTGTTCTACGCAATGATGGACAAGTGCACCATGAACAACCGTGTCAGATCAGGTGGTCCTCTCGGCGGTTCTTAACACATTCTCGGTTCCAGTGGCTGGGGACAGTCCTGGACTATGGCATCTGACTGAGTATGGAGCACTATTGTGCTGAGACGATTCAGGCATGCCATTCGTGGCCCCGCCGTTTGTGCTGGGGCCACTGGCACTCTTCGACATTCCGTCGACGGAAGTTGCTCCTCGACAAGTGTAAGATTCTTTGGGACAGTGGATTCCCTTAAGATGTCAACCGTTTGACACATGGCTACTGTGCCAATTCTTTGCCCGGGGCATGGAATGAAGAGACAAGAGCAGTATATAAGCCAGGGCCCGGAGAAGGGATTCATACTTACCTGGGCAGGAGTTTTTTGGTGGCTATGAAGGCCAATGGCCTACACTCGGCTTTCCCATTGCACTTCGGTTGCCCAGCCTACCATCTTCCCAAAGTGGAGGAGTGGACGTTGTAAGTTGAGGGCTTGCGTACGTGTGGGATAAGTATCTCGAAGGCTAGAGAAGAATAATACGCGCGGCCCCTCCAATTTTAACTACCTATCATGCTCGCCAGTTTACCACCATACAACGAGAGCCGGCTCTCAAGAACACTGCTGTTTCATCCATTGAGCAGCGGTTCTTCTCTTGCCTCTAGTTGATCCACAAGCTGGAGAAAGCTTCCGTGAGATCCCTCCTGTGGCAGCAGTCTATGGACCAGCCCCCGGCGATGGCGGCTCGCTCCTCTCGAATCCTCTGCGCCTCTGGATCCTCGGCCGCGCCACCGTTGAGCAGGCTGTGTCCAATCGGCTCGGGCTGCTTCGTTGGCTGCTGCATCAACATCCCCGCCACTGCCGCATCCAAATTCTCGCTGCATGGAAAAGAATTTCTCGTTACCTGTTCTTTGGCTTCTCTCGTTTCAGTGAAGCCTTGCTCTTGCTGGAGAGCGGTGCTAATCTCCACAGCCTGTGTGTGTGTGTGTGTGTGTGTGTGAGAGAGAGAGAGAGAGAGAGGGAGAGTAAAGATTTGCTTACCTTGCGAGCTCTGGATGTGAGGATTTGCTCGTAGTTTTCCTCATTGTACGCCTTGATCTTGGCCTCCGTTTCATCCACATTGATGCCTTGGACCAGATTGAAGACTACAAGGCAAAGTGACTGAGAGAATGAAACGAGAGCTCACTGATGTCCTCTACGTCTTCCAGGTAGTCCTTGTAGTCTCTGAGGGACGCGAAATTGTCCTCGCGCTTGTTGTAGCTGCCACGCACAAGCGATTGACAAAAATGGAGGAGAGATCTGCGATGCTTACATGCTCGCGATGCGCCTTCGCACTTGCATCTCCCTGTTCATCCCTAGGCCGTAGAACCTTAAGTTTTCCACATTCTCAGTTCTTCTTCTTCACGCGAAGTGATAACAAGCATTTTTGTGATCATTGAGGATTTGATAGGATGAATTGAAGAAATTTGAGAATTGATAGAATGATTTCAATTCACGAAACAACAAAAAATATTACAAGTTCGCTTCTTCAAGACGAAAAGGAACAAATCTTGAATCTGTGCAAATCCATGTCACAGCATTGACAATCTGGCTGAAGTCGCAAAGTATGGAACAATTATTGCTTGTTCTTGTTTTCTCTCCTTGATCTTCTCATCTGAGACTTGGGCATTCTTCTTGGGCTTGATCTTGCTGGTCTTGTTGCTGCTACTCCTCCATCCAAACCAGCCCATGCCCTTGTTAGGACTGAGTTCCTGTTGATTGCCCTTCAACTCCACAGCATGAACTTGAGCCATGGGTTTCCAATCACAAAATGGAGAATCGACAATGAAGAATTTGCAGAATTGTTATGGACTTTGGTGCCTGGAGCCTGGAATTATATTTTCTACACTTTGTCGCTACGAGTTCCTGACACTTAACTTCTCATCCTATTTTATATCCTGGCTTTCCACGAGACTTTCCTTGCACACCAAGCAAAAGACTCGGCATGCAAATAATGTGTCCTGGAATGTTTTGGGATGTGATGTTATGCTTGACCAGAACATATCTTGAAAGTTTCAAAGGGCAAAATTATCACGTGCAGTCAAGTAAGTTCTAAGTAGAATTTTGATGTGTTTGAAAAGATTAACGTCCAGTATTCAATCGAGATATCTTAAATTTCCATGCTTTTGGGAGGATCATATCCCTCCCAAAATTTAGAACAGAATCAGATATTCATGATGACAAATTTTGTGTCATTACAAAAAATAAAGCCTATTACAGGAGTGGAAGTCTAGGCAAGGCAGAGAAATGCCAATTGCATCGTTATTCTTTTTCACTGGCTCACTGCTACTTTTCATAGTCTTGCTCAAATTGCTTGCTACTTCTTTCAATTTCCATTGTCTCATTGCAACCTCTTGTTGCTCTTCCGTGTTTCCACCTTGAACTCCTGCTGCCATTCCAAAATAAATGATTGTTTTGTATCTGAAAAGAGTCAAAGTCAGTAGACAACACTAAACTACATAAGAAAACCTTTTCTTTGACAATGTGTGTCAGTGCGTCTTTGAGGCAGTCAGCAGCGATTCCTCCATAAGCTCGAACGAGTCCTCCAGTTCCAAACCTCATTCCACCAAAGTACCTGGATTTCCAATTAGCTTTTGTTCTTTCGTTTGGAAAAACGATGATAGGTACCTCGTGACAAAGACCATAACTGCAATGGCAGCATAGATTGGCCGTCCTTTTGTTCCTCCAGGCTCCATCATCGCTAAAACGGTAGCGTTCTTTGATATAAGTGGGAAGAAAATGAAACATTCAAACAAGGAAAGAAGAAGGTGAAATAAAAGAACCACCTTGTAAGTCTGAGTTGCCTGTGGATCCAAGACCTTGCAAACAAAAGAATGAGCTAAGATTGCAATTTTCTTCTTTGCAAAACTAGACCTCAGAGATAAATGCCAATGGCTTTGTTCAACTGTCCAAGATGAACTTAGTTCATTTGGTCTCGCACTGCGAAAAAACCCTGGTTAGATTAAATTATTAGGCATTAGATTTTAAAACTTTAAAATAATAAAATCAATATAATGTATTGCTTAGGATTTATTATATTTTATGTTGAGAGTCTTATAGCCTTTTACTTATTCCTTTAGAATAACAAAATTCTAAAGTTTTTAAACTATATCATTTATAATTACAGATAATAACAAATCTGAAAGAATGGGATAGTTTTAAAAATGGAATTGCATAAGATGAAAAACAAATTACTCATTATTGCTTGTTAACCTTTTGATATAAAACTATATTATAATGTATGTGATTATGGGATAAAATTTAAATGTACTGTCACCATAGATTTTTGGAACTTTAAGGGATAAATAGGGATAAAATAACCACTAAAGGCTCTTTTATTAAAAAAATGCCTTTTTTTTAGTTGGGTTAAGGGGAGAAAAATAAGTGCACATATGTGGTATCAAAGTAAATAACATGGGTTCAATTCCTTCAAATTCGAATTATATATTTGGCATGGATGCATATGTCCTTTTTGTGGGACATGATTCATTGCCTCACATAAAATAATTAATTTATATAATGGAATTGCCCCTCATCTACACCACCAATGTGAGTGCATAGAATATGAAAATGGAATACAGTATATATTTACTTAGTAAATATAAATTAAAATTTAAAAATTATAACTTTAAATTTGTCATAAAATCTTGTTTAGGAATTGGATAAATAAAAATACTCATCATTCCTCATTCTAGAGTTAAATACCACATTTTCCAAGCACTTATTTATTATAATATATAAATAATAAAAGCAATACAACTCAAAGCAATTTGTTTTTCTTAAGAATTGCAGGTGAAGATTGTAGATATCAGTGCCAATTCGTCCATTGACCCTGAGAGGTAACAAAAGTGGCATGTTCTTCTTCTGAAGTCTCATTTGCCCTAGACAGATTATCAGCTGGTGTAACATGGATAACATGAAATTTGAACTTGGTCCAGGTTTGAGAAACTTTTTCTTTTCTTAAGCATTGCATACTTACATGTAGGTTGGACATGTTGTCAATCTTTCCATCCAGGTCCAAATCACAGTGAAAAGTGGAGTTATGGAAAATGATGTCATGCTGTTCCATCAAATCAAACACCCTATGAGCATCTTCTAGACTTTCACACTTGGCATACAAGTCCACCATCACGTTTGCCAAGTGTAAATGTTTCCTCGCTTCCAACTTGAAGCCACGAGATGCATGAGAGTGAATCGCCATGGCTCGTTCCAAGCTCTTGATCTTCACAGCCAACGACGCATCAATCTCCTCTCGCACAGCCAAACTAGAGCAAGCTTTGACAGCCGCGAGAAAACTCAAGCTATCCGTATTGATTATAGTAGCTTCCACCTGCGAGAAGAGCTCCAGAGCCAAATCTTCCTGCCAGTTTTGAGCATATCCCATAACATCGTCCAGGAAACAACGTCGTGGTTCTCAATCCCATCGAAAACTCGCCGAGAGTCTCTCATGCTTTCCACACTTGGCATAGGCATCCGCGAGACAAAGTTGCCAAACGAGCGTACCACGAGAGCATGCTATCTGAGCTCTTGGCAGGCCTGGATTGCCACGGTTCTCTCGAGAAACTTCATCCTCCCCGCGAAGAACTTCCCATTATCGTTCCCTGCTCGTTCTCACTCGTCCAGAATCACGCAAGCCTTGAGAAGGGCCTGGAGAGCGGGGCCGCTTGGATCGCAGCCACTTGTTTCCATCTGCGAGAACAAATCCAGTGCCATCTCCGGAGCTCCATTCTGGACGTAGCCTGCAATGAGCGCAGTCCAGAAAACCACGTCTCACTGCTCCATCCCCTGGAAAATCCTCTCCAAGCAGCCACATTTTGCGTACATGGCCACGAGAGCGCTGGCGATGTAGATGTTTTTTTCCTCTCCAAACCTCTTGGAGGATCTCCCTGCCGACCCTTTGTTCTAGCGCATACCTTGAGCGCCGCTAGCAGCAGCGTATGGACTCTGATCGCGCAGAGCTCCATTCCAGTAAATGTTATCACTTAAACATGATACCTTTAAAAATATAAGTGAAGATTCCACCTTTACAAACAAGCCCTAAGAGCTCATTTGAGATGGTTAAGCGAGAGTGCAAACATAACTTGCAGAATGATATGCACAAGAAGCTTAGGCAAGGGATGGAGTACCATTCAATCTTGGATGAAAAACTCTGTGAGGAATACTTAGTGCTGGTAGAGAAATATAGACTAAAAAAGTCGATTGGGGGTGGAGGGCAAGCTACGGTGTATAAGGCATTTCGAAGGAGTGATGGGAAGCTGTTTGCGATCAAGACAGTCCATGGGCCTGATGGGCTGTTTGAAGCTCGAGTGATGGCTATGCTAGAGGTGTCACTCAAGGGTTTGGATGAGCAGGGGCTTGTTGTCGAGGGCCAGAGCCAGCTCAAGAATAAGACTTGGTCCAAGTCGGGGTTTTTTCCTTCTTTTTGGTTATAGTGGGGGGAATAAGGGAATATTCTGCTGAAAACAGGGTGTGTCCCTTGGTGCCAGAGGTTGACGATAGGGGGGACGGCCAATTGGAGGCATAGCATGTGTGTAGAAGGGAAGGGAGTGAATTAAAGAGAAGGTCTTGGAAGGATGCCTCATCCAACAGCCTTGGAGCGCGTGGAGCAGAGGTTGGCAGTGCAGCGGCGACTACGGTTGTTCGAGGAGCGTATCACAGTGAGAATCGCTCAAGATCAACCAATTTGTGTGAGTTGTCCAACTTGTGGGCAGCCCTGGGTTAGGATGTTGGCAGAGGTTCTAGCAGAGGTTGCTGACGAGGCTAGAGACGAGGCTAGGCAGCAGTGATTCTCCACGTCGCTGGTGTGTTGTCGCGAGGAGCGACATCTTTTGGTGCACTGCCCGGGAAGCGAAGCGAGCGTGGAGATTGTGGTAGAAGGGTGAGCGCCAGGAGAAGCCGGGCTGCCCTTACCAAATCGAGGCCGTTCCTTCTTGGTGTATGAGCCAAAGAAGACAAGAGTATTTGGCAAGACTTGTAGAAGCACAAGAGCGAGAGGAAAGACGAACAAAGCAGAGACGTGAGAGAGAGGCAAGAATTCTTGCGAGAAATCTGCCACTGGTTCATGAGCCTGAGAGTCCAAGAGCGAGGAGTGCAAATCCTCGGCCAAGCAATCCTGTTAGCGAGCAGGAGAACAATCAGGAACAAGAAGACGAGTGGCAGGAGTTCCAGTCGTCACCGCCACGACAACAGCCAATAGAGCAGCAACAGCAACCACCAATCCAACAAGTACAACAACCTCGACAGCAACAAGCAGGGAATATGGCAACGACAAAAATGAAGTATACCATCTTTAATGGTATGGGAGATCCAGATGCCCATGTGACGGCGTTTGAGAATACGTCTACAGCAAATGATGAGGCAGATGCAGCAGATCGCAGGAAACTTTTTCCAGCCACGTTACAGGGCATAGCTGCAGAATGGATGGCTCAAGTTCCAGCAGCGATAGATTGGGCAGCATTGAGAGCATCCTTTTTGGCTACCTTTCGGCCAGTAGGCTTTTCACAGCGACTCATGAGTGATCTGAGTCATTTTCAACTCTTGCCTGGCGAGAGTTTACAAAGCTATACATTAAGGTTCAAGGGATTGATCCTCAAGAAGCAGCCACAACTGACAGAAGAAGAGCAAGCACAGTATTACACAAATGGCTTGCCTCATGCGGTTAGCTTTTATGTCTCGTGCCATAATCCACAAACTTTGGCCGATGCAATTCGTCTGGCGGGAACCTGGGAGCAAGCGCAGCTCAAGATGAGACACCACTTCAGTAATCTTGGACTGGGAGCTTTCGGCGATGGAATGATGAATCCCATGATGGGAGGACTCGGAAGCACACCGCAACAACAAATACCTACTGGACAGCAGCCTTTTGGAGTCTTTGGAACAGGTCTTGGGATGATGGACTATAGCCGCCAACAACAGCAACAATGGCAAGCTTCAACAAGTGCAGTTCCAAATCCAACGGCAACTACAGTGGACATCCAAGCAGAGATGAAGAAAATAAAGGAAGACATGGTGGAAGCCATGACAAAAAAGATGAGTGACTTGCAATTGAACTGGGTCAGAGGGGTATAGAGCAGGCCACAGCCCGTGCGGCAGCGAGAAAACATCTGGTGTGTGCGATGCAACAATTATGGACACTACCCAAATGAGTGTCCACAGCCAGTGGTGAATCGAGAGAAGTGTCAGTATTGCCGGCGAACTAATCATCGCTCAGAGGATTGTTTTTACAAGCCAGGAAATCCAGCAATCCCTGCAAGTTACATCCAGACTGCGCCATCATCACCACCATCTTCGGCTCGAGCACCGACCTTCTTTCAACGCTCGTTTTCTCCTCCAGTCCAGACCATGAGCTATGAGCCAGTGATTCAGGGGTATACGCCAGATATGATTCCAGTATATGCAGCAGCACCAATTCCAGGCGGCCGTGGACGAGGAGCTCCCCGTAGAGGACCTGTTCAATGCTGGAATTGCCATGAGATGGGCCACATTTCACCAAATTGTCCACATCCCAAGAAGCAAATTGGGTACCAGCCCATATGTGGAATCTGTCAGACACAAGGTTTGCACGAGCAGGACAATTGCCCGCATAAGCTCAAGCCAAGCAAGGGAAAGGGGGTTGTAGAAAGCAATGCAATTTTTGTCCAGCAAGCTACACCAGAATCTGGAGTTATGACACAGGCACGGAGGCGTCAACAGATGGAGAACTCTGTAATTGAGGATGCTGAGGAGAAGGATGACCCAGAGAAAATTGCAAGAAAGAACCGCAAGGAGAAAAGAGAGAGCAAACAACCCAAATCAGATCCACCGGCTACAAATGACCAAGATAAACCAGTCCCTGATTCTGAAATAACTACCCCAGCTAGGGCTCTTGACAAGGGCCAGGGAGTTGCCAAGGCACTACGTAAAAAGTGGAAACGAGTGCTGAATCTGGAAACGCAGCCATACAATATTCTTCAAGACTTGGATAGTCAACGCCCGAACATCACATTCGCCCAGCTTTTGCAATTGGCTCCAGGCATGAGGAAGGTGTTGGCCGTGGCCATGAAGGGACATCGAGAAGTACTGGTTAATTCAGCTTGGCCCCTTATCACAGATCTCAGTTCCCCCTGTATAGATGTGGAGACGCAAGGCGAGTTGATCCATCGTGCTGTGATTGATGGTGGAAGTGGGGTGAATATTTTGCCTAAGGAGACCTGGCGAAAGTTCAATCTTCCAGAACCAGTTCCAGTGCCATTTATGGTTAAAATGGCCGACCAGAGACGTGTCCAGCCAAGAGGAATCGTGACCAGTGTTCGCACTCAGATTGCTGGTCTAGTTTTCCACATCGATTTCGTGGTTTTGAGGATGAAGGAGGGCATGTTGGGCTATCCACTGCTGCTCGGACGTCCTTGGCTTCTCCAGGCGGCAGCTGTGCATAATTGGCGTACAGGAATTCTTGCCATTGGCGATGGCAATAATCGTGTTAAAGTCCAAGTTCATTTTCGCCCTAGGGCACGGCGAGTATTTGGGGCAGAACAGGAGGATGAAGACAGCTATGATACATCCAATTCTAGTAGCCAGACAAGCAGTGAGGACGATGAGGAGGATAGCAGCAGCACAGCCAGTTGTGAGGAGCTAGAAATGGTGGATGTGGCTGCTATCACCAAGAATTCCTGGGGTAAGCCTCTTTCAGCATGCAACACTGCGGAGCTTGAGAGCTGGCTGTGGGGAAAGGATGGAGAGTTGCCTTTCGGCAGCGTACAGGTGGTGGAAGAAGAGACTGGTGCCAGACAGTGGCGAGGACGGAGCTCTTTTCCTCGCTACATCGCTACGGTGCTACACGAGAAGTGGATGGACGGCATTTTGAATCCTGATGTGTGGAAAAAATTTTTGAGCGAGGAACTAGTTGCCACTTGCCAGCTCGAAGCTATTCCAGTGGAGCAGCCATGTTGGGCTATGCGAGCAGGGGAGTTGAAGCGGATAGTATATAGAGTTCCAGGTTTGACAATCAAGATACCAGAATTTCCAGTCGACTTGGATTTTCTGGTGGCACCTTGGAAAATGGACAACTATATCCTGCTGGGACAAGATTTCTTAAAGGCAGCAAGAGTGTCTCATCAGTGGAATGATCCGCTTCACTTGTGGATTCCAAATCCACATGGCAGTGACAGAGTGCAGATCGGCATGGAAGAAGGGGACGAGCCCAGAGAGCAAGTTTTTATCATGGTGTTGGAATCAAGAGCTGAAAATCAAGCTGTGCCAATGGCAGTGGCGTTCCAGACAGTGGACAGTTCTGAGGTCTGGATGGGAGGAACCAAAGCGATGCATCTCACAGCATCTTTGGAGAATGTGGAACTCACAGCAATGGTGGATCCAGGAGCACTTGGCAACTTTTTGACAAAAAATGGAGCAGCTCGAGCAAGCTTGGCGATTACAGCTCTTCCTGAGCATTACATTGCCGTTTGTGCCGATGGTGGAGTTTTTCCAGTGCTGGGTCTCGTGAGTTCCAACATGGTGATTGGTGAGGGAGACTTTCACGAGGTGCCTTTTTATGTGATCGAGGGCACTGTGACCAGCGTACCAATTACTTTGGGAGCAGCTTGGCTTTTCCAGGTACAGGCTAGTCACAACTATGTGACTAGTACTCTGGTGGTGGAAGATGATAATCATCGATATCGGACAATCATCTTGTCTGATATCAGTGCGTTTGATTATCACTTTTCTTACATGCTGAAAGTTGAGAAGGCTTCAAGGTTAAAAAGCAAGGAAGTGACAGCATGCAAGGATCGTAGTATGCTCAAGTCATCACCAACTCAGCTAATTCAGATCAGGAATGGACCTCAAGATCTAGCTGGTCATCAACTTTCCGTGGACGTGGTGCCAACAGCTAATTTGGAAGCAGGAAATTATCCCAGCTATTTTTTTAAGGAGCAGGTTGCCGATCTTCCACTCAAGGAGACTTCCGCTTGTTCCCAAGTTGATTCAGATTATTTTGGAAAGGCACCCCAGACACAGGCTGTGTTTATGGAGCAGGTTGGTGACGAGCGACGTGAGTTACTGGTGGGACACCAACTCACCAAGGAGGAGGTGGAAGCTTATCGTCAACTATTTTTGGAGTTTCGAGATGTGTTCGCATGGAGCTATGCTGAACTTGCTGGAGTAGATCCGGAGCTGGTGCAACACAAGATTCCCTTGCTTCCAGATGCGGTGCCACAGCGGCAAAGAGCTTATAAGATGAATCCAAGCTATGCTAAGGCTGTGCGTGAAGAGCTTCAGAAGCTGTTGGATGCAGGATTTATTGAAGAAGTGGAGGCTACAGATTGGCTCTCGCCAATTGTAGTGGTCCGGAAGAAGAATGGAAAACTTAGAGTGTGCGTGGATTATCGCCGCCTTAATGCTGCAACGAGGCGGGATGGATTTCCTCTTCCTTTCACAGATGTCGTGCTAGATGGGGTCGCAGGGAAGGAGTTGTACAGCTTTATGGATGGTTATAGTGGATATAACCAGATCCAGGTGGCTCCTGAGGATCGAGCAAAGACGGCATTCGTTACAGAGTGGGGTTGCTATATTTTTCGTGTTATGCCATTCGGTTTGACGAACGCACCAGCTACTTTCCAACGTGTGGTGACTTCAGCATTCAGATCTCTTCTTCATGAGAGTGTGGAAGTCTTCTTGGATGACTTCTCAACTTTTGGAAGCTGTGGAAAACATCTGGAGCAACTCCGTGCAGTGTTCCAGCAATGCCGAAAGTTTGGTATTTCTCTTAATCCTGGGAAGTGCCAATTCGGAGTAACGCACGGCGTGTTGCTTGGCAGGGTCGTCTCGGCTCGAGGCTTGGAGGTGGATCTTGCAAAAGTGAACGTAGTGGAAGAGCTTGAGGCACCACAGACCGTGAGGGAGCTACAAGCTTTTCTCGGCCATGTTGGTTATCACCGACGCTTTATCCGGCATTATGCTGATGTAGCTTTTCCTTTGACGGGCCTCTTGAAAAAGAACGTTCCTTTTGCGTGGACCCCTGAGTGCCAAGCTTCCTTTGTACAGTTGAAGCGAGCCTTGACGACCGCTCCAATTCTTAAGCCACCAGACTGGAATTTGAAATTTCATGTGCATGTCGACACCTCAGCTTTTGCTATTGGTGCTGTTTTATGCCAGCCAGTTAATGGTTGGGATCATCCCATCTTTTATTCGAGCAGGCAGTTATCTTTGGCTGAGAAGAATTATACAGCCACTGAACGTGAGGGCTTGGGAATGGTATTCGCTATTTCCAAATATCGCCACTATCTGCTGGGAAAGCCATTCCTCTTCTATCTGGATCACCAGGCGCTGCGCTATCTTATCAATAAGCCCTGTCGACACGGCCGAATCACTCGCTGGTTGCTTCTGCTTCAAGAATTCGAATTCGAGATCGTGTTGAAGCCGGGAAAATCTCATGTAATGCCTGATCATCTTTCGAGATTACCAGGAGAACCTGCTAGGGAAGGAGTTTATGATGAGCTGCCTAATGCTCCTCTTTTCTTGTTGGAGGGCGGGCAGGTTTCTGCAGAAATTCCAGCTATGTTCTCAACTCGAGCAGAAGCTGAGGAGCTACTGTTATACCAGGTTGTAGCTGTGCCGGAGTGGTATCAAGGTATTGCAGAGTTTCTGGCTGCTGGCAGATTTCCTGATGATATGCCGAAGGTGGCACAGAAAAGGCTTCTTTTCCAGTCACGAGCTTTCACCCTGATTGCTGGCCAGCTTTATAAGGAGGGAAGAGATGGTGTTATGAGGCGCTGCATTCTTCCTCATGAGGTGCAGCAGGTGATTGGCTCTTGCCATGATTCTCCCTACGGTGGGCATTATGCAGCAGCAGCGACTATACGGCTTGTGCTCCAAACTGGTTATTGGTGGCCAACGCTCTAGCAGGATGTGGCGAAATTTGTGAGAAGTTGTGATCCATGCCAGCATGTTGGGCGTCCTACTCGACGAGATGCAATGCCGTTACATCCGATTATTCCAGCTCTACCTTTTGAGAAGTGGGGAATCGACTTCATGGGGCCGTTCAAGCCTATGCGACATCGCCGGAATCGTTATATCTTGGTCTGCACAGACTATGTGACCAAGTGGGTGGAAGCTGAGGCTTTTACTGAGGACACGGCAGAGAAGGTAGCAGGATTCCTCTACAAGAATATCATCACGCGCTTCGGATGCCCACTTGAGCTTGTGAGTGATCGAGGTACGCATTTTATTAATGCGGTCATTGCAGCTCTCACAGCCAAGTATGGCATTTCCCATCGACGTTCGACGCCATATCATCCAAGAGCAAACGGCCAAGTTGAGAGAACCAATAAGACACTATGCGACACCATGACTAAGCTTTGCAACGCAAGTGCTAGCGACTGGGATACCAAGCTTCTTGATGCGTTATGGGCTTACAGGGTTGCCTACAAGGTAACTACACGGTTCTCACCATTTCAATTGGTTTATGGCCAGGAGGCGATCCTTCCTCTCGAGCTGGAAGTTCCTTCTTTGCGGACAGCGGTAGCTCACAATTATGATTGGGATGGAGCTGTTCAGCAGCAGCTGGAGCAGTTGGAGAAGCTAGATGAGACTCGCCTCCTTGCTTTCCAAGCCCGTGAAGTTCTCCAACGTCAACGCAAGAAGTGGTATGATCGTCATTTACGGGCTAAGAGTTTTCAGGAAGGAGATCTCGTGCTGCTGTATGAGAGCAAGTACTGGAAGCGTCCGGGAAAGCTTAAGATCCACTGGATTGGGCCTTATCGTGTGAAGGCTGTGAATATCAATGGCTCAGTCAAGCTGGAGGATTTTGCTGGTAATCCTTTGCCCACACCGGTGAACGGAGCTCGACTGCGGTGCTACCAAGTTCCATCTGGCGAGGAGTGCTCCGGGGACGGAGCACAATAGTTGCCGGGGTGATGTCGAGGGCCAGAGCCAGCTCAAGAATAAGACTTGGTCCAAGTCGGGGTTTTTTCCTTCTTTTTGGTTATAGTGGGGGGAATAAGGGAATATTCTGCTGAAAATAGGGTGCGTCCCTTGGTGCCAGAGGTTGACGATAGGGGGGACGGCCAATTGGAGGCATAGCATGTGTGTAGAAGGGAAGGGAGTGAATTAAAGAGAAGGTCTTGAAGGATGCCTCGTCCAACAGCCTTGGAGTGCGTGGAGCGGAGGTTGGCAGCGCAGCGGCGACTACGGTTGTTCGAGGAGCGTATCACAGCGAGAATCGCTCAAGATCAACCAATCTGTGTGAGTTGTCCAACTTGTGGGCAGCCCTAGGTTAGGATGTTGGCAAAGGTTAGAGCAGAGGTTGCTGACGAGGCTAGAGACGAGGCTAGGCAGCAGTGATTCTCCACGTCGCTGGTGTGTTGTCGCGAGGAGCAACACTTGTCCACTTCGAGCACATTATACGAGAAGAGCCCAATCAGTATGGGGAGGTGTACCACCTTGTTCTTGAGCTGTGCAATTGCAGCCTTCAAGACCGGATCAAGTACAAGGGGCAGCTTGATGAGGAAGAATCTACAAAGATCGTCATAGCTCTCGCCAAGACGCTAAAGAGGGTTCATGACAATGAGATCATCCATTGCGATGTGAAGCCCATGAATGTTTTGCTGAAGTACCCGCAACCTGGGAAGTTCTATGTCCCAAAGCTGTCCGACTTTGGGATGGCTTGCTGGATGGAGGATTTGTGGAACGAGCGTGGGGTTGGGACGTGGGATTATATGTCCCCCGAAGCAATGCTCGATGGGCACTATATCGCAGGCAGCGATGTGTGGGGCTTAGGGATGCTGCTTTACACTTGTCTTATGGGAACTTGTCTGTTCCCAAATCTAGATTTGGAGGTGGTATTTAAGAATGCACACAAGAGAGATCGAAGTACAAGGAATTTCCATCACAATTCCATGGATTGGGATAGCATTCCATCCCATTCTGCAAGGCAGCTTATCCAAGGCACGATGGAATTGGATCCCGGAAGGAGGTTTACTCTGGAAAATGTCCTTGACCATGAGTGGATAAAGAAATATTTATAAAAAATAATGTTGCTCTTTTATAAAGGACCATGTAAATCTTATATGATGCAAAGCTAATTAAAAAGAAAATAAGAAGATTGCTCTACTTAGCTAAACAATATCTTTTATCTTTCATAATAATAGTTATAATTATTTCTTGATAGCCATGTAAACATTCTCAATGTAACTGAGAAAAAAAAAAAAAAACCTTTAGTAATAATTCTACTTATGTGTAAATCTAGATTTGTTGAAAATTACTCTTTTTTCTACTTTAACAACCATATGGATATTGCTGTACTACAACAGTGAGGAACTAGAAAGAGAAAAAAAAGAAAGCTGTACAGCAAAGTTGTCTATACGCTCAAACTCACGAAACTCAGGACGTGGGAGCCTCCTCCGCCCATGCCTGACTGTTCCTCCGCAGTGGCGCTTGCTCCGTCGCAGCGCCGGGCTCGGGAGGACTGCCCAGCACTTTCGTCAAAACGCCTCCCTCGGTGGTGGAGGCCGTGGTCACCGTGGGAGCGCTCAGCGCACCCGTAAGCGACTCTTTCCTCCGCTCCGCCGAAGGCCGTCTCGCCAGATCCGAGAGCCGCCGAGGAGGCCCCGCGGGCACGCCTTGCGCATCGATCCCGGCCGTGTCATAAAACTTTTTTGGAGCGGGAGGCGCTCCCGTGGTGGCGCTGGGAGGCCGGTTGAACATAATTCCCTTGATGGATCCTGCTCACGAGAAAAAAAAAAAAAAAAACCAAAGACGCTCAGGCCCAGAGAGAAGAGCGAATGGTCACTCAACTTACTTCCACTGCGCGTGAGGAGCTTTTGTTTCCTGTGCTTCTTTCGCCGCCAGAAGATGAGGTACTCGCCGAATGGCCTGTCGGGGATGGGTATTAGCTTGACAAGGGCTGCCAGCGGCAAACTGCAGCAAGCAACGCACAAGTCTCACGAAGAGAGTCAATGACTTTCCGGAGATACTCACCTTATGGCACCTAGGATAACGCACAAAATCCAATGGTTCCACTCGAGGTGAATTGTGCTAACTATAGTTCCACCGTACTCAACGAGCAGCGCCTGTTGAAAGAAGAGGCATGAGTAGAGGCACTGGAGGAAAAAGAGACAACCTGAACGATGGCTGTAAACAAAATGACACCCATGAACAAACGATTGCTTGTAAAACCCTTGAAAACGTTAATTTTTTCAGGATTCCTGGCGTTCATCTCGTTAAAAACCTGTGAAAGCTGTGTCAGAAACAACACGAAAAAGAATGGAAAATAGCGTCTTACCTGGCAAAAAACGAAGGCGTTAAAAATGATACAAACCAATTTCTCGTGAGCTGCACCCTCGGGCTTAGCATGCGCACTGCGTGGTGGAGGCGGTGGTGCATTCTATCAGAAAAAATATAAAAACGTTAATTACGGAGTAAAAAAATATGTGGTGACTAGAAATTACAGGATCGTCCTTCAGGTTGAGTATTTCAATCCCTTTGAACTTCAAAACTAAGAGCAAAGCTAACTGATACATTCCCTGGAAGTAAAGTCAAGTCAGAGAAAGATTTGCATAAAAAGTATATAACCATACTTGACCCATAATGTTACGCCACATGATATTGTTAATCAGCGGTGCTCTAAGAAAAACATGGAAGATCAGCGAAAACAATTTTTTTTTTCCAAAAAAAAAAAAAAGAGACTAGTATCATACTCTTTTGAAATCGGAGGCCTATACATGACAGCGTCATTAGGAGGTTCAGTTGCCAATGCAAGAGCCCCTAATGTGTCCATGATCAGGTTCACCCATAGCAGCTGGAATAAAGCTTTGGTAAGTACAGACAATGAGGCATTTCTAGCATCTCACTCACTTGAACGGCTGTCAAAGGAGCTGCACCCTCGGACAGCGCCGATATGAAGTTTAGCATCAAGGCAACAGCATTGACAGTGCACTGGAACTGCACGAATTTTTGAATATTCGCATAAACAGCGCGCCCCCATCTCACGACCTGTTCAAACGAGGGTCGACTTTAGTTAGAACGAAGGGAAGTCTTACAATCTTTACCTTCACTATCGATGCAAAATCGTCGTCCATAATAATAATGTCCGAGCTTTCTTTTGCAACTTCTGTACCAGTAATTCCCATTGAAAGCCCAATGGATGCCTAGTGGCAAATGCCTGTTTGCTCAAACAAACAACCATGGAAGTGTCCCAAGCAGAGTACCTCATGAAGAGCAGGAGCATCATTGGTTCCATCCCCTGTCACTGCTACAATCTCCCCCATTTCCAGTAATCTCTTGACCATAGTATGCTTATCCGTTGGAGATGACCGTGCCATAACCTGGTGAGATTTTGGATTTTGTCAACTGAAAGTTGAGCACAACCACTTACTTGTATCGCCGGAAGAATTTCATATTGTTCGTCTGGCGACATGTTTCTAAAATCCTTGCCCTCAATCGCAGTTCCGTTTGTCAAAATTCCGCATTCTACGGCGATGGCTTTGGCAGTTGTTATGTTGTCTCCAGTTACCATCCTGACCTGTAATATGGTTTTTCGTAAGCCGGGAATGCATGCACAACCATACCTTAATGCCAGCAATTTGACACTTGTGAACAGCTTCAGGAACACCAGGTCTGCATGGATCCTTGATTCCAACGATAGCTATACAAGTCAGGCCATCTTCTGGGATTGGAGGTCCAATAGTCGAATGCTTCTTAGGAGGCCGTGCAAGAAACTCATTCTGAGGAAACTCCTTACACGCCAGACACAACGTTCGCAAGGCGGCATTTGCAAAGGTGTCGATGATTTCTTGTAGCTCTTGCAACTGGAGAAAAAAAGATCGGCACAGCGGCATGGGGAACAACACCATTACAAACCTTTTCAGGCGTCAAAGGGCTGACATTCCCTTGCTCATCCATAAAGTTTGAACATTGAGCCAATACAACTTCTGAAGCACCTTTCCAATGAATCCATGCTTTTCCATCTTCTGTCTGCAAAGAAACTTTTGAGACTGCAATATTTATCTACGCAACTAACCTTCGCAATCACCGCCATGCGCTTTTTGGTTGAATTGAACGCATCAACTTCTGTTACTGTTGCGCTTTTCTTCACTCGATCGAAATTCCCACCGAGCTGTTAACAAAGCACTTAAGAAAGGTAAGTCGGAGACTAGATTATGCACCTTTATGCCCCATCCAAGAACAGCCACTTCCGTAGGAGTCCCAGTTATTTCTGGAGGAGCGCCCTACAAAAGAAAATCAGTAACTAAGTGAGAGAGGAGGAATATTGACAATAAACATACCTCATGCATTTCAACGCTTGCATTCGTATTTAAGCAAATAGCTTCAAACAAAAGCTGCCAGAAAGAAGTAAAAACTGAAAGATCAAACCAGAGTTGCCATACCTTACGCACACCTTCACTGATATTCTCAAGATCAGTTGGCTCCCTTAATTTGCCACACACCCATGATCTGATAACAGTCATCTGTAGAAAACAAAGCAAAAATCCATATACGGAAACCTTGAAAACAAACCATATTCATTGTCAATGTGCCAGTTTTGTCACTACAGATAGCAGTTGCAGAGCCCATAGTTTCGCAAGCTGACAAATGTCGGACCTAGAATCAAAAGAAAAATCCTAAATCGACCACAAAAAATGAATGAATTCATTACCAGTGCACGGTCGCTCATCATCTTCTTCATAGAATAAGCAAGCCTGAAAAATAAATGTAAGAAATAAAAGCAACAAGACAAGCTGGAATTGTTAGCTCACGTCAAGGTGACTGCGAGCGGAAGACCTTCGGGGACAGCTACGACCACAATCGTCACCTGTAAAAATCGATAACTGTGAAAACGTCCTATTTAAAACATTAGCCATTTTATACCTTGATAATCTGTATTATGCAGTTCAATAAAACTTACTGCAACAGCAAAGTATTCAACTATTTGTCGACCATCCTCCGAGCTGAAATGTTTCAAATTTGTCTGGCATAGAAATCTGCACGCAAATCAGTGAGAAACGATCGGAAACACTCGAAAAACGGATCTTACCGTATGACGCAAACAATAAAACACACAACCGCAACGGATAAGCCCACTTTCCCGATTATTGTTGCTAAATTGTTCAGTCGGACTTGAAGTGGAGTTTCCTCGTCATTGTCTTCACTGAGTGTGGCCATAACTCTTCCCCATTCAGTTCGCATTCCAACGGCAGTGACCTGCGATTGGTAAAATGATTATGACGGAAATACGATAGCTCAAGGTACACACCAGCATTGTCCCAAAACCGTCAAGCACTTTGGTGCCTGACATTAAAAATGGTTTTTCCTCTTCATCTTTTGGAAGCTGGTAGACGAGAATCAGATGGAAAGAGTGAAATTCTAGTTCTAAGAGCAATACTAACAGGGTCACTTTCGCCAGTCATGCTTGATTCGTCAACAATCAAAGAATGCCCAACATATACGAGTCCATCGGCTGGAATCTGCAAGCGAGCAAAAAATACTACAGCAGCACAAAGTAAGCTTGAACGAACCTGGTCACCGATTGCAAGATGAACCATGTCACCAACTACAAGCTCAAAAATCGATACTTTCGTCCTGTGACCACCCCTTGTCACCTACACAAGGCGCACGGCAAATTTGGGAACATGACGAGCCACCAATCACTCACTCACATTTATATAAATCTTCCTTTTCTCGGCACTGAGCTTTTGAAACTGGTTGGCTTGATTATAATCACTTAACGCTGCAGTGCACAGAAACCTTGTTTTAAGATTAAAGTACACAACAAAACAAAGAAAAACTCACAAGCTACCATGACGCAAACAACAATAGCAAAACAAATGCCTCCACCGTCATACCACCCTTCGCTGGGTTTCTACATCCAAAAAATAAAAACTGAATCAGAACCTTTAGATTTCTTTAGTTTGTTTTCAAGACTTGCCTCGGTTGTGAGTCCAACAGCCAAGGACACTATCGCGCACAAAATCAATATCATCAGCGTTTCATCTTGCAAAGCTTCCCAAACATACATCTGGAATGGAACAAGCTCTTGAAAAACGAAGGACAAGGAGAGAACAAGCTTACATAAAATGGTGTTCTTTTCTTGAGCGGGTAAGTGTTTGGACCGAAAGCATCTCTCCTGGCTTTGATATCCACCGGGGTGGCATCAATACCCTTTTGCGGATCGATCTTCAGTGCGCGCGCAATGCCATCAAAACCATCGTATGCCTCCAACTCCTCCGTGTTGCCCTCCCATTTGGCAATCTCCGCAGGCGTGATGCCAAAACCGGCTGTTCTCGCAGTGATAGGAGGAGGAGCTGAGCACCAAAAACACCAAAGACTTAGATGAGAATGGCCAGAAAGAAAGCCACTTACGCTCATCGTCGGGGCCGATAAACTCCGAAGGTCGGGGCAACTTGAGCGCAGCTCTTTCTCGCACGTTTTGCGCAGAATCATGATCGAAAAGCATTTTGCGAGCATCAGCTCAGCTCAGCGCGATCTTTCTCCTCATGCTTCTCTTCCCCGCGCGAGAGAACCCTAAGCCTCCTCCAAAACCCTAAAATGCGGCAGCGTCGCGGCCCCTGGGCTTCCCACCATAGCCCGCTCTCGATCGGCAATGCTGCTGGAGCGCTCGGCGATGTGGATCCCGAAATTTCACCACCGGATCACTGGCGCCATGGGAATCCCAGCCGACGGCAGCTCTGCGCCATCGATCGGAGAATCCGCGCTTCTCCCTCCCTGTCTTGCCCTAAATTCTAGAAAACCTAGCTGGGAGGGAAGAGTAGAAAGGAGCAAAGTGAGGATGATATGGCGGATGATGCAAAGGCGCGCGCAAGCACCTGTTGGCGGTTAAGTTCCCCACCACGAGAAAATCAGATTGAGGGCTGACGTGGCAGCCCAGTCTCCAGTGACGGCCGTGATCGTGCCACGTGTAGACCGCGTTTTTTAATCTACTTTTATTCGGTCAAGAGGAATATAGTGTGATTTAGGGTTCTTGGCATTCGCAGCGCGTTGTGGGAGCTGCGATTCCATTCCACTCCGGCTGCTGATAGATTCGAGGCGCACGCGATGAGCAACGATGCGGCCAGCAGCTCCGCCGGCGCCTCCGCCAAGCCATCACGCAAGCCGAAATGTAAGGGGATTTCTTCTCGTTGCTGGAGTTCTTAGATCGGGATTTTCGGGTTTTGTAGATTCTAAGTTTACACAGCAAGAGCTTCCCGCTTGCAAGCCTCTTTTGACCCCTGGCTGGGTATGTGTTGTCCTGGATCGATCGATTTTGGTTTGATGGTTTCTCTCGCGCAGGTAATCGCTATTTTGATGCTCGTCGGCGCCATTTTTATTCCCATTGGAGCCATTGCGTTGCTTGCGTCCAACAGCGTCGTGGAGATCGTCGAGCAGTACGAAACCTCTTGTCTTCCGGCTAATATCACAACTAAGGAGGCAAGGATACGATATATCCAGGACGATACTATTAATAAATCCTGCCCGGTGACACTCACCGTGAGTTCTTCCAGTCGTTAACAAGTTCTTTGTTAAAGCTGCGTTTTCCAGGTTCCAAAGAAGATGAACAACCCCGTCTATGTGTACTATCAGCTCGATCACTACTATCAAAACCACCGAAGGTATCGTTTCAAACTTTTTTTTCTTCTTCTTTGATGATCCAATCCAATTGCTCGTTCCAGGTATGTGAAGAGTAGAAGTGACAAGCAGCTCTTGGATGGAGCCAGCACCTCCAACAGCGATCTGGATAGCTGCAAGCCGCTAAAGCAGTTCAACAACACGCCTATCATCCCGTGCGGCCTCATCGCGTGGAGTCTTTTCAACGACACTTACGAATTCCGCCGCCAGAACAGTGCGCCAATCCCCGTCAACAAGCGCGGCATCTCCTGGAAGAGTGACCGCGATCACAAGTTTGGGAGCACGGTATTTCCCTCGAACTTTCCCAACAATCTAAACAGGAACGAGAGCAACAGCGCGTTCATCGGAGGAGCTGGACTAAACGTTTCACAGCCAGTGAGTGAAAACTTTGACAAGCTTTTAGCTTTGAAGTCACCTCTAAGCCTTCGTTGTTTCTTTTGTGCGTTTCTTTTCTCATCAGTTAAGCGAGGCCGAGGACTTGATCGTGTGGATGAGATCCGCGGCGTTACCAACGTTTCGAAAGCTGTGGGGAAAAATCGAGACAGATCTCCAGGCCGGAGAGATTATAAGCGTAAACATCGCGAACGTTTACAACACTTACGAGTTTGGCGGCAAGAAGAAGCTCGTCCTCTCTACGACAAGCTGGCTCGGTGGCAAGAACAACTTCTTGGGGATTGCTTATCTCACAGTCGGTGTTCTCTGCATCTTTCTCGCGATCGTCTTCTTCCTCATTCACTACAAGACTCCCAGGTGAGCATCCAAACTTGAAAGTTTTTTCTTCCTGTTCTTGAGCTAATGCCATACCTTTCAGGCCTCTTGGAGATACCTCCTACTTGTCCTGGAACAGGAAAGGTAATGTTAATGGCCTGTCATAGAGAACGAGCTTTTTGTTTCTTTGGAATGCCTTATTATATCTTCCATGCACTGTCCATACTGTAAATCGACCTTGTATTGAAGAGAAACAAAGAATGGTTATCGCAAAATAAGCGAAGTTCTGAGAAGGAAGTTTACTCTTTTTCCTTGGCCAAACCAATTGCGAGTGCTTCGTCAATGCCAACGATCTTCTCCCGCGGCTTGCCTTTGACAGCGCCTTTCTCCATCTCGGTCTCGTTCAATCTCTCCCAGCCTTCAAACGTTATGTAGCGCTTGTTTTTCTCGCTTAGAATGGATTCCAGCCCAACGCTTCCGGGAACTTCCTTTAGGTTGCTCACTACTGCTCTGTTCACGTCCTCTTCAATGCTCGTCACCTGGAATGTAACTTCATAAGCTTCCCACGAAAGGAGAAAGAACTTCTCATTCCATTACCACTTCTTGTGCGCAAACTTCGTTCGTTCCAATGATTCCAGTCGGGCCACGCTTGAGCCATCCCGCCACGTACAGCCCACGCTCAGTCTCATTCGTAGCATCGCTTGAGCGCACGCGTCCGAAGTAATTCGGCACCACGCCTGCGAAAGTTACAGACCAGTCGCTTTAAAAGTGGTGAACCAAAAAAACGCTTTTCTAACCTTTCTTATGGTCGAAAGGCAAATCAGGCACAGGTAGAGACTTGTATCCAATGCTTTTCAGCACCAGCCTGACGAATTTTAAGTGATCAGTATGGAACTTAAAGGTAACAGGCATACCCGCAATCCAGCTCCTCGAACTCTCCAGTTCCTACAAGCTTTCGCGGATTGCTTCCTGCTAGAAAAGTTTTAAGCATGCGTCTGGAAACATCGCAGCTACTTGCCTTCTAGACGTGTTTTCTGGAGATGAACTCCTCTAACATGGATGCCATCTTCGGCAGCCAACAATGATACCGGTGCTCTGAAGAACACAAATTGCAGCTGCTTATCTCTTCCAGCGCACTTGGTAAATGTCGCGCTTTTGCAAAACAGATCGAAAACACGCTTGTGTATTCTACTACTTTGCAGCTCTTCCTTCAGACATGATGTGTCAGAAAAAACGGAAAGAAAGAGTAAGTTCACGTACCAAGTCGCAATCGGTTGTTTGCAAGTCAGCCTCGTTGATGACGATTTCCACACCTTTCAACCCTGTGGAAGATTTCAGCCGTCATACATATCAGAAGTCTATAAAACCAACCAAGAATTTCTCTCAGCTCCTTGGCCGTGCAAGCTGCCTGCACTGGACCACGCCTACCAACAACGTATACTTTTCTAAGCGTTCCTGCCAAACAGTTCTAATCACCGAAGCCAAAGAAAAAGGGATGAAAGAAACCTGATGCGGCTCGTTCGCAGTGCCTTCACGGCATGCTCGGCAATGTCTGTGCTTGACAGTTCGCTGGGAGAACGAAGTAAGATTCGTGCAACGTCAAGGGCTACGTTTCCCTGGACACGATCAGGCATTCTCTTTAAAAAGCAAAACAAAAGCAAAACAAAAGAAAACTTGAAGATCAAAACCTGGCCAAGGACCACAGCAGTTTCCACATTGTTCAGATTGATCGGCAAGTCCTTGCCATCTGGGTGTCCATTATACCACCAGACAAATTGTCTTGCAGAAAAAACTCCTTCCAAGTCCTGTTCCAACGTTAAATTAAAACGAGAAAAAAGAAAAGAAAGAACTCAAACCTCTCCAGGAATTCCGAGCCTGTGATCGCTCTCAGCTCCATATGCAAGAACTACTACATGATAGATCTTTCGAAGTTCTTCCAGAGAAACATCCGTTCCCAGGCACACATTACCGAAAAATCGGCACCTTTCGTCCTCTGCGGTGCGGGAAAACTGATTGATCACAACCTGTGGTTCCACACCACACAAAGTTGAGAACAACACAAACTCGAGACAAGTCTCTTTACCTTTGTTTCCGGATGGTCTGGAGCAACCCCCGATCGCACTAGACCAAACGGCGCTGGCAAGCGCTCCAATATATCCACCCTCGCGAAATCAAAACGCTTGAGAAGCTGCGAAAATGCCGAGCGATTGTCGCTTTCTTGCACAAACCTTGAGAACCGATCAAACCTTTTTCGCGACATAGAATCCCGCCGGACCGCTCCCCACGACGCAAACGTGCAGAGGCATTCCAAAATCGTCGCTGCCAGTGCACAGATCGCGTGATCGGCCAGGGAACCGGAGGCCAAGCCGCGACGCTCGTCGCGCCATAGCCAAAACCTTCATTAAACCCTAAAATAAAGAACAATGGAGAGGGATTTTCTAGACGATCTCGTGTTCTTCTCTGGCGCTGGATTTCTCACTGGAGCGTTCGTCGGCGGCGCTACGGCTGTGATGGATTGCTTGCGGTTCGGCGACGCCAGCGACACTCTCAAGCTCCGGATCAATCAAATTCTCAACATGGCCGGGCACAGGGGACGCAAGGCCGGCGCTTCTCTGGGCACTGTAGGGTTCGTCTATGCCTCTCTCCACAATGGCTTGGTTTGCGCGCGGGGGAGGGACGATCCGGCCAGCTTCATCGCCGCGACCGCTGGAACAGGCGCCATTTTCAGATCCGCCGCTGGAATCCGCCCCGCGAGCGTCGCTGGAGCCTCTGGTGGATTGATCGCGGCCGCGATTCTTCTCGCCCGGGAGTTCCTGATAAACCCTAAATCTTGACAATTTTAGGGTTTATAGCATAAACCCTAGTTTTTCGTCCATGGAGGTCAATGGCAATGCGGGCGAGGAGGACGGCTATGGCGCTGCGCGCTTGTTCAATCAGGGATTCTCCTACACCTACGACGACATCATCTGCCTGCCGCGCTACATCGATTTCCCGGCCGACGCCGTCGATCTCTCGTCGCAGCTCACGCGAAATATCCGAGTCGCGGCGCCCTGCCTCTCCTCCCCGATGGACACCGTCACGGAATCCTCCATGGCGGTGGCGATGGCGCGCGCCGGCGGCATCGGCTTCATCCATTACAACAGCTCGCCGGCGGAGCAAGCATCCCTGGTGAGAGCCGCCAAGAGCGCGAGCTTAGAGGTAGGATCCACGCCATCTCTGGGAAAAGATGGGCGTGTTTTGGTCGGCGCTGCCATAGGTACGAGGGAAGCCGACAAGGAGAGGCTCAAGCTCCTCGTGGAAGCCGGGGTGGACGTGGTTATCCTGGATAGCTCGCAGGGGGACTCGATCTATCAGAGGGAGATGCTTGGCTACGCGAAGAAATGGTTCCCGGAGGTGGACGTGATCGCTGGCAATGTGGTGACGATGCAGCAAGCCCGGAATCTGATCGAGGCCGGTGCCGACGCTCTCAGAGTTGGAATGGGATCGGGTTCTATATGCACAACTCAAGAAGTTTGTGCTGTTGGAAGAGGACAGGTAGTTTTTTCTAGCTTTGTCTCGTGTAGAGATTGATCTTGGTTTCTCTAGGCAACAGCGGTGTATAAGACCTCGTCCATCGCTCGAAAGTTTGGAATCCCTGTGATAGCTGACGGAGGGATTTCCAACTCCGGACATATTGTCAAGGCTCTCACTCTCGGCGCTTCGACCGTGATGATGGGAAGCTTTCTCGCTGGAACCGAAGAAGCTCCCGGCGACTACTTCGACAGGGTAAAGCATTTTCTTCTCCCGTCTTTTAAGTTTAAGTTTTCCCTCGAAACTGTTCTTCCAGGATGGACAGCGTCTCAAAGTTTACCGAGGAATGGGATCTCTGGAAGCCATGGCTAAAGGGAGCGATGCTCGCTACCTCGGTGAGAAAGCCAAGATGAAGATCGCGCAAGGTGTCTCGGGGACTGTCGCGGACAAGGGCTCCGTCTTGCGGTTGATTCCATACACTATGCAAGCCGTGAAGCAAGGATTCCAAGACCTGGGAGTTAAGTCCGTGAAAGAAGCACACAAGGCTTTATACGATGGACACATAAGGCTAGAGGTACTTAACAAAAAAAATTCGATTTTTCGATACTAAACCATTGCTTCTCATCAACCAGGTTCGATCAGGAGCTGCCCAAGTCGAGGGCGGTGTTCACGGCCTCGTTTCTTACGAGAAGAAACGCTTCTAGTGCTGTTGGCTGCTTAATCGTTTCCTTGGATGCTAAGCATCGTTTGCAGTTCTTTTATCCTTTGCAGGCCATCGCTGATGAGGTAGCGGATTGCTGCTGGGTCTGTCACTGCTCGATTCTTCTCCATCTCCGCTCGAATGGTGTTCTTGAGCTCATCTAAAGGAAGAATCAAAAAAGAAGGATCGATTGGAAGCTTTTAAGCGATGGTAAGTACCTCGAGAAGAGCTTGGTGCCCGTTTTGTCAATCTCAGGCCACTCCTATACACGGCTATGGCGCGGGACCGAAGAATGAACGCTCTAAAGTCGAGTGACCCCATTTTAAAGGGTTCTTCGGGGATATTCCGTCTAAAGAGTTATTTGCTAGCAGAATATTCTTAGGTTTGGATATTCTGTCCAAACCCGAATATTGTATTCTGCTTCCTGCTTAGAAATCCTCTTAGAAGTTGCCAAGACCACTGTCTTTATCACAATTCTAATCTAATGCAAATCGCTCGAGTGTTACTGTCAACATAAGAAACTAGACGAAGTACTATACGTTTGATCCTAATTTCGATGAGATTGACAAAGAGAAGATGTGGGGCGTGATCCATTTGCAGCTGTGGTAGTTAAAAGCTTCACGTGTACACAATGCCGGGATCCATCCCAGTAAACCATTAAACATTTGGAGATCATGAGCACTCCTCAGTCACACCAGGAAATGTTTGATCTTGGTCCATGCCAGCTCCAGCTATGATCGATCCCACACTTATGTGTGTTGCACGACGATGCCACCACCATAAATTTCCCCGAAAACTTGGTCGTGATGAGCTCCCATTGCTCCCTCAAAACAAATCCAACGTCTTCAAAGACTTTGGTCCCCAAGGATAGAGTAAACAATGTATCCTTGAAACACGAATCATCCGTACGCTACGTTTCGCGTGAGCCCTAATTCATACGGAAGGAATCTCCAAAAAAGAAAAGAAAAAAAGAGGTACGGACAGAAAGGCCTCCAAAACAAACCACTCCACTTCCACAACTCAGTGGCTGTACGGCGGGGGGCGTGGACCACGGTGGAATCCCGGGGGTTTTGACATCCGACAGGGGGTATTTGACTTTGGGCGCGCTTTCCGCGTGGCAACGCCTGGACCGCGTTGACATTGAGTGCGCGCGGCCTTTACCGTACTCCCGTACGGCGGCCGACAATTATGAATCATGGGCCATCATGATGCCCATGATGACATCATCCGCATGGGTATAAGCATCAAGCATGCATGGTGAGAGATGCCAGGGAATCTCGGATGGCTATCTATGGCACATGCATGGCCCCCATGGCCCGAACGTGCGCACATTTAATGCACCAAGTCAGACCTTCTCCATATTTTACCTAACCGTCCGCCATTTTGTTTTCACGGGGAGTTACCAACGGGTAAATACTTTCGTGGTAAAGGTAAGTTCATGCTTCCAAAGAAAGTAACGCCGGACATAAAAGGCCCGCGAATCGATGGTTCATTTTGAAACTGTGCGGTAGGGTTATCATCTTTTGTACATAGATCTTGTCCATATCACAAACAAAACATTGTTAGATCTATCGTTTGGGTCATCTAATTTGGATGAAACTCCTTGGGTAGATAAAATGTGCTCCATCGTGCTTAGTCTTGCTCATGTGGATCATTCAATGACAATTCTAAATTCCAAAACAAACGAACGTGGTCCAGCCAAAACCGCAAAGTAGGGTTTCACACGCAACTGAGATGACACCACCCATACATCATCATCATACACATACATGTAGGCATACCGCATAATCTACAGGAGCTGGTGGTATGATATACGACATTTCTACTTGTTTTCCATGTATTTATTTGAATGGAAGCCCAGCTCTCATCCCTTCTTTTCCTCCTGGAGATGAACACCTGTTGATGAATAGAATTCACAACTTGGGCTGATAACAAGGCCCTTGTTGAGCTTGAATTCTCTTCGAAAAACTAGGAGAAATACCTTCTCTTTGGCAAAAAGGAGGGAATTTTTTGGGAAATCAGATCAAATGCTGGGCAACACAGTTCACACACTTAGGTATTCACAGCTTTCTCAATCTCTCTCACACCCACACAAACACACTTAGTTTCACTCCTTTCTTCTCACACAACCAACGCACACAAGTAGCCACCATGATATACTTGCAGTACTTTGTGTGTGTGTGTGTGTGTGTGTAAATCCTCCTCTTTCCATGAGCTAGTTTGACAAAAGTGGGGGTTCCAAAAGAGTCAGGATCATCGGCGGGGCTAACGGAGCTCCGGGAAGAAAAAAGAGTGAAGAATTTGGAGGAAAGATGTGAAGCTTCTTTGGGTCGCAATAGTCTTGCTTGATCAGTGAAAGATCTGATCGCCGGCTTGTTTGCTGCCGGATCTCTCTCTCTCTCTCTCTCTCTCTCGATTTTTTCGTCGGAGGAGCGGGACTCTTGGGCTCCCACTTTTCCATCGAGCGATTTGATCGTCTCGATCGGGAGTGTCTCAATCCATCCTTTCTCTACCTTTTATTCTTTCGCGATATTCCACACCAGGAATCTAAACTTTCTTCCTTGCTGCCTGTGCTGGAAGAGATCATGGACACGAGTATTAAGTCGGCTGGGATGTGAGGTTTTTTCTTTCTATCTCTCCTGCTGGAATGCTTGCCTCGTTGTCTCTTGGGTGCCAATATGGATTCTTCCGCTAGAGGCGCGGCATTGCTTCTCGCGAGCTACTTCTACTACCACTGCTCCTGCAAGAACAGCTCCACGGTAACAAGTCTTTACTTTTTTCACCAGGTTTCCACCGCCAAGGTGGGATTTTGAGCAGTGATCCGGCGACCCATTGCCGAAATCTCCCGACCATTCTGCCAGTTAAACGGGGAAAAAAAGAGAGAGCGAAAAAGTCGCGGTGTTCTTCCGTGAAGAAAGTTTCTTCTTGCTGTTCTTCTTGGCGTTCTTCCAGTCCTTTTTTTTAGTTTTTTTTTCCTCGCTCCCTCCTTTCCTATGATCTTCTGGTTCAGTTCTTAGAGCGAGCTCTCTCCTCATGTGTCAAACTGTTTCCGGGGTTTTGCAAGTTGTGGAGACGCGGAGTAGAATGCAGCAGCAGCACGATGGGGATTTAGGAGCCATTGTTCGCAGCGCCGGGATTTGCAGCAACGCCACCATCCCCGACTCGCCTCCCCGATCTTGCTCCTCGTCGTCGCAGCAGAATTTGCCAGCCATTGGCGTGGAGAGATTGAATAGTTCGTCATCGTCTCCTCCCCCACCACCACCAGTGGCAGCAGTAGGATCGGCAGCAAGTTTTCCAGAGGCTAGGATGGGAGCTGGAGGATTCCTGGAGCTCATCAGCGGGAATTTGGTCCCGGCAGCCGATTTGAGCGATTTCCACCACCACCACCACCACCCGGCTCCCTCGAGCTTGTTCCATGGCGGTGGTGGCGGTGGTGGTGGCGGTAGCGCTTCCACCAGCGGCGGCCTCGTCAAGCGCGAGCCTTTGGAGGTGCCAGACTTCGATACCATCTTCTCGCACAGCCGCTCGCTCACCTTCCTGGACGATCTCAAGGCCGACTTCCAGCGGTCGTCTGCGTGCTCGTCGCCAGCGGGGGCGGTGAAGAACGAGTTTGGGAGCTTGGATTTGACGGACGTGAATGTGCCGGCGTCGAGCTTCGACTGCGCGTCGCCGGCCAGCCCGACCATGGCTCCCTCGGCGGGCAAGGATTCATCGCTCGCCACTGCCGACAACAGTAACAGCAACGCAGCTAGCAACAACAGCACTAGCAATTCTTCCAAGCATCAGGGATCCAAGCGCAGGTAAGCGACAACTTTGCATAGATTTCCTTGTCGGTGAGTTTGAGATCTTTTCCTTTCTTGTTGCCTTGTTCTTAACTTCGATGATCGTATGCTTGTGAGATCCGAGAGTTTTGTCAGTTCTTCTTGGGTGATTGATCTCTGATGGCTGGTTCATGTCTGTGGCAGCCGGAAAATGCAGCAAAAGCGGATCGTGTGCGTTCCCGTGGCTGGCGGCGGCAAGCCGACCGGAGAAGTTCTTCCCTCAGATATGTGGGCGTGGAGAAAGTACGGGCAGAAACCCATCAAAGGATCTCCGTATCCCAGGTATGTGATCATCCTCTCCTCTAGATCTTCTTCTCTCCCACTTTTTTTCCTGCGAGCTCCTCAAAGATCTTCATATCCATATCGATCTATCAACTGCATGGCATCGTGGGTCTGTCCGAATTTCACTGCCCCCCATCCCCGCGCTCATTGGGTCTCGTGGGTCTCGCTCGGATTTCGCAATGCTCACGCTGGTTTCTCGTGCTTTTGCTTCCAGGGGATACTACAGATGCAGTAGCTCCAAAGGCTGCTCCGCGAGAAAGCAAGTCGAGCGGAGCCGCAACGACCCGACAATGCTGATCATCACCTACACCTCCGAGCACAACCATCCCTGGCCGGCCCATCGAAACTCCCTGGCTGGAACAACGAGGATCCGTCCCATGGCAGCAGCAGCAGCAGCAGCAGCCGCCGCCGCCGCCGCCGCCGCAGCAACGGCAGCCGCGGCGTCAGGATCAACCACAGCTTCCTCGCCAACTCGGCAGCAAGATTCAAACAATCAGCCACAGCAGGAGAGTGGACCCGGTTCTTCGTCCATGCAGGATATGCAACAAGCCCATCAAACGGATCCTGCAGCAAATGCCGCGGCCGGGCATCTGGAGAACCCGTTCGTTTCCATCGTCAACTTGCCGGATCCAATGCAGGTTGATCACCACCACCCGCAGCAGCACCAGCACCAGCAGCACCAGCAGCGCCAAGTTCCCAGCCGAGCGCTCCTCCACCACCAGCACCTCCTGGCGGACATCGGATTCGACACAAACACGTCCCGGTCGAGCTCCCAGGACGAGGATTTCTTCTCCGAGCTGGAGGAGCTGCCGGAGCTGTCGTCCATTCTGGAGAAGGGATTCCTCGAGTACAAATCGGATGACGAAGGTGGTGGTGGTGGTGGCGGTGGCGGAGGTGGCGATGGCGGCGGCGGCGGTCCTGGGAACAGTGATCCTTCTCCTGGTGGTCCAAAGAGCAGCGTGGATCCTTTCAACTTGTTTAGCTGGTCGTCTGGATCGAATCAAAACCATCGACAGCAACAGCAGCAGCAGCACCATCACCATCATCAATGAGATATCGTCGCGTCGCGCAGCTCACAGCCGCCGCCGCCATCGAATCGAATGAATCGATCGCACACAATGTAGATGAACAGCTCTTCCAGAGAATCGAGTGTTCTATTTTGTAAAAAGAGCGAACTTGCCCGGAACAAAAGAAGGAAAAAACATAGAGAGAGAGAGAGAGAGAGAGAGAGAGAGAGAGAGAATGATGTTGTCTTCTACCATTCCATTCTTCCCCCCATTGTTGCTTTCACACACACACACACAGTAATCCTTTACAGAATGATTCAAGCCATAGCTTTTCCAGAACTGGAGATTCTGAAGTTAAAGAATGAGCAGTTCTTCCAAGTTCATCGCCGGGAATTTGGTCTGATTTGTTTGATCTGGCTGCGTACGGCCGCAACTTGGCATCATCGGTACGGAGACTCTTTGTTTTTGGTGCTTGCTGGTCCAGCTCCATTGCAATGATGAGTTGAGTGACACTCTCAGTGGAACCCAAGCACTGTTGTTTAGTCTTTATTAACGTGTTCTTTGCTTAGCTCTCTCTTTCACTGGGAAGATTGAATGGGAAGATCTGGAAGACAAGGAAAGCAAAAAAAAGCTAGCACCGTAAGAAGCGCTTGGAAGTTTCCATACCTCGCAGTCTCGCTCGACTTGGTCCTCCCTCCAATCTGGTCATCAAGGAAGTAAAAACACAAAGGAATCGAAAGCGAAAGTGCGAGAGAGAGAGAGAGAGAGAGAGAGCGAAACCAAAGCTCTCACCTTCACACTCACTAGTAAGCAATCAAGCCAACATTAGCCTCGAAAGAAAGAAAAAAAAGAAAAGAAAAGAGTAGTGAAAAACACGGGCACCACGTACGCAAAGAAAACTGCTCGTCTGTTTGCAAGCGGGGTGCCGCCTGTAGAGCATGTCCCCAATAAAACTCTTTAAAAAAAACACAGAGAGAGAGAGAACTGGGTCGTGAAAACGAAAGAGTCGAAAGCAAAGCGAAAAACAAACAGGCCTTGTGAGCTGTAGCGAAGTCTTGTTGCGTTGCTCGCAGTTTTTGTAGTAGCACAGCAGCGGAAGCAGCAGCAGCAGCAGCAGTAGAAAACGAAAACGGCCACGTGCAATAATGCCCCCCCGCAAAGTCAAAACGCTGCCCGCGTGGTCCCCAGATTCTGCGCCGTTGTCAGCGTATGACTTCCAAACATAACAGCGGCAAGCACCAAAAAAGTCAGCGCCAACTTGCATCAGCAAATAAAAAGAAAAGAGCGAAAAACGAGTAGAAAACTCACTCACTCTCAATCCTTTTCCCGCTTGTCCAGTTTAATCGTTTCATCGGCGCGAAACAAAACACCACCACCTCCGTCTGCTGCTGCTGCTGCTGCTGTTGCTACTCCCATTCGAGACTTACGAACACTGACCGATTTTTTCTGATCCCTCCTGCAAGGTCACGTTCTCGGGATTAGTAAACCCGTGGACGAAGCAAGAAAAACAAAGTTGGAAAAGCGTCCCCCCACCCCCAGTGCCAGGGATCCTGCTCCGATTGACGTACCGATCTCGTTCTCTTGCGGTTGCTTTCGGTTTTCATGGGTTGATCGATCTGCCTTTCCTACCACTTCAGTTGCAGAAGAGTTTTATAACTGAGTCTGCTCCGGCCGTGAAAAGCCACGGCTGCGTTGGATGGAACTTGATGTCTGATACACCTGGAGATGTGGCGGGGTTAAGACTGGAGAATGCTGCTTCCTGAGGGGGATCTCTCACCTTTCTGGTGGCCGTGGAGGATCTTCAATGGAACGATCAAGGGGTTCTGCATGAGATCGGAGTATACCATGCCGTGGAAGACATGCGTTGACAAATCGTCTGAGCATGATGCAAACAGCGGGTATGACTTGTGAAAAGCTACCGCATTGATGTCTTCCTTATGATTCCTAAAGTGAAATTTTGTCAGAAATCTGTAAGAGATAACCCAACTACCTTACTTGATGGTTTTGTAAGGTTTCACTGAGAGGTCCATGTCGAACCAGCAGAGCTTTGCACCCTTGCTTCCGAGAATTAAATTGTCCCCTGCCAGTGACAGACTTCAAAGCCTGCAAGATTACTCTTTCAAAGCCTACCTCCCGAGTGTAAAGCCATCGACGAAATTTCCTGAAGACCAGTGATCAGCTTCTTCGACAGCTCCTGCTTCGCAAGGTTGTATACACGGACATGCATTTTCGTTGCCACAAACATAAACGGCCTTGTTGGATGGAAAAGCACATCAGCAACACGGCCATGATGCTTGCGGAAAGGGTTTTGACTTTGCTGCTTTGATAGTTGATGTACCAAAACAGCTCTGTTGTTGCGTTTGCTAGCGTTAAGTTCAACAGAAAAGAAAGAAAATAAATAAATAAAAGTAAAAAGGATATCATCTGGAGAAACTGAGACAAAATAATCGCCTTTATTGTGCCATGAAACCCGCACAACGTTCTGTTAAAGAAATAAAATAGTTAATTCATAAACATCAACCAAAATATCAGAACCTGCTGATGAGACAGTTGGATGCCGCGAAGCTTGTCGTGCCTTTTCCAGCTGATCAATGGAGTATTTTCTACTCAGAAGAATAATGAGAAGAGAATAAAACAGTTAAAAAGAAGGGCTCACCCGTAGGTTCCGAAGTACTCGGCTGGACAGCTAACAGCTTGGCAATATTCAATTGGACTTCTTCATCTCCAACTTCTGGATCAAGTAACACCACGTCGTTGCTCCTAAAAGAAAGATAATCAGGACAAAACGAATATGAATGTAAGATGAACTATTGAACTTACACTGCGATGGCGACAACAGGTAACGCTGGATTCGGGTTCCAGGCAACACAAAACACGCTGCCACCCACGTCCCAAACCTTTTTACACCTTCCGGTTTGCACCTCCCAGACTCTAACAGTTCCATCCCGCGATCCTGACATAGAGCTCTGATCGAAACACTTCCATCATCAAAAAACACAAACCTGATAATAGCCACTCTCCAGTAGGATCCGCACTGATAGACGAAACGGCACCCGTATGCCCTTTGTATTCTAGAAAGCACGTTGTTGGATATGGCTGCAAATCTTTTGGTTTGGGAAGTTTTGGAAGAAGGGAATCCGGATCGATATTCAACTGCAAGGAAAGTATTACAGGCTGACGAGTGAAAATATGCACTTTACCCGTTTTTTGCGTGTTCGGGGGCACAGATATAAATCCAAGCAACGCTCAAATATTTCCTTGATAAACTCAGCATAAGCAGGAACATGACGAAGACTATCGAACCTGTAATAAAAAAAATCCACGATTGACAACATTAGCAATAAAAAAGAGTGCTTACTTCTTTGGAATAAATTTTGGTCGATCCTCTTCATACATAAGCTGATAAGAATTAATTTCCTCTTCAGATGGGATATACTCGACTGGTGGATTGTATGACTCTTCGTGACCTGAAAATACAAAGCATCAACAACCGCTACGACATCATGTGACGAGCACCTGGAAGCTTGGCCTTTGGTGCTGGGATGTAGGCAAGACCGTTGGCTGTTTTCTCGTTAACTTTCAGGTCATCTCCCCACATTAAATAAAATCGAGGTTTCTCTTTCGGTTTGTCCAATTTAATCCATCCTTTTCTCAAAGCACGAACGAGTTTGACAACCTGCAACAGAAACGAGTGACCATAAAGAACCAAGCTGAGCACACCTTTTTAGCTTCCCATTTGGAGGGAATAAAGCGCCGTTTAGGCTCAGGAGCATTTGACAATGGATGGCCTTTTCCGTCCCAGTCGAACCAATCCACATAAGGCTGAGAGACAAAATCGTGAAGACGTGAGCGAGTAATCCATCTGTACCTGATATGGATCAACTTCCGCGTGTGGTAGCTTCCCCTGGCGAATTCTCGAGATCATACCCATCTCTTCTTTCGTAAGTTCGACATATTCATCGTTATACTCGTCATAGACTTTATGCCTGTGAAAGAAAAACCATGAACTAAGACCTCACCCGAGCTAAACGTTTACCTTACCAGTCCTTTGGATCATCACTACGATCGAGAAAAGAATCCAGTTGATCCTTCCGTGCTTGCTTCTTCAGCTTGCGGCCAGCTCTATCGTAGCCAATGTGTTCCTCGTCTTTGTAAAACTCTAAAGGAATTTCTCCAACAGTGTTCCGTGGAGGAGCCTGTGGCAAACTAAAAATGAAAGGATCCAATTTTTTTTAAGAGACTGACCTCGTCTTCGGAAGAATCGCTCTCGTCGGCGGCTTCGCGATCATCAGATTCTTCATCACCGTCAGCTCCAGCATTGCCGTTTCCAATGTAATCCAGTAGCGCCTCGCGAATTTCCTCGTGATTCGCCGAGTCGTTGGCCTCCACATTTTCATCCGCAGCCCCGTCCTCCTCATCGGAATCTTCATCCTCTTCATCTTCATCGTCAAAATCTCCCTCTTCTCCATCCAAATCTGCCTCTTCCTCACCAGAATCTGCCTCTTCCTCCTCAAAATCACTGGAATACGCTCCATCGTCTTGATCATCGCCCGAGAGAACCTGGAGCGCGGAGTCGTCGTCGTCGGACGCTGCCATTGCGAACACGCCGGGGGAAGAACACGCCCAAACCCTAGCTAGGGTTTTACCTTTACAATTATTAACCCTAATAACCAGGGTTTATAAAATTAACAATACTGGTTAGCGCTTGTCTTTAAAAATCGTCCTTTTGAAATACTCGAGCTCTTTGATGCTCTCCCTGATATCATCCAGCGCTCGGTGGCTCTTTGCTTTCTTTGGAGCTCTTTCGGCGTCTAGAAGAGTTTGGCAAAAACAAAACCAAAAGGAAAAATAACAGAGATTTCTGGTAGAAAAAAAGTAAAAAAAAAATTTTGTTCTTATCACGCACGAACCTCGAGGGTACCAGCGTTTGCACAGCGATTTGATCGAGCTCACGTCGACGATTACGTGGGAGAGATGCGCTGCTAGCGTCGGCATGTACTTCTAGACGAAGAAGAAAAATGGAAGCCTTGTCAAGATCATCTGGAAGTTTTGGGATTGATTCACTCACTCGGAGGAAGTTTAGATCGTTGTAGACCGAATTCCCGGCGAGCTGTGCGTAGCCAGCGATCGTGTACTTCTGGACGAACTTGAGAACCTGGATGACAGACAATGATCCTCAGGGAATCGCAGAAAAAACTTTGGTTGGTTTTTACCAGCATTTCAGCGTGTGCCTCGGTTACTTTGCTATTTTGCACCCTTTCAGTAAGTCCTGGAAGAGAGAAAAAACTAAGAGATTTCATAGAGAGAAAGATAAGAGATTTCATAGAAGCCGAAGAACACTACCACTAGCTGCATGGTGTGTTTGACACCACTCTCCCATGCCTTTCAAAATCTCGTCGGATTGATGAATCACCAAATTCGGTCCCTGGAAGAACCGATTTCTTTTTTTTCAAGCACTGATTACGACGACGAATTCGCAAAAGAAGTTACCTCAATGCTCTTTGTTAGCTTGCCATCAGTGATGATACACGCAATCTCCAAAATCCTATCCTTGCAAACATCCAATCCTGCAAAGAGAGACTGCCAAATCGATCGCTTCTAGCCTCTTACCAGTCATTTCGAGATCAATCCACACAAGAGGTCGGCTCACGAACTCCCCGGCGATTGTAGCGAGCGAGGAGCCATTCTTTCTCCCCGCATCGCCGAGCGGGAGTGGAATTCGAGCGCTGCTACTGCCGCCGCCGCCACGGCCGAGCTGATCGAGATCGTCCTCATCGTCAATGAGAGTGAGCGCGGAGAAGAGATTCTCCGTCATGACGCATTGACAATGTAGCCCTATTTAGGGTTTTAGGTGTTTATTCGGATATTCCGTGCTAGGGCAAAAGTCCAATGGAGCGCAGCAAGCGAAGCGAGAAGGAGAAGAGCAGCAGTAGGTCGCGGCGAGAGCGCGATAGGTCTAGGGATGGCGACGCCGCCGATCATCGCGAGGAGAGCGGTAGAAGGGAGAAGAAAGAGCGAGATCACGATCGGAATAAGGAGAATTCGAAGGATAAGGAGAAGGAGAGGGATCGGGAGAGGGATAGGGATGATCGGCGCAGGGACAGGGATGCCGCCGAGGCGGGGGAGCACAAATCCAGAAGGGATAAGGAGAAAGAGAGGGAGAAAGCGGAGGATGTCGACGGCGATGAGCAGGAGAAAGAGGTAGCGGCGACGAAGGAGATTGAGGAATGGGTGAGGAAGTCGAGAAAGATCGAAAAGATTGAGAAGGTCAGGGCCAAGAAGGCAGTGCCGGCAATTCGATCGATCGCTCAACAGGTAGAGACGAAATTTCGAGCACTAGTTTTATTGGTTTTCTTTTATTGCAGGATGAAGAGGTCGTGGATGAAGAAGATGACGAGGAGAGTGCGTATAAATCAAGTAAGTACTTCCTTTTCCTCGTATTTGTTTAACGTGCTTGTTTTCTTCCTGCTGTTCTTCAGAGGATCTAGCAGGAATGAAGATTCGACATGGACTGGAGAAGATAATAGAAGGTGGTGAGGTAGTTCTTACTCTGAAAGACAGCAACATCCTCGCTGAAGGAGATATAAACGAAGGTACGTTGTTCTCGTAGAGTCCATGATGTTTACATGGCAATTTCAGATGCTGATGAATTGGAGAATGTGAATCTCACTGAGCAGACTGTGCGGAGCAATGCATATCGTGATGCCAAGAAAAAAAAAGGGACTTACGAAGACAAGTAAGAAGTTAAGCAACATGGGCATGGAATAACATTTCTTTTGCAGGTTTCAAAACGACATCAATACTGTGAAATCGCTGTTACCTCAATATGACGATGCTCCAAAGGACGAGGTACTTAATCCTTTTGCTTTATCTGCTATATATGAACTTGGATCTGTGTAGGGAATCCAACTTGACGATTTGGGTGGAGTCAATGAGGAGAGCCAGAAGCGTTTGGAGGAGGTAACTCTCCTGTTTTCTTACACCACTGAAGTTCACTGAAGTTTTCGATGGCAGGTCCGACTAAAGTTGCAAGGCGCAGCGCTGAAAATGCAATCGTTGCTGGGACCAGAAAACCAGGCATCTGATTTCTATACCAAGGAAGAGATGATGAAGTTTAAGAAGCCGAAAAAACAAAAGAAATTGAGGAAAAAAGACATGCTGGACGTCGATGCGCTTGAAGCCGAAGCAAAAGCTGCCGGTTTAGGTGCTGATGATCTCGGTTCAAGAGCAAATAATTCGAAGCCCAAACAAGAAGCTGAGGCGGAGGAAGAAGACGAGTTGTACAGTCGTTTGCAGAAGTCGCGTGAATTGGCCATTAGGCAGCGCATACAGTCTACGCTCGGGCCTCAAGGAATAGCCGCTCGTTTGAAACTGGAGGCTGCTGACGAAGAAAAATCGATGGATGTGGATAGTAAGACTTCAGTGGCCGAGAAAACCGTCGTTATCACGGAGACGGAGGAGTTCTGCTTGAGCCTACAACCTGATGAAGGTAATCATCCTGTTCATCATCCTGTTCCTTGCTGCTAACTATTGTATGGTTTCCAGTTATCAGCCGAAGAGCTGCAACGAATGATGCCTTCGGAGATGATGAGGTGGATGGGCAATCTGCGATGGAAATCCATCAAGAAGATGGGCGAACTGACACAAAGGTGAACGACGTCGTCGAAAATGAAGACGACGATGTCTTCGACGAATTGCCAATCAAAGAAGTATCCGTCGGGAAAGGATTAGCGGGTGCCTTGAGTCTCCTCAAAGAAAGGGGGAGCCTGAAGGAATCAGTGGAATGGGGTGGCAGAAACATGGACAAGAAGGCGAGCAAACTTGTCGGTGTTTTGGACGATGACAAAACCTATGAAAGGGATATCCAGTTAGATCGGCGAGACGAGTATGGCCGAACGGTACGTATGTGACGTTACGTAATATCCGACCCTCATCTCTGTGTCTTTCCCTGTGCAGTTGACTCCCAAAGAAGCCTTTCGCCTAGTCTCGCACAAATTTCATGGAAAAAATCCTGGAAAGAGAAAGCAAGAAAAGAAGATGAAGCAGCACGAGGAGGAGCTAAAGCAGAAGCAGATGGCAGCCGGGGACACGCCTTTGAGGTCTATGGAGAAAATGCGTGAAGTACAAATGAAGACGAGCACCCCCTACATTGTTATGAGCGGGCACATAAAGCCGGGGTATGTATTTTCTTTGTTTGTTCTTCCCGGGGATCCAGTGTTTTAATTTGCTAATTACAGGCAAACGAGTGATCCAAGGAGTGGTTTTGCAACCGTAGAGAAGGAACCAATTGGCAGCCTTACACCAATGCTTGGTGACAAAAAGGTGAGATAGAAACCTTTTGTGATTTTTAAGTGACTCACGTTCGCGTCTCGCAGGTGGAACATTTCCTGGGAATAAAACGCCCGGCCGGTGACATGGGGCCTCCGCTTTCAAAGAAAAAGGCCAGGACGTAGATCACATCTGGTTAGTTTCGTACAGGCTCTTCAGAAATGAAGGAAGTCTTGAAGGTGTGTGGTTTTACTATAAATCTACCTCGATGTGACGAATTTTTTGTTAAGTTTAGGATGGTATGTCTTCGAGACATTCTCCTTTACATTCCAGATGAGCTTGTATCAGTTTGCTGATCTTCTCTCCGTGAGGAGAGGGAGGCATCCCCGCGCCACTCTCGGCCGTGTCATTTGCTGGTTTATCATTTCCATCAAGATGTTGAGAGATAAGCTCGTGTCGACTTTGTTGCAGGCCTCGGGAGGAGGCAGTGGTGGATCCGAGACTTCGGCCGAGCCTTCGAGCATCTTTACGACGTCAACCATTGCAGGCCGCTGCCTGGGATCCGGCTGAATGCACCACACTCCGATGCGAAGCAGCTTCTCGACTTGGACCTTTCTTGAGGTATCGTCCATTTCTTGCTGCAGCTTTTTATCTAACATCTGCACCATTTTCCCCGTTCGAAGGTTGTTAACGATCCATGCGGTCAGGAACCTTGGGCTTGTCCCGCAAGACACACAGGTATGAAGAGCTTGCAGTCCTGTAGCTACCTCCAAAACAACGATCCCAAAGCTGTAAACGTCGAGCTTGTCGCTTACTCTCAGCTGCAACCATTCTGGAGCCATGTATCCGGGTGTTCCTCTCACCATTGTCATGACGTTGCTCATTTCCCCTTTTTCTACCATTCTGGACAGTCCGAAGTCTGCGATCTTCACGCCAAAGTTCTCGTCAAGCAGTATGTTTTGAGGCTTGATGTCCAAGTGAAGCACTCTAGTGGTGCATTCATCGTGGAGATAGGAGATCCCTTTAGCAATGTCGACAATGATTGCAAACCTTGTGTCCCAACCCAGCTTTTCCTGCGAGTAGATCCATTTGTCTAGCGACCCGTTTGCAACGTACTCATAAACCAGGAAGTAGCACGCCGAGTGAGAGCAAAAGCCTTTGAGTTGTACCAGGTTTTTGTGATTTATGCTTCCAATAACTCTGACTTCCGCCTTGAACTGCTTGTGACCCTGGTTTGAATTCTCGATGCGCTTGACAGCAACCTTGAATCCATCCTGAAGTACTCCTTCGTATACTATACCGAATCCTCCGCTTCCAATTTTGTTACTAAAACCTTTGGTGGCTGTGTATAGCTCCGAGTACGTGAAATCACGCAGGCCGTCCTCAGCAGATCCAGATGGAAACGACTGCCCGTAATGCTTGAGGTACGAGTTTATCTGTTTCTTCCAGATGACGATTGCGACGATAATTATCCCGATCGTTGTCGCAGAGAGTACCACCACAATCGCTGGCTTGGCTCTTCTATGCGTAGACAAGTATTGAGGAGAGCTGCGCGAGAACGAAAGTTTGGGAGCATGATGCACCTTAAGAGACAGTGACAAGGCTGGACTGGCTGGGTTGTGCGTCCTGTTTAGAGCAAAGACTTCGCTCATCTGGAAACAGGTACTCGTTTTCTCGTCGATCAATACCGCCTTACACGTACAGTTGTTGATGCACAGGGCCCTGCACTTCACTGGAGTAACGTTGTGGAGGGTGTATAAGTGCCCGAAAGGTGCGTGATCGTTGTAGTAGTAGTTTCTGGCTTCTACCATCTCGTGTTGTGAGAAATCGTATTTGCCACATTCTTGAGGCTGCTCATCAAACTTGCATATTTTTTTGTCCCCAGATATGCTGGCTCGCATGGAGCTGTTCTCCTCCTCGAGCTCTAGACAGTCGCATTGATATTCTCTGGGAAGCCAAGCAGGTCCACACGACGGAGGCAAGGTTTTTGCCGTGAACAGGGCGTTCAGACTGGTGGTGTTGCTGGTGTTACTGCTGTATGACTGGGAGGTAAATCGGAGCCCTCCATCCGGATACAGCTTGAGCAACTGGTAACCGGAAAGGTCAGTCACTGGGCTAAACGTCACTGTGCTAAACGTTGGAGTGTAATAGTCGACAGGATCGTAACTTTTGCGAATCTGCAGGTTGCTGTTGGAGAGGACGACAGTAGATATATCTTTACTGTCAGAGCTCCAAAGCTCTCCATATGCCGGGAGGGTGGAGTACAAGACTACCGAGGAGCGTTTTACCTCAAGAGAGAAGTATCCTGGTTCCTTGTTCTCGTTCGTCTTTGTTGCCACTAACTTCATCCCTGGTTTTAGGATCTGGCCAGGGAGCAACGCGTCGGTGGGATGATCAAAGCTCTGCCACAGCAAAGAACCACTGTCCGTCTGGATGACGAGATTTCCAGAGCTCTCGAGGGTCATCATCTGCGCTCCAGCGTTTGCTGTCCCCGTCGACCACACAAAGCTGCCATCAAAGTCGCGCAGCACCAAGTCGCCATCGATCGTGAAGTTGAGATAGGCACCGAGACGAACAGGCCTTGGAGTAGCTCTCCACACCACTGTCGCGCCCTGGGACTGGCTATCAGGTGAGTCGATCGGCATGGAGATGGACAAGTAATAGAGTGGATCGTTCTTGCAGGAGACGAGAACGCAAGGTGTGCTAAACCCGAGCGTCATGGGCTTCGCGAAAATGCCGATCGGACCCTTGATAACTATGTTGGAGAGGTAGCCGATCCTCCAGATCGTGCTGGGCGTGGCATAGACATCGTGTGGAGTGGCACGAAGTAAAGAGAAGGAGAGGAGCAAGACGATGAAGATGAAGAGAAAACGCTGCATTGGGTGCTTGAAGACAACGAGCAAGCCTGGGAAAGAGGTGATTGCGAGGGATGGGTTGTAAGGTAGCGTGAAATCGATCGGCTTTAGCGCATCGTGGTCTCAGGAGGACAAGAATGGTTTCGTTCTTCTCGAGGCTGTAACGTTGTCCCCGAGAGTCTGACCGCGAGAGTATAAGCCCTAAAGGGCGCCAAAAGCATTTTTGAAGTGCCCTAAATTTTGCCACAGTTTAGACTAAGCCACATCACTCAGTTTAGATTTTACTATAAAGTTTGAATGCTGTCATTTCTCTGTAAAAGTCGGACCTCACCTCTCAAAATTTGTGGAAAATATTATAAATATCTAACTCTACCCAACGTGGATCAATAAGATGGCATCTATAGACCTCTTATGACATTCCAATAGTTGCGTTGAAGGAAAATCGACCAACTTAGTGGAAGAATGGACAACCTAGCCTTTGCATCTGCCAATTACCAAGGAGATTGCACGTCTAGAGTTATAAGATGGCATCTATAGACCCCTTATGACATGAGAGCATATATCTCCAATAGTTGCGTTGAAGGAAAATCGACCAAGTGGAAGAATGGACAACCTAGCCTTTGCATCTGCCACTTACCAAGGAGATGACACGCCTAGAGAGGTACTCACCTGCGCCAAAACAGCCGCGTAATATTACTCCTGGATGAGAACTTTCGAGCAGAGACCTTCGACTTTGGGCTCTCGTGGCAAGGCAAGCTTCAAGCTGTGGACGAGATGATCATCCAGGATACATGGCTCCGGAGTGGCTCCAGTTCCAGATGAGCGACCAGCTTGACACCTACAGCTTTGGAGTGGTGGTGCTCGAGGTGGTCACTGGCATGCCCGCTTGCTCTCCTTGCGGATCAAAGCTCCTGGCTGCAGATCATGGACAAGAAGATGAGCTTTTCTTCCCAGCAAAACCCTGCTGTGTTTCGAGAAGATGGAAAAGCTGCTTGGAATTGGATTGTGGTGCGTCCAGAGTGATCCCGCCCAGAGACCATCGATGGGATATCTCTCAAAAATGCTGGAGGGATCACTAGAAACAGTGGACGCTCCTCCAATCCTTCCCAAATCTCGCGCCGTCGGGAAGGAGGAGGCCATCGAGAGTTCATGTAGATCAACGGTTGTAGTTCAAATAAGAAAGCGCGCCACATGATCGACGGTTAGGATTCTTTCTTTGAGATGGGTGTTACTGATCTAGGGTTTTAGTCACCTGTGATAGAGCGCCCGGATCGACCATCGCTCGTGGAAGAGGCGCGATCGCATCGCGAGGTGAATGCTCTATGCCTGGATCTCTACAGACGAGGAATGCACTCGCCTCCTTCGGCTTCCTCGCGCCCCGGTTTATCATATCCAAGAGGATGTTTAGCGGCAAGCTCGTGTCTGATGTTCCTTTCTTGCAGGCCTGGTCCGGCGGTGGCACTGGCGGATCCATCACTGGCGTCGCTCCTTCCAGCATTTTCACCACTTCCACCATGCGAGGCCGCTGCCTTGGATCCGGCTGGATGCACCACATTCCAATCTTGAGCAGCCGCTCGGCCTGGCTCCTTCTCGAGGTACTCTCGTCGATTTCCTTTCGTAGCTTTGCATCCACCATCTCCACCATCTCTCCCGCGCGTAGCTTCGTGTATCCCCATGCCGCTAGAAACCTTGGGCTAGTCTCGCAAGAGACGCAAGTGTGGAGAGCTTGCAGCCCCGTTGCTACCTCCAGAGCAACGATTCCAAAGCTGTAGACGTCCAGTTTGTCGCTCACTCTCAGCTGGAGCCACTCCGGGGCCATGTATCCGGGTGTTCCTCGGATCATGGTCATGACGGTGCTCATCTCTCCCTGTTCCACCATCCTCGAGAGTCCAAAGTCTGCGATCTTCACCCCAAAGTTCTCGTCCAGGAGAATGTTTTGCGGCTTGATGTCCAAGTGGAGGACTTTGGTGCTGCACTCCTCGTGGAGATAGGCCAGGCCTCTCGCGATGTCTTCCACTACCCGGAACCTTGTGTCCCAGTCCAGTGCTGCTGCTGTTGCCTTTGCTTTGAAAATCCATCTGTCTAGCGATCCATTCGCGACGTATTCGTAGACCAGGAAGTAGCAGGGTCTCTGAGAGCAAAACCCTTTGAGTCGCACCAGGTTCTTGTGGTGGATGCTCCCTATGACTTTCACTTCCACTTTGAATTGCTTGCGTCCTTGGTTTGAGTTTTCTAGACGCTTAACCGCGACTCTTGATCCGTCCGGAAGAACCCCCTCGTACACCGAGCCGAATCCTCCGCTTCCTATTTTCTTACTGAAACCTTTTGTTGCTTCGTGCAGCTCCGGATACGTGAAAACCCGAGGCACTTCTACAGCACCAGAAGGGAATGACTGGCGGAATTCATCCAGGTACGAGTGGAGTATCCTTCTCCAGATCACAACCGCAAAAGTAACGATTATAATGGCTGGTAGAACGACTGCCGCCACGACGATCACTGGCCTGATTCTCCTACTTGGAGCCTTTCGAAAGCCATTAAAAGTTCCGAGAGCCACTTTGGAATGAGAGTGCGATTTGAAGGCCACCATAAAGCTCGAGTTGGCTGCGTTCGGTGTTCTGTAGAGCGTATCTATGTCCGCCATTTGGAAACAGGTACTCGTGTCTCCGTGACTCAATGACGCCTTACATGTACAGTTGTTGATGCACAGGGTCTTGCAAGCCTCTCGAGTGATGTTGTGGATTCCACCGCTCGAAAGATTCGCTGGTGCGTAGTAGTAGAAGTCTTTGGCTTCCAACATCTGGTATTCTGATGGATCATACTTTAAGCCACCACTGCATTCTGCAGGTTCTTTGTCGATCTTACATCTTCCCCTGTCGCCGGAGGAAACATACTGCATGGAGTTGTTTCCATTCTTCAACTCTGGACAGGAGCACCCGGTGTTTTTGGGAAGCCAGTTTGTACCACACGTCGGAGGCAAGCTTTTCTCCTTGAAACTTGGATTGAGAATAATCATTTCCTTCGTATTTGATTGTCCAGTGAGAAGACGAAGCTCCCCCGTGGGATAAATCTTAAGCAGCTGGAACCCTGTGGCATCCGTGACTGGACTAAACGCTTGGGAGGACCAAAGAACTGTGCCGTTTTGGCCGTAAATCTTTAGGCTGCTGTCGGAGAGAAGGACGTGGGATATCTCGACCTTGCTGGATCCGGAGCTCCAAAGCTCTCCATACACGGGACTAGCCGAGTACAAGACAACCGAGAACCGATCCACCTCGAGGGAGAAGTATCCTTCCTGCGTGTTCTCGCTTGAGACACTCGCGACTAATTTCATTCCTGGTTTCAGCTGCTGCTGAGGGAACAAGGCGTCCGTGGGATGATCGAAGCTCTGCCACACCAAAGTCCCATTCCGGGTGCGAAGGACGAGATTCCCAGGAGCTTCCAGCGCGAGGATCTGTGCTCCAGAGCCAGCCGTTCCCGTGGACCACACCAAGCTTCCATCGCGATCACTCAATTCCAAGTTTCCATCTTCGGTGAAGTTAAGGTACGCACCTTGATGAACTAGTTTCTCTGTAGCTCTCCACACCACTGTTGCAGGCGTTATGACCTGCGCTTTCTCGTCGTTTGGCTGGGCTACCAAGTAGGCGGACAGAGAATACAAGACAGCCCAGGTCATGGAACGCGAGGTAAAGCCAAACGCTGCTTGGATCTCGCCATCTTTTTGTAGTTCCAGGACGTTGCGAGTGATGGGCCTACTGAGTTCCAAGCTGTAGCCCGCCTCGACCGAAGATTGTGAGGAGACGAGGAGAGGGATGGTTACCAGCTGGAGGGCGATGGCGAAGAAGAAGAACTTGGAACAGTGGTCAAGCATCGCTGATGGAAATGGCGGAAGCTTTGCAGATCTCCCCTTTTCTTCGCGTTTGATGATTCTTACGAGACGGACGGAGGGATTTTCCAAGGACCATTTCTTTTTTCGTTACGTGCACTTCAAGGGAATTCGTTCGTCCTGGTGATCTCGTGAGGAACTGCGCTAATAGCTGAGTCTCTTATGTGCAATGTTTGTTTTTTCTTTCTTTCTTTCTTTATTCTTGATGTTTTCAAGGTCAGCCATCCAATTTCTAGCTGTCTTTTAAAATGTCTAAGTTGACCATTGTTGACTATAGTGTGCGCTTAGTCAATTCCACTGTCAAAGATGGTAATTTCATCTCAGGAGAACAAAATCGCCAATTTGCTTGAGTCGTCAACACTAGTTGACGACTAGTGTGAGCACAAGAGAAGTTCCAAGCGGCGCTTCCCACCCAAAGAAGTACCACGGCAGCATCGCAAACGTGGGAGGACTACGCGAGGCAAATCGCCTCGTCTCCTCATCAAGAACGCGGATCCAGCTCCATGTTCGTCCCCGGATTCTCTGGAGAAATCTCTCGCTGCCCGGCCAGGAGAGGAATCGTTGTTTCAGCAGCGGTGGCAATGAGATGACCAAGGCTGAGCCGGAGAGGGGTGTACCAATCCCCTCCATAACAGGATGGACACGACAAGTTTCCCATGACAGGATCTTTGTATCCAAGTTTGGCAGGATGAGTAGACTTCCGGGCGTCTTACCATTTCGATAGATATCATCGGCAAGGAAGGAAGTACATTTTTCGCCAGAGGAAACATACTGCATGGAGTTTCTTATTCTTCAACTCTGGACAGGAGCACTTATGTCGCAGGCATGTTTTCCTCCTTGAAGCTTGAACAGCTCTTAGCCCCAAGGTGGCATTCTTTCTATGACAAACGTTGCTCTTTCGAATCGCTTATGACTACCAAAGCAGCCACTCAAGTCCGTCCACAAGCACGTCGTCACGTCAAACTCGAGCATCAGCGGCTTCTCGCAGCAAATCGCCCATATCTTGTCCTCCTCGTTGCTGCAAAACAAAAACTCGGACTTTGGATCCGACACTTCCCCAAGCTCCCACGAAGACCCGGCCATCCACTGCTCCGTCCCCTCCCAATCGAGGGTGCACACCACGACCTTATCGCTCCGGATCAAAAACACCGCATACCTGTTCTCGCAACTGAACACCGCGCCCTTCGAGACCTCATGCAGATCGAGCTTCGTCTTACCATTTTGATGGCGAAAAGAGATGTTACGTTTTTCCTTAGTCGCAGGCAAGGTTTTCTCGTTGAAGCTTGGATTGAGAATAAACTCCCATTGTCCAGTGAGCTCCCCACTGGGAGAAATCTTGAGCATCTGGAGACCGTGACTAAAAGAACCGTTCCGCTTGGGCTGTAAATCTTAGGCTGCTGTCGAAGAGGATATCTCGATTTTGCTACACGGGACTAGCCGAGTACACCAAAGGCGCGAAGAGGCTCAACTCATCTTCAGTGAAGTTAAGGTAGGCACCTTGATGAACTAGTTTCTGGCTTTGCGATCCGGACGTGCTCGTCGTTTGGCTGGGCTATTCAAACAAGGGATCCAGGCTCGAGCCGGTACTGCTCAGTTTTTTGTAAGATTTGCGTGCCGTCTCTTTTCGGTTAATGTATTGCAAAGTCAACATATATGTTGACTTTCAAACAGAAATAGTATGACCTTAATAAATTTGCAGTATTGTTTTTACACCCTTAAGCTTGGAATTGAACTACGCAGATATTAATATCCTACAAAGACAACATCTGAAAGTGATCATATGTACTTGTAATCAGGAAGAGAAAGACCATCAGAATGACAATTTGTCCCCCGAGGTACCTTCAAGCCTCGTCCGATTCAAGGCGTTGAGAACGGCGAGCGAAGAGATCATCATTTGCCCTCTTTCCTTCTCTCCATTGCTTTGTGAAGCCTGAATCTAGAGCACATAGAAAAGTTTTAAACACATACTTCCAAACTCAAACCCAAGGAACGCTTTTTTCGGCTCCAAGTTTCTGCTGTTGACCATCTGCGGAACCATTTCCAAATCGCCGTCTCCATGTTGAGAAATTTTTTTTGCTTTAGTTTCTACATAGCGGACGAGAATTCACTTTGAAGTGCGCCTTCAAGCTACAAGTGAATTTTGGTTAACGGGAAATTGTTTTATTCAAGTTCTTTAAGCCTTCGTGTTTTCTTGCCCATTTGGAGATGTCTCGCAAAATGGCGTTGCGACAAAGCAAACGGTCTGGATCCGCTGACCACATTGACTCGTCGATACAAAATTTGACTTTTGCAGTAATACTTGCAAAGTTTACCATGTTGGTTATTTGATTATTGTTTCTTTGAGGTCATAACTTTCTTCAATACCGCAGTCGCAGAAATTATATCCGACTCGGTGTGCCCAGCCGAGATGCACACTCGGATACCAGCAGGGAGCGCGCAGTTATCCAAAGCAGTGCGTTTCTGGACGGACATAAGGACCGAGTGCTCTAACATCTACACAAGAGGATGATGGTTTAGCTTAGCTCCTCAAGCAAGGAAAGGGAACGAAGAAAAAGATTTCTATACCTCGTCCGCGATGGTTTGTAAATAGGCAGCGTCCGCGTGAAACGATCCTAGCGAGGGTCTCAAGTGGAGAAGAACAACCGGGGAGCGTGTGTCGCTGCCTATCCTTATGCCGGAGACGTCCGACAAGCCTGTCAAGAAGAAAATCGTGGATAGTAAGATCCGTAAGATCCTTGTGGAAAGAAGAGCTACAGAGGCTTACACTTGTGGAAAAGAGCGATGTTGTTATGTAGTCTGGCGAGGACACTTGGATCGTCCTCGAGCAGCTCTATGGCTGAAATGGACGCGGTCGCGAGGAATGGTGGTAATGACGCCGAGAAGCAGTACCCTGCTCCGCTAAGGCGCTGTTTGTCATGTTTCGGTTATCCACATTAATAGAAGCAAAAACATAAAGATACCTGATGATCGACAACTTTTGCACTGCCAGTACAGAATCCCCCGGCCGAAGCGAATGCCGTGCCCATCGCAGCTGTTATAATATCGATCTTTTCAATCTGGGAGAGACGACTGACTGGTAAGCACAATCAAAGTCCGCTGAGGAAAAGCATACCGGAATGTTGAAATGCTCAGAAATGCCTCGTCCTGATTTTCCAAGCACTCCAATAGAGTTACTTTCATCAACGAGTAACCGGAAGAGATACTTCTCCTTCAGGCGTACAATCTCGCCCAACGGTGCCAATTTACCCGAGTTCTGTAGAGCAAATTATCGCAAAATCATCCGACACGAACCAAAAACCTTACTTGGTAAATAGCCTCCACAACGATGAAACGACGATTCAAGGGCTTCTTCTTTCGCTCGTCTTCTTTTCGAACTTCTTTCAAACGGGCTTCCAGGGACCCCATATCATTGTGTCTGAAATACTTGATGGTGCTTCGAGAAAGATGCAGGCCATTCTGGATCCCCCAGCTCACACCGTCGTCACTGCACCACAGAAAACTTTAGAGAAAAGCATCCCACGACATGGACCACTTACGCTATAATTATATCCCCGCGCTTGCAAAAGGCAGGAATACAACTCGCAGCGGTTGCGAGGCCATAGGAGTAAAGAATTGACTCGGACGTTCCTAAGAAACTGGCAATTTTTGTCTCCAAGTCTAGGTGCACATCTACAAAAAAACACAAACATAATAAGCAACCTTGGACATTAAGAGCAAAGTAAATTTCACACTGACCAATGGTGCCATAAAAACCACGCGGACCGCATGCTCCAACGCCATACTTCAGCAAAGTAGCGTTGCAGGATTCCTACAAGTCACACAGTGAAAACAGAAGTAAACATAATACGCTTTTTCTTTCTCATTTTGCCATACCTTGATCCTTTCATCGCCAACGAATCCCAGATAGTTGGCTGTCGAGAGATTTATAACTTTCCTGCCATTTATTTGCACAGTTGGACCTGCTGCACTGAACCATGAAGGCATTTAGTTTGGTTCCATTCGGCAAATCGTGTATAAAGAAGAAGAAAGACACAGAAAAATAAAATCTAGTTTTGCGAAGATGAGTACCTCTCTAGAACCGGATATGGCGGTGTCATCTCTTTGGTAACTGGCGGATGCAAAGGCTCTGGAGTCCATTCTTCCACAAGTTGGTCGATTTCCTTCACCAAAACATTAGTACTGTAGAAAAATAAAAAATAAAAAATCGAGCCTTCTCTTACTTTCTCAGACAATGGCCTGCTTGCCGGCTGATAGCTCTTTTGGAAAAGAAGGAATACAATCACCACAGCGAGTACGACTTCGACGATCAAATGTCCTGTTCAAAGACACCCATTGCGAATCATAGCTGAAAAACAAGTACCACGACTAATTCTAATCGCCAGAAACACAGATCTGTGCTCATACCTCCAAATCGAACTCCAAAAACCACAGCATCCCCCAATTGCGCCTCCCAGAGCGACTGCCACACCTCCATCGTCGCCCAACCCCTAACAAAAGCCCTAATGTCTCCAAATAAAATTCAAAAAAACGAAATTTCACCCGTCTATCGCAGCCGTCTATCTCAAGAAATAATCCTAGCGGTCGATCATGTGGCGCGCGCGTCCTTATTTGAATTACAGCCGTTGATGCACATGAACTCTAAAGAACACGATGTCATGTCGATGGCCTCCTCCTTCCCGGCTCGAAATTTGGGAAGGATTGGAGGAGCGTCCACCGTTTCCAAGGATCCCTCCAGCATTTTCGTGACGTATCCCATTGATGGTCTCTGTCCAGGATCACTCTGGACGCACCACAATCCAATTCTCAGCAGCTTCTCCATCTTCTTGAAACATTGCTGCGAAGAAAAGCTCATTCTCTTGTCCATGATCTCCGCGACTTGCTTGTTTCGAGACATCTCGAGAACTCCTCCACCCAGGAACTTCGATCCGCAAGGAGAGCACGCAGGCTTGCCAGTGACCATCTCCAGCACCACCACTCCAAAGCTGTAGGTGTCGAGCTTGTCGCTAATCTGGAAGTGGAGCCACTCCGGAGCCATGTATCCCGGAGTCCCCCGGATGATCATCTCGTCCACCGCTTGAAGCTCGCCTTGCCGCGAGAGCCCAAAGTCTGAGATCTTCCCTCGAAAGTTCTCGTCCAGGAGAATGTTCTGCGGCTTGATGTCCAAGTGTAGCACCATCGTCCGGCATCCGTCGTGAAGATATGACAGTCCTCGAGCGATGTCAAGAGCGATCGAGTATCTGGCATCGCAATCCAGGAACTTGTCGTCATCAAACAGCCAGCGGTCGAGAGAACCATTGGCGACGAACTCGTAGACGAGCAAGTTCGGGCAGCAAAATCCCCGGAGCCGCACCAAGTTCTTGTGGTGGATGCTGATGATGGCCACCACCTCGGCTTCAAACAGCTTGTGCACTTGCTTGGAGTCGCTCACGCGCTTCACGGCCACCCGGCTCCCGTCTGCAAGAACACCTTCGAAGACCGACCCGAATCCCCCGCTCCCGATCTCCCTGATAAACTTCTCGGTCGCCACCTCCAGCTCGTGCAGCGAGAAGGGCCGAGGTAGCTCGGACGACAAAGCCTGGCCCTGGTCCACAGCGTCATTAGCTCTCTTCCAGTAGAAAGTGATGAACGTCACCATTGTCGTCGCCATCGCCAAGAGCAGCACGAAGACGCCAATGACGATGGCTTGGACGTTGGAGCTCCAGCCGCCAGTATGGGGTCTGACTTGAGGCTTGACGATTATCTCCGGAGCGGATGGCCTCTTCTTTTCAACCTTGAGAAACGCTTTGAACGACGGCGTCGTGTTGTAGCTGCTGCCGAGCAACGTGTAGAACTCGGTCACCCGGAAGCACGTCGCGGACGAGTTGCTGGAGACGAACGCTGCCTTGCAAGCACAGTCCTCCAAGCACGAGCTCACGCACGACTCTTCCTCGTTGGCTGCCATGAACCGCAGCGGCGCGTAGTTGTAGAAGCCAGATGCTTGGAGCATGACGTGCTTGGACGAGATATACTGCCCGTCGCACGGGCCCTCCGGCTCCCAAGGCTGGCACCCTTTGGAAGCATCAGCGGGATCAACCGGCTGGAAGTATGATCTCTCGCCTTGCAGCAGCGGACAGCCACATTTTCTGTTATCCACGTCGAAGACGCTCTTCTTCCCGCAAGCCCCAATGCTTACAGCCTCTACGTCATTGAAGAGCAAAGCGTTGAGATTCACCGACGCCATCTTGGGCTGGTTGTCGAAGCGCAAACTCCCATCGGCGTGTATCCTCAGCACCTCGAGCGTTGTCGAGTCGATACAAAAAGGTGGCGTCGTCAAGAAGGGCTCCCAGTCTGTCATGTAGATCTTCAGCTGGCAGCCAGAGTCGAGAGTCATCTTGATCACGTTGAGGCTACTCGGATTGCTCCACACTTTGTAGATTTGAGGCGACACCGGCGCCTCAGCTGTCATCACTATTCCCGAAGTCCCCACCTCGAGCGTGAAGTAGCCTTGGAATCCCTCTGCCTCTTGGACGCTATTAGAAACCATGGCCATTCCTGACTTCAGCTCTTGCTGCAGCAGCAGCGAATCGGTCGGGTTCCAGAAGCTCTGCCAGGCAGGGCTAGCATAGTGTATCTTGTTGAGCACCAAGTTACCCGATGACTCTAGCCTCATTTCTAGGACTCCTTTCCTGGCGGTGCCTGTCGACCACACCAGACTATTCTCTTGGCCATCTCTGTATAGCACCAAGTTTCCATCTGCGGTCAAGCTGAGCATACCACCTTCAGAAACCGGCACGCCTGCTCGCCATACCACCTGTGCGCTCTGGTTGGAGCTCGGATCCTGGAAGAAGACCGAGAAGTAGTACCGGGGCCTGGGGCAGTGGTCGCAAGTGGGGAGAAAGCCGGCGAAAACTGGGAACTGTGCATTGGGCACCGAGAGGACAATGCCCGACCAGGAGCCGTCGAGTATCCATGTCGAGTTGAGAGGCGCTGCGCCTTGATCCTGCGTAAACGATGGAGTAACTGCACGAATCATCAGGAGAATCATGAAAGAGCAAACCGCCATGAGTTGTAAAGTTGCTGAGCAGATACTTTCTTTCGAGCGCCTTCGGACAAGGGAGAAGCATAGGTGCTTCAGTCGCGTGATGGAAACATTTCTTTAGAACCGAGGCATATAATTTGGATTCCAAAGAGCGCAGATTTATACCTCCAACTAGCATTTGGCTCGGTATGAAGATTTATACGCTTGCGAAGAAATAGTTCTTGGATCATGAAGATTACTTGTTTCAGAAAGGAACCCGAAGTTCCAGGGAATGAAGTTCATCGGGCTAAAGTAATACATGAGACAGAGAGAAAGCTGCTCAGGCCAAAAGAATACATGAGACAAAGATATTCACCTTTTATGTGTTTCTGAAAAGTGTGAAGATATGTTTGAAACCAAGTTACCAACAGGCACACAAAGCTATGAAGGGAAGTACTTTGCCGTCGCTTTCAGAAACCTTGATCCGTGGATCGACAATAGAGAGAAAACATGAGTAAGATTTCCTATTCCAATCAACCAAGAGAAAGGCGGATTATTCATAATACCTCATCCACGATGGTTTGTAAACAAGCAGCATCAGCGTGAAACGATCCTAGCAGCACACTTGGATCCTCCTCGATCGCGCTGCTCTAGCGAGGAACGGAGGTAACGACAGCGAGAAGCATTATGCTAGAGATAAAGGTTCCTAATGATCGAAAACTCTTACAGACGTGCCCATTGCAGTCCTTACAATGTCGATCATTTCAATCAGGGAGAAACCACTAACTGGCAAGCACAATCAAAAACTGCTGAGAAAATCTTTTCATCAATGAGTGAGTACGAGGAAAAAATGCCCCTCATACAATCTTGTGCAAAGGTGCCAATTTAATTATCAACACAAACCATAAAGCTCCAATATCAAATACTTGATGGTGCCGACCCCTCCTCATCACTGAACTACAGAAAACGTTAGAAAGCAAATCCCACGATGAACCACTTACGCTATGATTAAATCCCCATCGCTTGCAAAAAAACATGATTCGATTCAAGAAACTGGCAAGGTAAGTCTTACACAAAAACACAAAACCTACGCTTTTCGTTTCCTGACCGACAAATCCCAGATAGTTGGCCGTCGAGAGATTTATAACTTCTTAACCTGGTCCAACTTCCACGGTTGGACCTGCTTTAGTTTTCAGCAAATCATGTATGGAAGGAAAAATAAATAGTTTTTGCGAAGAATGCGACAAGTTGGTCGATTTCCGTCAACCAAACATTAGTATTCCGCTGATAGCTCTTTTCGAAGGAATACAACCACCACACCGACGGCCATCTGAAAAAAAAAAAGAATTCCAACCGCCCAAGGCCAGATCCGTCGGCAACTACGCTCATACCACCAAAAACTCTGCAGAGGGACTCCATCGTCAAACAAATGCCGTGCGCTTGTCATCAGTTCCCAATGGATTTCCTGCCGCGCCATAAATCCAAATGGCGAGATTATGCCACTACCGGATTGCACCAAGCTCGAGCGCATACAGCCGTCGATAATATGGCGCGAGCTTCCCATTTGAATTACAGCCGTTGATCTACATGAACTCTCACAATGTCACTCAAAGAGCACGATCTCATGTCGATTGCCTCCTCCTTCCCGGCGCGAGATTTGGGAGGGATTGGAGGAGCGTCCACCGTTTCCAAGGATCCCTCCAGCATTTTCGTGACGTATCCCATCGATGGTCTCTGGCCGGGATCACTCTGGACGCACCACAATCCAATTCTCAGCAGCTTCTCCATCTTCTTGAAGCATTGTGAAGAAAAGTTCATCCTCTTGTCCATGATCTCCACTACTGGACTTTTTTGAGACATCTCAAGAACTCCTCCAGCCAGGAACTTCGACCCGCAAGGAGAGCACGCAGGCTTGCCAGTGACCATCTCCAGCACCACCACTCCAAAGCTGTAAGTGTCGAGCTTGTCACTAATCTGGAAGTGGAGCCACTCCGGAGCCATGTATCCCGGAGTCCCCCGGATGATCATCTCGTCCACCGCTTGAAGCTCGCCTTGCCGCGAGAGCCCAAAGTCGGAGATCTTTGCTCGAAATTTCTCGTCCAGGAGTATGTTCTGCGGCTTGATGTCCAAGTGTAGCACCCTCGTCCGGCATCCGTCGTGGAGGTAGGACAGTCCCCGAGCGATGTCGAGAGCGATCGAGTATCTGGCATCGCAGTCCAGGAACTTGTCGTCATCAAACAGCCACCGGTCGAGAGAACCATTGGCGACGAACTCGTAGACGAGCAAGTTCGGGCAGCAAAATCCCCGGAGCCGCACCAAGTTCTTGTGGTGGATGCTGATGATGGCCACCACCTCGGCTTCAAACAACTTGTGGACTTGCCTGGAGTCGCTCACGCGCTTCACAGCCACCCGGCTCCCGTCTGCAAGAACACCTTCGAAGACCGAGCCGAATCCCCCGCTCCCGATCTCCCTGCTAAACTTCTCGGTCGCCACCTCCAGCTCGTGCAGGGAGAAGGGCCGAGGTAGCTCGGACGACAAAGCCTGGCTCTGGTCCACAGCGTCGCTAGCTCTCTTCCAGTAGAAAGTGATGAACGTCACCATTGTCGTCGCCATCGCCAAGAGCAGCACGAAGACGCCAATGAGGATGGCTTGGACGTTGGAGCTCCAGCCGCCGGTATGAGGTCTGACTTGAGGCTTGGTGATTATCTCCGGAGCGGATGGCCTCTTCTGTTCAACCTTGAGAAACGCTTTGAAGGAGGGCGTTGTGTTGTAGCTGCTGCCGCGCAGCGTGTAGAACTCGGTCACTCGGAAGCACGTCGCGGACGAGTTGCTAGAGACAAACGCCGCCTTGCAAGCGCAGTCCTCCAAGCAGGAGCTCACGCACGAGTCTCCCTCGTTGGCTGCCATGAATCGCAGCGGCGCGTAGTTGTAGAAGCCAGCCGCTTGGAGCATGACGTGATTTGACGAGTTATACAGTCCATCACACGGGTCCTCCGGCTCCCAAGGCTGGCACCCTTTGGAAGCATCGGCCGGATCAATCTGCTGGAAGTATGATCTCTCGCCTTGTAGCAGCGGACAGCCACACTTCCTGGTTTCCACGTCGAAGACGCTCTTCTTCCCGCAAGCCCCGATGCTTACACCCTCTACGTCATTGAAGAGCAACGCGTTGAGATACACCGAGGCTCTTTCGGGCTGGTTGTCATAGCGCAAACTCCCGTCGGGGTGTATCCTCAGCACCTCCAGCGTTGTCGAGTCGGTACAAAAAGATGGCGTCGACCAGCAGGGCTGCCCGTCTGTGGTGTAGATCTTGAGCTGGCAGCCAGACTCGAGAGACATGTCGCCCACGTCGAGGCTACTCGGATTTCTCCACAGTTTGTAGATTTGAGGCGCCACCGGCGCCTGGGCGGTCATCACTATTTCCGAGACTCTCACCTCGAGCGTGAAGTAGCCTTGGAACCCCTCCGCCTCTTGGACGCTGTTAGAAACCATGCTCGTTCCTGACTCTAGATTTTGCGTCGGCAGCAGCGCGTCGGTCGGGTTCCGGAAGCTCTGCCAGGCGGTGCCATCATAGTTGGCCTTGTTGAGCACCAAGTTGCCGGTATAGTCTAGCCTCATTTCTAAGACTCCTTTCCTGGCGGTGCCTGTCGACCACACCGGACTCTTCGCTTGGCCATCTCTGTATAGCACCAAGTTTCCATCTGCGGTCAAGCTGAGCATACCACCTTCGGAAATCGGGAGGCCTGCTCGCCATACAACCTGCGTGCTCCGGTTGGAGCTCGGATCCTGGAAGAAGACCGAGAAGTAGTACCGGGGCCTGGGGCAGTGGTCGCAAGTAGGGAGAAAGCCGGCGAAAACTGGGAAGTTTGCATCGGGCACTGAGAGGACAATGCGCGACGAGGAGCCGTCGAGTATCCATGTCGAGTTGAGGGGCGCTGCGCCTTGATCCTGCGTAAACGATGGAGTAACGGCACCAATCATCAGGAGAATCACGAAAGAGCAAACCGCCATGGGACGTGAAAAGCGTGCTGAGCAGATACTTTCTTTCTTTCGGGCGCCCCCGGACAAGGGACGAGCATCGGTGCTTCAGTCGCGCTATGAAATATTTCTTCACGACCGAGGCATATAGTTTGGATGTAAATGAGCGCAGCAAGTACCACTTGGCCTGGCATGAGGAGCTCCTTAGCTGTCCCAAAGAAGACATCAGTACTGTAAGATCTATATGCTTACCTCGTCTGTGGAAAGAAATAGTTCTCAAGCACCCAAACGCATTAGAGACCCCCGCAAAAACCATTGGAAACGTAAGTTCCAACTATAGTTACCACAAGTTCCTCAGCTCACCAGGCAAAAAGAGTGCGTGAGTGAGACATAGAGACGTAGCTGTCTCTCAAGAGAGTAAAAAGCTATTGAAATTGTGGGTACCAACAGGCACACAAATCTACAAAAGAAGTACCTCACCATACCTCGCAGATGACAAAGCTTGTGCGAAGCTCCAAATTACAGTAAATCCGCTGGTAAAGCTAAACAAAGACATCCGAAGGATGAAAATCCATCTAAACACCCTCCACGATATTGTGATGGATTTTCATCGCTCTAATGTCCTTGGGAACTATCCCAGTCACATTGCCCCTAAAACACTTCACCTTACGGAATAGAATCAATGCAAGAACAACAAAAGCTCTCTAGCATACCTTGCATGATCACGGCAGTATCTCGTCGGCTCACCATTGCCACATCGAATCCCAAGCTTATCCCCATCGCGCCATCGACATAGCCATCGCCCCCGAATCGGGGCAATGGCAAAATATCAAACCTAGATTGGCAATTTAAAATTGGCGCCAAAACCCCAGACCTACGGAAAGAGCTAAAATAGTGGACGTTTTTTAGGGCTCTTCGAGAAAAGGATGGATTCGAAGGTGCTACACCTTGTGCGCCATGGCCAAGCCTTCCACAACGTCCAGGGTGAAATTCTACTGCAAATGAGGAGCTCCTGGAAGATTTTCCTGGACGGGAGATGGCGGCGCCTCACGCTCAAGCACTTTTTGAGGGCTTTTCGATGCCTGTGGCTTCTCTTGTGCTGCATCGTTTCCCCAGCGCCTCCTCGTCCTTCCTCGTCCCCAGCTGCTGTGATGCCCATTTACTACGAGCACGCCGATGCGAGCCTCACGGCTACTGGCTGGGAACAAGTAAGTCACCATTTCGATTTTCCTTTCCTCCATTCATTTGGTAAATGATTGATCGCTCTCCTTCAAGGCTGAGTTTCTTCACAGGGAATTCAGGATTTCCGGATTGAGAGATCGAGTGGAGCTTGTTGTGGTGTCGCCCTTGACTCGGTAGTGTGATTTCTCCTCTCGAGAACTCTTCTAAGTTTGCCTTCCAGGACGCTCCAAACTGCATCTGGGATTTTTGGAGGAGGGAATTTCACTGATACCACTGATCAACTAGCAGCTCCTCTGATGGTAGACAACGTTGGACGGTGTCCACGACCAGCCATCTCCAGTGCAAACTCCCCTCCTTTCGTAGCACTGGAGCTTTGCAGGGAGAAATTGGTATGTTGGCTCCCTTTTTTTTGTGAATCTAGCCAGCTGACGCGAAGTTTTGATGAACAGGGCACCATGCCATGCGATCAGAGGAGTCCCAGGAGCAAATCCGAAATTCAGTTTCCAGGGATTGACTTTTCGAACGTAAGGATCATTCGACTCGATCGAGTTGTGTGACTTGATCCAACTCTGTTTCTCTTCTCTATCAGATCGAACAGGACCAGGACGAGCTGTGGAAGCCTGACAGAAGAGAACCAGAAGAGGAGCTCGACAAAAGGGCGAGAGCTTTTCTAGAATGGTACGTGGGCAGTCTGCGAAAGCTGTTGTAAGTTTCTGATCAAGCATGCAGGCTATGGAGTCGTGGAGAGGAGGAGATTGCCGTCGTCTCCCACGCAGGCTTTCTGACCAACCTTGTGACAAAGTTTGGCGACGAAGCTGTGAACAAGACAGTGTAAGCGGCGTGTTTGGATGCTAGATTTGCTTGATACTTACACTTGTGCGATTTAGGTTTGCGAACTGTGAGCTTCGTAGCGTGAGATTGAGGTGAGTCATCGTAGTTTTGTTCTCGAGACCTTAGATCTTGGCGTTTTTTTGCTCAGGAAAATAGTCACGGGCTCGGACTATGCATTTGAGTTGACCGCAGCGTGAATCCATCCAAAGTGAGCCATGGATTCTGAAAGAGTTCTTTTTCTTACTTCAAGCTAGAAGCAATTTAGTAGATTCGATTATTCGATTAGTCAATCTTAAAACGTATCTATTTCTAGCTTCTGAAACAATGAGTGACCTATCAAAATATGTTATAAAATGGAAATGTAAACAGGGACAACATACTCTTTTCCATTTGTTGTGCAAAAACCATAATCAGTAAATCTCCCAAGACTATTTACACAGACATCCCAAGAGTCTATGGCACTTGACATATGATAAGAACCAAATGGTTCCAAGCATTCCTTCTCATTTGTTACACAGAATCTTCTCGCTAAATCTCTAGGTTTAGAATCGATCTTTATAATACGCAGGACAATCTCATCTGTAGAATTGTTCTTAATCCTTTTCATGAGATCTATCGTGCATCTAATGTGGTCTCCCATCATCTCTAAGAATTGATTTTAAAACCTAATTTACAAACGTTTTTATAAGAAAAACATAATAAGGTATAAATGATCAATACAAGATTAGTACTTGGACCATATAAAGCAATTTGATTCCATTTCAGTCTGAAAAGATGAAAAACTAATATTAATATATACTAATAACTGATAATAATATGAAAAACTAATAAATTAATATATACCAAACTAAAAAAAGTATATTCCTTATAGCTTCAAATTTATATTTATATATTTTTGGTTGTTTTTTATTTAGATTAATATTGTATTTATAATTTATAAACATGTTTATAATTTATAAATATTCTTCAGCACTTTCTAGTATATTCTTTTTTATTTTACCATCTAATGGTTGATATGCAATAAGATTAATCTTGTGTTTATAATATACAAACATATTTATAATTACAAATTTTTATTTAATTAATTAGATTAATAAGTAGGAATAACATTACTATTAAACAAACCAATCGTTGTTACATGTAAAACATAGTAAATTATTTAAGTATTTTCTACCTATTCCATGATAAGGTATATCCTCTCCCTTAAAATTATTTTGTGAGTGCTCAAGATGTAAAAATAGGTATATTAATTAGGGTTTAAACCCCTACTTATATACAAGAATGGATGGTCCATATGCTATAGTACTATAATTGGTGTATTACTTAGCCAAGGTAGGTGTATTAGGTCCTTTATACATAAGCAAAAAGTTTGACACAATTAACAGCAAAATGTAAATGAAAAACACTTAATGCTACATACTTATATTTAATTGACTCCACACTATGGTTTTAAAATGACTTAAAACTGGTCTATAAAGTATATAGAATGTATGGACAATCTAATAATTGTTTATGTTTGAAATAAACTACTCATTGCTATCTCTCATTGCATGACATCCAAATGACAAATATTCCAAACCATCTTAAGTTCCACCAACAATAAAATCATAATGATATAGCAAATGCATAATACAATGAATATAGATGGTAGAATTCTTGAAAAAATTAACCTTGTACAGATTTAAAATAATAAGTTTGCCAATCAAGATAGATTCCCAGCAGAGTAGGAATCCTTACTATAGGAGAGTTATGGTTATTAATTTTCATTTATGAGGGCATGAATTTGCAAAAATGTATAGTGAGTTATATGCAACAAAAAAGAACAATTCAAAAAATGATTATATAGAAGTTCAAAAATAAAGAGAAATGTGCACATTTTTTTCTAATTGGTTAAATGTATAAAGATACTCATGGGTTAAACATCTTTAAGTTTGAGTAGTATAGGGTTGGATAACCTCCCAAAAAGTTTAAATTCAAGAGTTTTCTCAAATAAAATAAAACTTTCAGCTTCATATATATAAAATGTATAAAGAATCTTACCATCTATTATGTTGCAAAGAACTATTATGCATTTTTTAGATTTTGTGAATTTGTATTTTCTCAATATATCTAGAACCATTCTCCACTGCCAGCTTATGAAGTTTAATATAAATGTGGTAACAAACTAAATAGATTTATTTATGTACGATTCTAAATTTCAAACCAGACATATAATGGAAATTTGATTAGTATTTAGTAAACTATGAATGTTAGAGCCATCATTACAGTTCAGATAAAAAAAATTTAACTCAATATGCAATTAAAATTATAATTTCTCTGAACTAAACTATTGTTTATTGGTAGTCTATAATTCTTTAGTTTTATGAAAACTTAATTGCTTTTAAAGCAATCCTATGGATGTGTTTAGGGTTCTGCACCTTTTTTATAAAGGCAATAAAAACATTAAATTCAAAATTAATGATGATAAAAAATGATCTAATCACTTGCATTATTATCTAATTGCATTATTGTGCATTTCTTTAGAGATGAATAATAGAAAATTTTAGATAAATATAACTTTTTATACACTCAAAATTTCTAACACTGTAAAGTTATAAAAGAAGATTTATTTATCTTGGGTATATTATATCTCCCAATAGAGCTAGCTAGTATTTATATATTTTTGGTTTGCTTAAGCAAGCCTATGGATGTACCTAGAATATGCTTGAATATTTTAGGATATTTTACTATCTAACAGTTGTTATTCATTTAAATTAATTTTGTATTTAAAATTTATAAACGTTCTTAAACACTTTCTAGTATATTCTTTTTAATTCTACCATCTAATGATTGATATGCAATAAGATTAATCTTGTGTTTATAAATTATAAATTTTTATTTGATCAATTAATAGGTAGGAATAACACTACTATTAAACAAACTAATTATTGTTACATGCAAAGCTTTTTAATTATTTTCTACCTATTACATGATAAGGTATATCCTCTCCCTTAAATTTATTTTAAATTATTTTTTGCCTAGCAATAAATTAACTTTTCCCTAGCTAAACATAGCTTCTCAATATAAAGTTAGGAAAAGAAGATTTTCTTGTAGAATCCATACTTTGGATGGATTCACGCTGCGGTCAACTCAAATGCATAGTCCGAGCCAGTGACTATTTTCCTGAGCAAAACAACGCCAAGATCTAAGGTCTCGAGAACAAAACTACGATGACTCCTCAATCTCACGCTACGAAGCTCACAGTTCGCAAACCTAAATCGCACAAGTGTAAGTACCAAGCAAAATCTAGCATCCAAACACGCCGCTTACACTGTCTTGTTCACAGCTTCATCGCCAAACTTTGTCACAAGATTGGTCAGAAAGCCTGCGTGGGAGACGACGGCAATCTCCTCCTCTCCACGACTCCATAGCCTGCAAGCTTGATCAGAAACTTACAACAGCTTTCGCAGGCTGCTCACGTACCATTCTAGAAAAGCTCTCGCCCTTTTGTCGAGCTCCTCTTCTAGTTCTCTTCTGTCAGGCTTCCACAGCTCGTCCTGGTCCTGTTCGCTCTAATAGAGAAGAGAAACAGAGTTGGATCAAGTCACACAACTCGATCGAGTCGAATGATCCTTACGTTCGAAAAGTCAATCCCTGGAAACTGATCGCATGGCATGGTACCCTGTTCATCAAAACTTCGCGTCAACTAGCTACATTGACAGAGAGAAAAAATATGGGAGCCAACATACCAATTTCTCCCTGCAAAGCTCCAGTGCTACGAAAGGAGGGGAGTTTGCACTGGAGATGGCTGGTCGTGGACACCGTCCAACGTTGTCTACCATCAGAGGAGCTGCTAGTTGATCAGTGGTATCAGTGAAATTCCCTCCTCCAAAAATCCCAGATGCAGTTTGGAGCGTCCTGGGAGAGGAGAAATCACACTACCGAGTCAAGGGCGGCACCACAACAAGCTCCACTCGATCTCTCAATCCGGAAATCCTGAATTCCCTGTGAAGAAACTCAGCCTTGAAGGAGAGCGATCGATCATTTACCAAATGAATGGAGCAAAGGGAAAGGAAAGGACTTACTTGTTCCCATCCAGTAGCCGTGAGGCTCGCGTCGGCGTGCTCGTAGTAAATGGGCATCACAGCAGCTGGGGAGGAGAGGAGCCGCTGGGGAAACGATGCAGCACATCGAAAAGCCCTCAAGATGCATCTCCCGTCCAGGAAAATCTTCCAGGAGCTCCTCATTTGCAGTAGAATTTCACCTTGGACGTTGTGGAAGGCCTGGCCATGGCGCACAAGGTGTAGCGCCTTGGAATCCATCCCTCTCCCTTTCGAAGAACCCTAAACAAACGTCCACTAATTTAGCATTGGCCCATTTTCGTACGTTTGGGGCTTTGGCGCTAACTTGTACCATCCATCGTTTGAAATTTGGGTTTTATTTTGCATGCCTTGGTTGCGGAGCGATGGCGCTGGCGATGGTTTGCGCGATGGCGATCGTCTGCGTCGCGATTGAGCCATTCTTGCTCAGCGTCGCATTCGACGCGGCAATGGCCAGGGAGCCTACGCGATACTGTCATGATCCATCGTCTCGGGCGAGGTATGCAAGCTTTCTTGCCGATTCTCTCTCGATTCATGGTGATTATGCATTCTCGACGCTTGTCTCTCCAAAGATTTCGTGTTTCCTGTCCCGATTGCAAGCTTTCTAGTGCTTTCTCGTTTCCTAGACCCCGAGCCGTCCCGATTCATGGTTTCTACTTTGTTTCTCCACAGACTTCTTGCTTCTTATCCCGATTCCAAGCTTTCCAGTGGTTTCTTGCTTCTTATCCCGGTCCTAACGCGGATTCTCGAGATTTAACTTATCGAGATTGCAAGTTTTCCCGTGATTTCTTATGCCGATCCTATGCGGATTCGTTTCTATGCTGATTGCAGTGGCAACGTCACGGCTGTGTTCCCCAAACAGATCCGCGCGATGAAGCGCCTTCAGAAGAATATCGTGAACGAGAACTCTACCAGCGTACATTTGCTTTGATTTGGAACTTCACTCACTGCTCACTGCTCACGTAAACTTTCGTTTTCAGACTCCCCCACCGCAGTGGCTGCCCGTTCTCACGAAGTACCTTACGCACCAAGTTCCTGGGGACAAGCCAGAGTACTCGTTCGGGGGCATCGATGGATTCGTCACAGTTCTCTTTCCCACACAGTTTCGCACTCTACGGGAAGTTCATGGCTTCAAGGATGACAAGGAGTTTGTTGAAACGTTGAACACCGCACGCCCGAGGACGATGGGCAGCTCTAGGAGTGGAGCAAAGTTTTTCACCACTGCCAGCGAGCGAGTCATCGTGAAGCTGGTTTCTCACCGTGATATGAGTGCGCTGCGACGAATAGCAGAAGATTACTTCCTGTACACCCAGCAGCTGGAGACATCGTTCGCGATAATACTGGGCGCTTACGAGGTATAAACACTTGAAAAAGTTCGAAAGCACTTCTCATATTGCTTTTCGTGTCATAGATCTGGCCCGCACCGATGACCTTCAGCGAGAGCGAACGTTTGAACGTCCTTGTCATCGAGGCCACAGATCCTCCCAGGAGCTTTCTTCAAGCCACAACGATACACCATGATCTCAAGGGGTTCATCAAGTACAGTGTTCCAGAGAGCGATGCCTATTTCACAACGCCTTTGCTGCTGACAAGTTTCTCTCACCGCATGCTGTTTTGTTTGATTGAGCGGGACACGCACTTCCTCCAGGTAAGCTGGAAAACATCCGTGCTTGATTCATTTACGACTGTTTTGCTTTTTTTTTTTTTTTGCAGAGACAGGGCCTCACTGATTATTCGGTTCTAGTCTTCCAGACCGATGAGGAGCACATATTTGTTTCCGTAATCGACTACCTTACCACGTTTTCTCGGAGGAATGCCTACAGACACATTCGAATCAACTTTCGGATCATCCGAGGTCTTGTGATGGATTGGATTCGGGAGCTCCTTGGATGCGTCATGACGGAGGAGGACATCAGGAAGCGTGTTCTTGAACACTGTATCATCCATCCACGCAACTACCGCGCCAGGCTTCTGCAAGCTTTGGGGAGGTACTTTCCTTTGTAGCTTTGTGTTCCCCTTGGTAACTAGGAACCAGGAAACTTCACGAGATCTTCAGGTAACATAAAAGTTAAATCTCTGTCTCACGTCGCCAGCTTGTTTCTACGAGGAACTGGAACTTACGTTTCGTTCCTAAACTATTTTTTCGACAAGGTTAGCAACAGTACTGATGTCTTTGACAGCTAGCGAGCTCCTCAAGCCAAATGCGTTGGTCAAGTATCTGCTCAGCAAACTTTTCAGCTCCACTCCACGCAGAATCTAGACGCAGCACCCCTCAGCTCGACATGGATACTCGACTGCTCCTCCTCCTCTCGGTGGCCGGCTTTCTCCCCACCTGCAAGCACTGTCTCAAGCACTCTCTCCCAGGACCAGAGCGCGCAGGTTGTATGCCGTGGTATGCTCAGCTTGACCGCAGAGGGAAACTTGGTGCTCTACAGAGATGACCAAGCGGAGAGTCCGGTTTGGTCGACAGGGTGGTTTAATGCAACTTGGTGGTAAAGTATGCTGGCTCCGCCTGGCAGAGCTTCCAGAACCCAAAGTTTGTAAGTGATTCCATTCCTTTGGTTTTAAAGGGAGCCATGGATTTTAAAATTTCTGAATTTCTATGCTAAAAGATGAAAGCCAGCTTAAGGACAAAGCTCAAGGATATTTGATAGGTATCGGTGGTTATTTCTTTACGAGCAAACGAAGACCTAGTTGTCCCAAAGCAAATAATCAGGACTAGAACATCCACAACCCAATAAACCTCGCACAAGATATCCAAAGAGACATCCCATCTTGGCATCAGCCATACAGCTGGGCTGACTTGCAAAGAAATTAGACGTTTGTTCTATATGGATCAATAGAGCTATCTTTGCTTATTTTGCCTGACAAAAAAAATAAATAGAAATTAAAAGAAATAGAAAAAGTGGATTCATTTTTTAAGAATATCTTCATTAAGTTGCTCATTTTCGAAGCATATTCGATTAGGTCAAAAGCAATGGCGATGGCGTCGGCATCCTCCCTCCGCATCCAGGTAGCCTCCCCAGTCCCTCCACAGCTCCAATGGAACAGGCGCCGGCCACACACAATCCCAGCGGCACTCTCTCCAGCGGCAGCGGCAGCATCATCGCTCCTCCACACAGCTCCTCCAACGACACCGCTCGCATTCTTGCCACTGCTCCTCAAATCCATGGCTCAGGCCACCAGCTTGGCGCTCCAAAGCCTCGCCAAGGCACTCACTCTCCACGCCAGCAGCAGCAGCGCCATTAGCAGCAGTAACGCGGCGGCGGTGCCATTCTTTTTGGCGACCAAGGGCGGCCCTCTCTTCTTCGCGTCCATGTCCACAGTCTCTACGCCACTCACGGTGGTGGCGTCGGGCATGGCCAAGTGGCTGGAGCTCTACAGCGCGGTGATGATGATCCGGGTGCTACTCAGCTGGTTTCCAAACATCCCTTGGGAGAAGCAGCCCTTCATGGCGATCAGGGATATGTGTGATCCGTACCTCAATCTCTTCCGCAACATCATCCCGCCAGTGTTTAACGCGCTCGACTTGAGTCCCTTGCTGGCTTTCATGGTTCTGGGAACCATGTCCAGCATCTTAAACTCCGCTGCTCAGACTTAGAGAGTCTCGATCGAGGGGGGAGAGGGGAGTGAAAAAAAAAGAAGAGAGAGCGAGAACTAGAGGAAGAGGAAGAAGAAGAGGATTGGAGCTTCCATAGCCAAGTTCTATACTTTCTTCTTTGGTATAGGGAGCTCGAAAGTTTTCCTTTCTACTATTTTTTTTTTTATCTTTGTAGCTTCGTACTATACCTCGTTTTTTTTTTCTCTCGTTTTTTTCTTGGGTCTTTGCGGGGGAGCGTCGTTTTTCTTTCTTTACTTATGGCTTGATAGTTTTGACAGGATGGTGTTAGAGTTTCTCATGGAGAAACTTCTCGCGAGCCTTTCTTTGATAAGAAAGAAGTAAACTATGTTTTGTCTATCGTTTTTTTTTTTTGTTTGCTTGCTTTGTTTATGCTGATGATCGTGGTTATATGACGTGTTTATGTGTTGTTTAATTCTTCATCACTGGTGCAGCTATCAACAGGTCAAAGTGTGACAAACGCGCGCCTTCAGCTACAGTGCTCGTGGACGCATTGGTGGGTATAGTTATATTTCTTTAAGTGTTTTCTTTGCTTTCGCTGTACTTCTTTAAGAGTTCCTGACGAGGACATTTGATGCACAGATGACTGCGTGCCGGATCATGGCCAGGCGCATCAAGCTTTAAAAAGGTGAGCTACGCTCTCCCCCCTCTCTCTCTCTCTCTCTCTTCCGGATTTTAATAAGCAGCAAAGTCGTGTGAAGTGAAACAAAGGATGCCTTTCTCCTTTCTCTCTCGTTTGCACTTTTGCCTGGTTTCTTGTTGATCCTCTTAATGTCTTCTTGCATTTTATGGAGAGTCTCCCTCGGGAGAAAGTGAGAAAGGCCTTATTTTTCCTGATATACAAAAAAATCGAGCATCTTAAAGGAAGAAAATTTACTCTGATCTGTGGCTCTGGCTTTGTTCTTGTTGTTGATGGGCTTGTCTCACCAGTAGCGTTCCTTGACGTCAGGATTGTCCACACTGCCGCTCGTTCCTACGACATAGTCTGCCGACGAGCTTCCGGGGTTTGTCCGTGTGGGAAGCCCGGTAGTGACCAAGGTGACCGCGGCTACGGCGTTTTCGTGCACCTGGTATCTCATAATCTGTTCTCTCATGGCATTAACTTCCGCTTGGAGTGACTGAGCTTGCTGCTGCAGTGCAGAGATTGTCCCCGTGCAGCCATACACTGGGTCTCTGATCCGAGCGTTTGCCTCGTACACCAGGCTGTTGGCAACGTCCGATCGCTGGGCCTCTGGAACTTCCTGCAAGAACCACACCAGTGACAAGCTCATCAAAGGTTAGAACTCGGAACTTTTAGTGTAACTTATGTTAGCAGGCATCATCTAACTCTGAGCTCCTTTTTGTCCCCACAGTCTGTCTTTTCAGCAATCTAGCAACCATCAAAACGACAAGACGCATCTCAGAAAGCACACTCCGAAAGAGAAAAGAGTGCCACTTAGAAAGACAATGGAATAGTGGTGCTCGGAGGGCCACGGGAAGAGAGGAGGGGAGAGATGATTGATCACGTACCGAGAGCATCTTGGAGACGTTGCTGGCGCCGAAAACTTTGTGGACGGCGGCAAACTTTTGAGGCTCGTGTGGCGAGAAGTATGGTGCAAAGGGACACTCTTGAGCGCACCTCCGGCGGAGAAGCTTACATGCAGCACAGGGCGTGATCGTGTTTAGAGGGCCCTGCGACCCCAGCATGCTACTCCTGCCTCGACCGATATCCTGCTGCTGGCTGCTAGTACTGCCGTGGTGGTGATAGCGCTGTAACTCTTGCAGTCTCGGCTTTTGGCGCTGGGGATCTCTTCCTCCGACGTTGCTGATGTTCTCCCTGGAGCACGGCAGTTTAGATCACCATCTCTCGGGTAAAGCTGCTTTCTCTCTCCTGTTCTCTAACTTCTCTCGGGATCTCTCAGGATCTCGCTGCAAAAGAAGAACTTGGAGAGAACTTGGGGAGAGGAAAGCTGTAAGGCTACTCTTGCAAAGTTTGTTCTCTCTCCTCGGCTTTGCAACGAGAAAAGGAAGAGCTACGCTTCTGGATCGAGCGACTTACCACTCTTTTGACATCCAGACATGGGCCCTCTTTGGGATCACAGTCCCTGCACATCCAGAGAGGCGCCGGTGGTGAGAAAAACACGAAATTTGGAGAATTTCTTTTGAAGCACTTCGCAATCAATCGCTTCGTAAGTTCCTGCTGGGAGGGAGAATGAACATGTGAGAAGGAAGTACCTTTATGAATTCTTTGTAACCGATGCTCCCCTTTACTACAGTGCTTGACGAATTCTTCGCGGAGACTGTGCCTTGCAGTGCAGTGCATTCCTGTCCCGGTGGAGCTTCATCTGTTTTACCAATCCCGCTCCGGATCCTTGCCGAGGTAAAGATCATCAATATATCCTTTTCAGGTAAGAGAGGCACTTTCGATCTTCCTGCTTCCTAAGCTTCGAGGCTCTTACAGCGGAGAGATGGGAAAACTAGAACTGGATGAAGTATTTGCGGGGGGTGGGGGGGAGGAATATATGCGAGGAGCGGCGATCTAGCAGCAGCGCCGCTCGAGAGAACTCTCTCGCTTTCTCTCTCCTGGAGCTAGATATCCAGACACTGGCTCATCGGAGTCGGCAGCGCCGGTGGGGAAGTGTGCGTGAGGAAGCAAAGTACACAAGAAGTAAAGCACTGCCAAGCTGTTCTAGTTGACCCTCTTGGCTCCTCTCTGCGGACAGGCACAGCGAAGATGGAAAAACCGGAGAGAAGGAGGAGAAGAAGAAAAATATTCTTTACTGGGAATTAAGAAAGTGAAGAAAACTTGGAGATGGGTTGACAATGAGGAGGATAGGCTGCCACTACGCATTTGCTCCACATCGTTAAGGTATTTATGGTATATATTTCTTAGCACGCATCCCAGCGATGTGGTATTTGTTTAGTATTTCTCTCTTTCGCTTTGGGAGTGACTTGTAAATTGGTTTATGGCCGCAGGAGGGAAGGAGTGGAAAAAAAATAACCAGGGAAGAAAGCTTGGACAGTGGACATGGGCGTGATTTTTACTTGGGAGTTGACCTTTGGAGATGGAGGCCAAGCGAAGCCAGTGTGATGCTGATGCTTCCAGGGTGTGGCGAATGCACGACTGGGACGAAATAATCTATGGACTTTACAAGGTTCCTCTCACATGGTGGAGCTTTGGTTGCGCGTTAGCGAAACATACGCGAGCATCTCACATGGAAACAAACAACACACAAATGGAGACTAGAGAAAAAGAGTGGAAGAAGAAGGATTTTGGGATCTGGGTGATGAGATGAGCAAACACGCCGAGGAATCTCTTTCCAGGAAAGAAACGAGAGGTATGGATACGCCAAAAGATTTGGGGATATAGATCATGCTTACACCACCTTTCAGCTGGAACCATTCTAAAGAAGAGATTTCCGGGAAGCACTCTAAAGATATGAGAATTTTGAGGATGAGTGCTTGATCCATTCTATGGCCGAGTTGAAAAGAGCTTTTGTCCTTTTTTGTTTTGAGAAGTTCCAGGGCACACGGTTGCTTCGAGACTTAGTGCACAAAGATGAAACCTTGGAAGTCATTCGACTAGACAAGCTCTAGACAGGCTACAAGCTTGTCTTGAAGAGCTCTTTCCCAGTTCTAGGGAGCAAGCAACACGAGTGATTGAGTGTACTGCTGGAATCGATAAGGGAGTTTGCATTGTTGATCAAACGAGTTCTTGGAATTCTTCAAAGGTGGGCCTCCAATATACTTCTCTTTTCTGAACTGCAAGATTTTATTTTATCTTATCTTATTTTATAGTTTATTTAATACTCTCTTTTCTCCAAGAACAAGTCTCCCCCCCCACTCTCTCTCTCTCTCTCTCTCTCTCTCTCTCTCAAACACGGAATAGTTTAAAACCAGATCGATCGATCGATGGATCACGTAGAAAAGATGGCGCTTGATTATCATGACTGGTGTGAGTTTCATGACCTTCATGCTTTCGGTGAAGCCAATCAAGTCGTCCAAGAAGAGATGGAGTTTGAAAAAAAAAGAAGATCCAAGATGGAGTTAACACCTCTTCGTCAAGCAAAAACCCTGTCAACTTTCTCAAGCTCGCAAAGCCGTACGGAAAGAAATAGGGGTCTATACCCCGGCTATATAGAGGGTGACACCACATAAGAATGGCCACACGCAATGTTTCCAGATTCTAGGCCTACCTCGATCTACCTCGATCGGTACAAAAACGTTCGGGTCAAGTACGCAAGGCATAAGATCGTGCAAGTAAAACGAGGGACCGTACAATGAAGTTGACGCGATGCCATCTTTGGAACTATGCTACGATCAAGATTGGTTCGCGGAAAAGCTGCGGTCCTGCGCCGAATCACGAGATCTGTCGCAGGGCCGCCGGATCCACGCTCAGATCATCGCCTCCGGCCAGCCCACGAACAGGTTCCTCGCCAACCTTGCCATCGACATGTACGGCAAATGCGGCAGCCTGGGCGACGCTCGCGCGGTGTTTGACTCCCTCCGCCACCGCAACATCTTCACCTGGAACATCATGGCCGCTGCCTACGCCATCAACGGCCAGCTCGAGCAAGCGCGGGAGATCTTTGAAACAATGCCGCAGCGCAACGTTGTCTCGTGGAACACCATGCTCACTGCATATGCCCAGAACGGGCATCTTGTTCTCGCCGAGAAACTCTTCCACCAAATGCCCAAGAAGAACCAGGTCTCCTGGAACGCGTTAATCTCCGCCTACGCAGAGCTCGGGGAAGTCTCCAAAGCCCGCCACCTTTTCGAGGCCATGCCCGATAAGAATGTAGTCTCCTGGACAGCCATGCTCGCTGCATTTGCCGAGAGGGGGCATCTTGACGAAGCGAGAGATTTCTTCGTCCGGATACCAAACAAGAACGTCGTCTCCTGGACGACCATGATCCTGGCCTACGTGAAAAACGACCGCTTGTCAGAAGCCCGGGAGATGTTCGATCGAATGCCGCTCAAGAACGTCGTCACCTGGACCACCATGATCGGAGCTTACGGCCGGAGCTCGCATTCGAAGCAAGCTCTTCGTCTCTTCCAACTCATGGATCTGGATGGGATCCAACCCAACGCCGTAACTTTGATCGCTCTAGCCGATGCCTGTGCGGCGTCCCCGACTCCATCCCTGGCCAAGCTCGTCGATAGCATCGTCCAGGACACCCCTCATCGATCGGATCTTATGGTGGTCACTGCGCTCGTCAACTTGCATGGAAGATCCGGCTGCGTGGACGAAGCTCGGGGCCTGTTTGATCGCATCTCTTGCCGGGACTTGGTCCTCTGGACGGCCATCATCACCGCCTATGCTCACAACGGCCTCCGGGACCAAGCGCTGGAGCTCTTCCAAGAGATGGAGCTTCAAGGCCTGGAACCAAACGAGATCACGTACATCAACGTTCTGGCTGGAGCGGCTTACGCTGGCCTGGTCGAGGACGCTTGCTCGTTCTTCGCCTCCATGGTTGGCGACTACAGCATCGCACCGCTGCTGGATCACTATATCGGAATGGCTCACGTACTGGGGCGAGCGGGGCGGCTGGCCCAGGCCCAGGAACTTATCGAGTCGATGCCTTTCATCGCTGATTATGTTGCCTGGATGACGCTGCTCAGTGCCTGCGAGACGCATCTGGATGCCGAGAGAGGTATCCTGGCTGCTGAGAAGGCCTCGGAGCTCAATCCAGAGACGTCTTCGCCGTACGTCGTTCTGGCAAATATCCACGCAGCCACCGGGGACGAGAAGCTTGCTAGAGCACTGGAGGCGCGTAGGAGACGTGCTACCTCTGTGAAAACGGATAATGGATAAGTAGAGCGCGAGAATTTACATGGAAAAAAAAAATCCCTGGGAATTTGTAAACACTGGCCTGACCTGTTTGTACAAACCAACAATTTTACCGGGTCAAGAACAACATCTCGACGGAGGAGGGGGAGGGGGCTGATCATCCACAATGACCACGCTTTTTCTCTGAGAGAAAGCCGGCGTGCTGCCATTGCTCGAGGCGGCAGTGCTTTTTCTTCTTTGTTCCAGGCAACCTGCCAAGGAATAAACAGTGAGAGAACGAACACAAGCAAACTTCTAAAGATCTTACGTGTCGCGATGTCCATGAAGGCCTCGTCTATGCCAGTGTTTAGCTTTGCAGAGGTCACGAAATGGTTTGCTCCAATCGAGGCAGCGTATCTAGAAGCAATCCAACCGAGTGAACACTATCAAGTAGGAAACGAAACACTGTCGTACCTCTCAGAATCCTGGAGATCAACTTGTCGCAACTTGTCCATATCGCTCTTGTTGCCAGCAATTGTCAAGACAATGTTCTTGTTGGACGCCATCTTCCGGAGCTCCTTCACCCAATTCTTCACACGAGTAAAGCTATCTCTATCCATTATGTCATAGACTAGCAATGCACCTTTAAAGGAAAAAAAAAACCAAGAACAAAAGCCAAGACACTGTAGTTCTCGTACTGGAAAGAGAAAAAAAACCTGTACTCACCATCAGCATCGCGATAGTAGATAGGACCAAGCGCATGAAAGCGTTCCTGGCCTGCTGTGTCCTGGAAGAGAAAAAAAAAAATTTATTTCCACCATCACTCAAATCGTAACAAAAGTTTCTAGCGAAGAACTTTACCCAGATCGATAGCGTTGCTACAGCGCCATCGACGCTCAAGCGCTTGGTCAAGTAGGAAGCCTGTATCGTAGCACTTTGACTATCGGAGAACTGATTATTCACATACCGCAGGACGAGAGACGTCTTCCCGACTCTACCTGGAGAAGAAATTCCACCACGAAATCGCATTAGCGCCAGCTGAATTCGTCACAAAACGCTCAAGAGAAGGAAGAACTCACCGTCTCCAAGAAGAACTACCTTGAAGGGAGATCCTCCGCCTCCTCCAGGCCTCATTTCACTGCCAAAACCTGATAATCCGGAAGAACACCTGCGAATTCTCCCCCGATCCGGTCGATCGGACCCCGCGCTATCGCTCTCCTTCTCTCTCGCTCCTCTGGCGCGCTACTAGGGCTTCTCTGTCCCCCTCTCATCCTGGCCGTTTAATTCTATGGCGGAAAATCGTGGTCGCTGGTACACGTTTTAAACGAGCTCTATTAAATGGTTGGTTCTATTTTCCTGTGGAGTACCTTGTGAAGTTTCTCATGGTGGTGGTCGCGAATTGGCAATCGATCTCCCACAATGTTGGGGTCTTGATACAGCGATGGTTCTAACTGGCCTTTCTGGAAAAACGAAGGAATTCCAGAAGAGAAAGGATCAGTGAAAGCTTGGAAAGTTCTTCCGGATCGATCTACCAGTAAGAGTGCGCGAAAGGTTTCTTCCCTTTGAGATCGCTCGCGGATTATAACCGGGAATTCTCGAGGGTCGCTTTGGAAGCCGGAGTACATGCGTGTGTCGCGAAGTCTCATCAAAACTCCATCCACACGGAGCTGCAAAGATATGGCGTCAGTAACTTTCGAGAAGAACAAGTATGCAAAGCGATACCCAGAATCGAAGTAGCAAAAACCAGCAATTCGGCATTACTCTCTGTAATGAGGCAGCCAAAGTTAGAATCGATCCGAAGGAACGAAGAGGCATTACCACTTTCACGGAGAGAAACGAGATACCATTGTCTGAAAGCTCGTCCTCGTATAGAATCACCTGGAAGAACAAGAAAAAAACTATGGTGAGCTCTTAAGAACAGAGAAACCAGACGAAAGACCTCGTCGTAAAACAAGATCGGATCCTTCACTTGTAGCCGGATAAGATCGATTCGAGTGTCACAACTTTTCCACTCCAAAGTCGCCAAACTTGACTCCTTATCAGCTTGTTCTTGCTGTGAAAGAAGTGAAAGAAGTAAGAAATAGCAAGAAAAACTTGTGATTCCCTCCATTCAAAAGACGTGCAAGATTTTTACCTCAAGAACAAGGCGCTCGCTTCCACAGTAAGGCGTCGTGAACGTATAGTCGTAGTCCATGATCAGCTGCTCGTTTGGATTGCTTCACAGAAAAATCGAGAAAGAAATCTAAGAACCAGGGAAAAAAAAAACAAGAGGAAGAATGCGATTTCATACCATCGCATTTTCCATTTTGCCGCGGCTGGAACCTCCACTGGCGGCAGATTCTCCCTCTTCCACCCCGCAAGAGCATCGAAAGCATTGAAAGAAATCGCGATCCCGCTCGCTTCGTGCACTAGCTCCAGCTCGTTGCCTCCAAACACCATCTCGGGCAAATGCCGGGTGCCCAGCTTCGCCTCCCACCTAGCGCCACAAAAACCCTCCCAAAATCTCTCAAGAACAACAAAGAAGAAATCCAATGCCCTCCCAAACCTCTCGATCTGCTCGGCGTTGAGAATGGCGCGCTTGGTGGATCGAATGCGCCAGCCGGCGACGCGGATCCCGCGCACCTGGGGAGGATCGCAGATGAGCTCCGCGCCCGACGATTCCATCGCCGCCTTGAGCCGCGCGGCGTCTTCATCGCTGCCCATAGGTACCCTATAATCAAAGCCTAGCCTCAAATTTTCTTCTTTGGAAGGTTATATAGGAAAGAATGCTACTCTTTTCTTCACAGCTCTCTTGCCAAGGTGAAAGGAGTGCCAAAAAATTGCTCTTTGCTTCTTTCTTTCTATTACGCTGTGCCAGTGATGAGCTTTTCTTGCTTGTCCAGTCTCTTCACCTTGAAAAGCCCAACCAGGAGCTTCAATCCAAACAAGGCGCTACAAAAAAATGCGGCTGTGCCTTGGACCTGACAACGATCGCCCATGTTGGAGCAGAGAAAACAAAGGAAGATATCTGTAGAAAAGTACGTACTCTCATTGCGTTTATGTACAGCAGAGTTCCCAGATTTAAGAATGTGCCAGCGAAAACGGCCTGCAACAGAGCAAAAAAAAGATTTTTCTTCGTTTCTTGTTTGTTTGTTTCTGTAGGTACCTGAGCTATGTTTTGTTGTACAGCTGAAACTCGTTTGAAGGACCTCTCGGATTCCAGAGTTCGCACACGGAGTTTCAAATCGCCTTGTTCCTGAGAAGAAAAAGGCAAGAGAGAAGTTTTCTCTCAAACTTAACAGTGTCTTTACCAATCTCTCGATCACATCCGCGAGCTTTGCAACTCTATCTGGTTGCCTGAAGAGATTGTTGAATGCTTCAGCTTGTCGTTGCCATCGCTTTTTAAAGTCCTGACAAGAAACACCCATTTGCACACGAAATGCGAATTAAAAAACAACTTACCCGGATCACAACATCGTAACCAACTTCACGAAATCTTAGAATCTCCAAAGCGTACCTGCGAAGAACAAAAACCTGGTGAGGCAGAAAGGAAAAGAAAGCTATCTTCACTTACGGCTTTGCAATCTCGGATATGTCAAAGTAAGGATCCAGACCTTTCCCAATGCCGTCTAGAACTGAAACCAAAAAGCTTACGACATGGAAATCACGGACAAAGGCAGTCTTACCCGAGAAAGCTCGAACTACAAACGTAAACGTTGCTGGGAAACGGAATGGCTGGTCCGAAGAGATAGATAGTAGATCCTCACCTAAAATGGAGTTTGAGCATTACCAAGTTACTTACAAAACTGTAGTACCTATGGCCGCCAGCCTGAGTTTCTTCTTGTCCTCCCTTTCCCCTTTAGACAGCCTCTTGTAGCCGGATTCCTCACTCTCGGCAAGAGCTTTCTGTTCTTTTTGTGCTGCTAGACGGTCTTGGAAACTGGAATCCAAGAGACGAAGTTAAGTTTCTGTGTGTGCGACTGAAAGTAAGTTGAACCTTTTCAGGAAGAACTGTGCTGTTCGTCTAACTGCGGTCATGTCACCAGTCGGTACGAGCACTCCCATTTGCACCATTGCTTCAAGCACCTGAGAAAAATCAATATGACAAGCAAGAACATACACAAAAGGAAACGAATACCTTGTCAGCATCTTTTTCGTAGACTCCATAGAAAGCTTCTAAAAGTCCTTCCCTGATGTTGGAACTAATGCTGGAACCACATACGAGGAACCGTTAGATAAAGAGTTAAGCATGCTATTGCTTTACCTTCCCATCATACCAAAATCATAAAAAATCAAGCGTCCCCCGTTGAAATCGTCCACAGCAATATTTCCTGGATGCTACAACATAAATGAAACAAGGAACAAGGAAGAAATGAAAAGGTCTCCAGAAAACTCAAGAGAAAAAAAGGGCTTACAGGGTCTGCGTGGAAAAACCCGTGACGAAGAATCTGCTCCAGATAAGACTCCACACAGTATCTCGCAAGCCTGAACAACACCAAATAGTTGAGCTTTGCCTTAGACAAAAGGCTGTGAAACAAACCTTTGACGATCAACTCCAAGTCTATCCAAGGCTTTGATTTTGTTGATTTTGATTCCTGGTACGTATTCCATGGTAAGTACCTATTATCGAAGGCAATGAATCGCAACCCGGACGATAAAAATCACAAACTTGGCACCTGTGGTGTAGTGTACTTCCAGTAGATTCTTGGAACTTTAACGTAGCTCAGATCCTTGAAATTTGCCGCAAAGCGCTCGGCATTGGCTGCTTCTCTGTTGTAGTCGATTTCCTGGAAGAGAGCTATTACTGAACATCATACATCAAAACTTCCCTCTTCGTTTGAAAAAATCACCTGATAGAGCACATTGGCACACTCATCGTAAATGGCAACCCAATCCCTCTTCGCGCCATCAGACTTTGGATCAATCTTTTGTAAGTTCTCTGCGATTACCTGCGAGTGAAGAAAAGGTGACAGTTCGAGCAAAAAAGAAAAGTAAAGCAAAGACTTACTCTCAGGTTTTTCAAATCGATGTCAAAGAGCGCTTTCAAGCCTGGACGCTGGATCTTTGATCACAACTTGCTCTCCGTTTAGAACAGCTCGATGAACTTGGCCTTAACGAATAAACAGAACAACAACT